CATATAAGGAACTGTGGTCTATAGGGAACTATACAGATTGTAGTCAGAATCATCATTACCGTCAGTATCAATAAACCATTGTGGTGGTAATGGAAATTTTATTATTTCTAATAACACAAACGTTGATACTTGCGCGACTACGTATTTAGTAAATTATGGATCTTCAAAAGTGCAATGAACAGCAATAGAGAAAATTATGCTACAGCACCGATTACGACGTTTTTTGTAACGAACTCATAAGAACACGGATGAATCATTACACCAAATAGAAATGTACATTTCCCCATTTATAATGTTTTATTAGTTTATTTTATATTATACTTATTTCAGGCTAAAATCTCGATTTATAATTAGTTTTTTGAATAATTCGAAATATATAGGTAACATTAGCTGGCAGATAGATTTGCATTTTATCGATACAAAATTTATAACAAATAAATTTGAAGTATTCATTTTGAACAAAAGATCAACTGAAAAAAAGAGAGCGGTGCAAGATATATATATATATATGAAAACGAAATCCAAAACGGAGTGGTAGGCTACGTGTTCGCAATCTGTCACATCAGACCTCAGGACTTGGCAAACGCGAAACATCAGATCGCAAACGCGAAACCGCAACAAGATGCTTGATTTTTATATTTTGATGACGACATTGCACATTAAAAAAACGAATCTCAAAGAGCTCACCAGTTCTTTTTTAAATAAACAAAAGTAATACCCTTTTAGCAAAAAATACGATCTTTAACCACTGAGAAGAAATTGATCCTGTAGATCAGGGGTGTGCAACCTTTTTCATTGGCGGGCCAAATACAAGTAACTGGGTGAAGCCGCGGGCCTCACCGTTATTTAATTCAGACTTTCTAGTAGTTGCAAGCACGAATTTTTTTTATATTTGCTAGTGATCTTACGGCATTACTAGGGATTCTTGCAGAAATGGTGAGGTAAAACAAATAAACTCTTGAAGAAAATCTTATTTAAATTTATTGTCACACCGACTTCAGTTAGAAACACGTTTTTGTAATATATATATATCGTGTATTTTGCAACAAAATTTTGCTAGCTTGTTTTGCTAATATGACTGGTATAGGCTTTGCGACGTAGAGGGATAAATACTCGTTCCGCGGGCACACCATTAAAAAATGTTAATTTTCCGCGAGCCGCACAATTTTTCTATGCGGGCCGCATTTGGCCCGCGGGCCACAGTTTGCACACCCCTGCTGTAGATAATGAGAAAAGCAACAAGAATAACAAACAACAAGAATAAAGATATAAAATGACAAAACGATCCATAAGTTCATTTCTTGTTCCAAATCAATCCCCAATGGATTCGTATGGACTCTCGCCGCCATCATGAAACATAAAAAAAAATCTTGCACGCTAGATTTGGCCCTATAGCTTCACATCATTTGTTTATTTTATATTTATTTTGTCAGCTTTTATATTGGTGCTCAATTCACCACGGTGTGTATACATCAACTTGTGTAAGTTTACTGTATAGTTCATAATTTTAAAAACTCGTAACATTTCAATATCCATGCTATAGCTTGAACTCATCGGCCTTTATTACTACCCAAACAATAACTTAATTAAACTCGCAATAAAGATATAAGCGAGAGGCAGTTGCAACCTGGGAGTGACAAAATCGATGCGGGCATTCAGTGAACAGCTAATAAAATTTACCTAATAGAGATTACCTAGCTTCACTCAGAATTTAATTACCGAAAAAAGCTTTTCAATATTCTCATTCGCGTTCCCAATCGATGCCCTCGAGTTCAGTTCAACTTCTGTTCCAAATTATTTGTCACCTTGATATGAATTTTAATCCTTTTTTAAGAAAATAAAATTGAATTTTTGAAGTAGTATCGAAACTGTTGTGTTCATTTTTTTTTTCATATAAACTTTCAAAATAACGCGCTTTCTAATGTTGACTAGATCTGCATATTATATTGTAATGCCTAACTTTTTTGGATTACGTATATATTTTTCTCAATTTCAATACTACTTTTGACTGAAGAAACAAATGCATGTTTTCGAAAAGTTAGCAAATGATTTCGCTTTAATTCTCTGAATAATAAAAATTGCGCATTCACTATAAAAGAGATGCACGATTAACATAACGTTTAACGCCCAATTGTTTAGTTTTTGGAAATTTTGTACATCCCTGTGGTTTTAATATGTACCGTATGGAAGCATGGAAATCAATTTTCTTGACATCAGAAATTGATGAAAAAATTATACCGCAACGCGTGACTAATAACCATCTGTTGTGAACTTGACTCTTCAAGTACTTCTTTTAATGTTCTGTTAAACTTTATCGATTCTGGCCAAGCTTCGGATGAATTAAACATATACCGTAGATATTCCTCAGCACTGTATATTTATATTTATATATATATATATATATAGCTGAATAACAAAAACACAAAGATTTGTAAATTGCACTTTTATTCGCGTCATACACACGGAATAGATACTGATTGAAATATGTTTGAATAACAGAATAAGAAAAATAATCAAAAATTAAGATAAAGAATGTGAACAATTCAGGTTTATTATTACAGTATGGCGGAGATGGCTTGAAAAATGAAGAAATTCGCACTAGTACCCTAATGATATTACACCAAAAACAACTACATATTAAATGTTAGTTGTCTGGGAGATATACTAGAGCGACAAAAATAGACAGGTAAAACAACAGAAAGAACAATAATGGAGGAATAAAAAGAACAGGTTTTCAATCTAATCATAGCGTAATACAAACGATTTCACTCGCTTGGAATAGCTGACAAAAATTGATAATTAGCCCCTTGTTATAATTGCAACCCTGAATGCAATCGCCATATTCTACCATCAAATAAATAAATTTTAAAACGACGCGAAACATTTTTCATATAATTTTAACAACATTAGAGTAGTGGTGGTTACATGGTTCCAATCACAATTTCAATGGCCTACTCAGTAAATGGCATATTTGGCTGTGTTTCAATTATTTTGAAGCAAATTAGGCTTGTCGTCAGTTAGCTGATTTGAAACGAATGAACTGACAAACTTTTGACCTAAGTATTTTATGATATGAAAAGAGTCATCTTCAGTTTGTTGTTAACATCAACTATAAGTCCGAACGACGCAAACTATAACGAATGAGCAAGAGCGAATCAAATTCAAACTTCACAAATAAAAATTTATTAGCTAAATGTGTTTTGATTGGAACAATAAATTGTGCGTCAACTAATGAATTGCGTTACATGGAATTCAAAGGTTAATTTAATTTTGTTACATGGTCAAGTCAACTGGAAAAAATTGATAATTATTTTCGAATAAATACCGAATGAAAAATGCCCGAAAAACGATAAAAAAAAATTGTCAATAGCTGAAATTAAAAAAGCCATTTTCACTCCGTATACACTCCATCGATTTTCTCACTCTAAAAATCAATAATAATGCAATACAAAGTTCAAAGCCCAATAAAAACGCGATTACATCGTATGGAAACAAGTGAAATATTAAAAACAAGATAGACGAACGTCAATAATATAAGAGTAACGGCATTCCAAAATATGGTGAACAAGAAGATACATTATAAGCAACAGTGTGTTACTATTTGTTGCTGCATCACACAACACAGCAATCGATTTTTGAATTAAGTTAACCTTTTTCATATTTATTAACTTGGAGATTATTTCAATGTTTATTGATTGTGGTGCAGTCAAGTAGAAGATATGGATTGAATAGAGTTTGGTGATCTGTAGGGTAAAAGTATATCAATACGACATTGACTAGACTGACTTGTATTCAATCGTCTAGAAACAAACAAACAAATACTGAAAATCGATACCATGCCGTCAGGTTGTTTTTAAAGCGGGATGCCAGAAAGCTTTTCGTTGGCGGTTTCTAAGTAATTGAATTTTGTCAAACATAAAAGACTTTGTTGTACTCGTTTTCACCTAAGGACCTAATCACTTGGTCATAAAAAAATGAAATATGCCAATAATATGGCCACCAAGCAACACAGGACTCACATAGTTCTAACTTTAGTAATTAAAGAAAGGAAAACAAGCACTATTATAAAGAAATCACAGACGACGGTTCTTTGTTTGTCCATAGCTTACTTAGAAGATTAATTCATGCGTCAGGGCTTTTCTGTTTACTAGAACATCACCCTGGAATAGCAAAAGCATATTCAAAACTATTACTCATAATAATAATATGAAATTTGAGCTTATATTGGAAGAGTATACAGCAGCTTAACGTAATATATTGTATTCTGATAGGACGATCGGGTAGTTCAAATAACAAACAATCTTCGTGAAAACAAAATAACGATAGAGGGTTTGATAAATTTATTATTCATTCTGAAGAAAAAGAGAAATTTAACTCAATGTAAAATATTATTTAAATCCGGAAAAAATTATCTATTTATACGTGATGATATTACAGTAGATTTTTCAATTGGGTTTGGTTGTTTTATATAAGGCAAATATTTTCTTCGTGACCAAAATAGCTTAGCAGTTCACGCTGATTTTTGCACGTAGGCTTGACCGAATAGCACCGGATACGTTTGGTATACGGTAATTAAGCTAATGCCCCCAAACATCGTGACGGTAAACAACGATCAATGAAATCGTTCGTTATTTTGTTAAATTCATGAACGTGAACGGAAACTTAATTCCACTGAGAAAAGTCGAACGTGCCGGTGAATCACATTATTACGTCTACTGTCGCTTTATTGAGAGCTGATGTCGATTAAAAGACAATCTGCTTTATATTTTTACTCTCTGGTTTAGATAAGTGAATAAATTTTAAACGTCAGTATCAAGAACAAGAGCCCGTGTTGTTAGTCTGGTATGAGTTAGGTGATCCAAAATATATCTCTCGAATTGAAGTTCCATGAGAAATGTCAACTAGCATTTACTTTGTAAGTAAAATTTAAACGTTTTCCACTTGTCTGTCAAGCTTCATCTCTTTCCATATTCACCCATCCATACTTGGCATGAATTTTACAAATTCGACGAAACTCCACTTCAGCGCGTCTTTGCGACAACTGATTCAATCGACGTTTCTGACGACGACTGACAACAGCTCCACCTGTGTCAAACGACGCACTGTGCACCAGTAAAGATTCGATCGTGTAAGCACTAGACCAGCCTTGGACGTAAGTACTTCCATACAAATCGCTCCTCCGTCCATTATAACCCATTGTCCAAATAAGGACCAACTAATCGCAGAAAGGGAGGTTGAAAAGGAAATAGTTCGGGAAACTGAGACGAAATTTGATACTTTCAGTGCCGGTATCTTGCATCGATTTCCATAAATCAGAGGTTTCGTCAACTTTTAGTAGTCGTACATCCCATTCAAATATATTACTATCATCAACAAGATTGACTTCAAATGCTGAGTTTGGAAGGGACGTTGCTCTGGTTCATGTATGAAGCTCACGGCATGACACGGCGATTTCTGACCTGTAAAAACAGACAATATCTTGTTTAGTTACTAACTTATGTATTCGTCATGTATGACAGCAGACATGTATGGACTAAGCTTAGGAGGATAATACATTTCTTTAAAATTGCTTCCCTTTCAACATTATTTCATACAGGATGAGAATTATCTTGAATGCAGTTTAGTGAACTATAAAACCCATGTTGAGATTGAGAATAAATAAAGCACAACGTAGGTTAGCAAAACAATGTAATCTGCCCACTTTTTTCAAATTTCTACATTAAAAACTCCATCAGGACATGATATGGAAAGGGCACTAACGTATATACATAGCAAGGCCAAAATTATCAATTGTTATCAGTCAAAATTATCTTCCCCTGGTGAAGTTTTTCTCTATAAAAAATAGATATTTGATAAATTGAATACGGAAAAATTACTTGCCCCTTTTCAAGTCCACTGAAAACAATATTCCAGACTAATTATCCACAAAATGTCACATTAGCCCTTGACACGAGTCAAAAGAATATATATTTATATAGATGGTAATCAGCGCCTTGACTTTCGAAATTTTCTATTTTGGGGTTGTTCGTATGAGTATAAATAAATTTGATATTTTGATGAAGACTATGTATGAAATCTAGTGGGATTTATTGGTCTGTTTACATATATCATTAACGCGTCTATATTCGTAACTGTACATGTTTTGCACACAAAGTCTGTATCTTGGGCCGGAGAGATGTTGATATTCACGGTCTTTATAGGAAAATTATTTTAGGTACCAGATCCAGTGATTCAATTTATGATAGCGCTCAATAAGTTTTAAAATTTGCACATACAGTAACAGATAAAGATATAAATATTAAATTTATCAGCCAAGAAACGTCTGTATTAATTGATTGTTAGAACCAAATTAAAAACAATAAGAACATAAAAAGTTATGGATGATATACTTGAGCTCACTCACCGTAGCAGATTGTGAAATATCGGAAGTTATTTTGAATGTCACAGTGTTCTTCTGTTGCTTATTAGTTTTCGCCTCTTCTTCAGATCGTGATGAACTTTCAGAAACCGTTGGAATCTTTTTCAGCTCTTTGATTCGCTTTTCGTTAGCATCGACAGAATCTTCCTTTTCTGCCTCTGATTTTTCCTTCTTCAATTTGTTCTTATTTGGTTGGTTTTCCCGTTGGATGGAATGGGGCGAAGGATGACAATCAATACGAGGTGAACTTGTAATGTTCTGAATAGTTGAAGACGCAGAAGAGCATTGATGAGACGCAGAACGCTTTCTACTACGCGTAATATAACGCGCAATACGTGCTATTACGTTAGGCATTTTTTTTTATATATTATTGGAAGTATTTTTATTGCTGAAAAAAATAACATTCTTATATTACTCACAATATTTTAGCATACTGTAGTAATATCATTTCCATCACAAAAAAATTATATAATCCCTTTTGGTTGTGATGGGTCTTCAAGTAGGCAAGTGCATCGTCATACATGACGGTGAAAATGGAAGTGAACCGAATATTTAAAAAAAATATATCCACAAGGATAAATGTTTCGAATCCAAGATGCCCAAACACTTCAGCTATCTAACTTTAGTTAACAAAATGTTTGCTGTATCGTACCTCACTATGTATTTTAGTTGAACATATTGTTTCATACTGAAATCCAAATTTTGCTAGCGAGTAATCTACACAGTTCGTCATAGGATTAAATGCTTCGGTTGTTTGCTACGGGACAGCTAACTGCATATAGAGATACATAACTGGATGTATTCTGCATATTTACAAGTTACAACTCTTAACTAACTGCATGTAAATAAACAAACACATTCGCACCGGTCAATAACTCGCAGCGCAAGAAACGCTCGCTTGTCGAAACGTTGACTGCGTAAACCCGAGCTCCATATCTGAGGCCTCATTTTATTGATTTTCCGATTCAGAGAAGACTTTTTCTCATAATACGATTATCTGAGCGAAAGAATGCCATTCGAAACAATATATATTGCTGTATTACGTATATATATGCGCATAAATCCAGAAGAACCTAACAAACCTCAATATATTACATAATATAGATTGATATACTATTAATAATAGACAGCGATATAACTTTGTTTATCTCTGCCGGTACTCGATTATGCAACTTAACTTACGGTCAGGCGTGCATGTACACAATCACGAGAGCCTGAATGCGCGCGTACTTTTATCTCCCTACCGGCATAGAGGCGAATCCCACTAAATATCCGTTCTGGCAAAATCCCTTTACGTATTCTGGAACATACATATTTAATTTCTGTAAAACAAGCAAACACGGCCATCACGGAAGAAATCGTTAAACATGCAGACGTGCCACAAGATTTCGTTTCGTGCTTCCATTCAATTTACCCCAATTACGCAACTCATGACATTTACTTAAGTTAAACAGACGACACAAATCGCTCGGACCGATTCCGTCGTCTTCGAAATGCACTTCAATCAAATTAATTTCACCCTTTTGCTTTCCTTTGCGTATAATAGCAATCCAATTTGCCAAAATCTATTTACTGATGAATGATGTTTACTACACGTAACGTGATGCTAGCTGACTTTGACAGCCATATGGTCAGCAATGAGATTCAAAATTTTTGTCAGCCGGTGCCTTCACAAAAGTTATATTTTTCAGCCGGTTCTATTACAAACAGAACATTGACAGTAACCGGCAATGCTAACCGGTTCGCTGATCTCATAAAATTCCGTGAGACGGTATTATTAAACCTGTGCGAACCGGCTGGATCCCACTACCGCATATGGCCCTATTGCTCCAATCACAAAATATTATCCCCAGAAAGCGGGAACAAAACAAAATTTTGGTTTTTGCTGTAACATACAACAACAGAATTTATCAAGCTGTGCGCGCGTTTTCCCATTTCTTTCCCCCCCTAACATGAAATTGTAAATTAAAGTTAAGACTAATATTTTATTTTTAATGGCTATCTGAAAAACATGTAACCAAGATCTAAATCGTAACTAACGACATAAAACATTGGGAAGGAAAAGATAAGCTAATTTCTTACGCAATTATAAGGTAACCCTGAATACCCTGGTACGAAATAAGTAATAACAACTTTTTTACGGCCGATATACCAGACTAGACTAATGATAGAAACATGTTGCAATAACCAATAGTCATTCCCCTATCACTCCAAAATGTGAATGTCGACGCCTAATGAAATATTGATGACACTTTTACAATACACATCCAACCGTAATAATATATCTTGAAGAGATTGAAAATCTGTCTTTTATGCGATGGAGATACTAATTAGCCCGACATCGTTAGGTAGCCGACTGAGCTTTGCCTCATCGACAAGATAATTCAAGCATTAAAATTTAAATTATGTCGTGTGAGTGCTCAGTATCATTGGGGAGTAGAGATTAGAAGGAAATTGGAATGCATCGCGAATCCTAAATAATGCAGACAGTTCTGTCCAAGAAATTATTACACTTTCGAAAAATGAAAACCAAGCAAGATATTATGTTTGGCGTTTATGAACAAAAAATAAAACGAATAATGACTTGTTTTTCATTTGAGCCAAAATTGTCAGAAATCAATTCGCACGGGAATATGATGGAATCAACAGCAGTAATTTCTTTAATCACATTTACCGGATTTAAAACGAAACTGTGGCATATAAAAATGCAATCTCGAACACGCAAGTGACTATTTATTTTTTCATGGTGTATCCATGACAAACCAGAAAACTAGTTTCAACAGCAGGAATATCTATCTCCTCGAAGACTACACTAGTACACTTATCATGTAAACAAGATATCCTTGTGATTGATGGTGAAATACCCAAATACACACATAGTAAAAACTGACTCCTTTAATGTCTAAAAATCTTAATTCTTGCCTGAAGTGATCGAAACAACTCAACTCGCACTGAAATCAAACACGTCCACTCTTGAAACAAAAAGCAATCGCCCATGTCGACGGGTACTGACATTTATATTTGAAAAAGCATAGCGATTTGATTCAATTTTGTACTCTTTAAAGAAAACAGCTGTTTAGCGGTTAAAATCGCACCATGCTACGAAAATCTATTGAATATGGCCAAACGTGACGAATAGAATAACTATATATTGTCCTTGGTTAGTCGATTTTCTCAACACGATATCACACAATAGTTTAAAGGGAGACGCCTTCGACTCAAAGAACCCCGAAAACAATAAGCTTTACCGAGATTAATGTAATTAAATCGCGCTATTAGACGAACAAAATATGTTCGCTGGCTTTTAAAGAGATTGGTTATAAATTACATCGTTTATACGGAATTAGCAGTTTTGAGTTAGCGAACAGATTGCACCTTTTGTTATATACGAGAGAGAAAATGAAACCCGGGAATCCACACATTTGATCATGGACATTTGTAAATGAATACTTTTATTTTCGCTGCAGGTCAAAGCAGCTGAAACTTCGAAGCCTATTTACTACACCGAAATATGTTTACGTTCTAGCGGCCGAAAGTATGATTAAGTTTGCGTAATGTGACTCTTCCGATTACAGGTTAATATTAAACTTTTTAATTATAGGCAAAATTCAGACGTCTTCAATAGTGTCATAACGCAAACAAAAAAATATTAACGCTCTTTTGTGGATTAAAGGATGCGATATAGTGGTTAATTTCAAACAGCCAATTTTTTTTCATATTGACTATGTAAAGCATGCCGTTCAAATTCCATTCTATCCATATCCAAATACTGTTTAAAAAATTTAAATCTTCAAATATTCTGAATTTCCTTGTTATTACGCTTTCGAATAAAAAAGTATTATCAACGTTTATCTTATTTAATTCTTATTAATTAGCAATAAACAATGATTATATTTTGCCGAACTGGAATTTCTGCCAGCAAAATCGTCTGTAATAACTTCTTCAATGCACACATGAATAATATCTACATGGACGAGGTCGGTATTTGTCAAAACCAGAACGTAATAAGCAATCGAGCTCTTCTCCATACCTCTCCTATTAAAGCTGATTTATTTTCCGGAATAAAAATAGCTCAATCACATTGTAATTATTGATTTATTCAGCCTGGAATATAAGTTTGTATATATAAATATGTATGTATGACGTTGAGGTACGAATGAGGGTCAGTCGGGTTGGCAGATTTTTGCGAATCTGTCAGTTGATTGCGCTGTTCCCATTTAACCAACTATTCTCTCGAACCATTATGATCCTTCGCTACCTTTCAATACATATTCCAGGATTACTTCATTTCTACCTATTTTTGTCAAACATACTCCTGACCCGTTTTATCGATCCAATAATATGACTGGAAGATCGAAGTCGCTTAGCTTAGTCAATAATCTTGTTCGAATAACACGGCATTAATTAACCGTCAGGCTAAGAGACAATTATAGATTGTAAGCTGCTATTTTAATTCATGTTTTTTTCGTGTTTTGTATTTCATTAAGGTACAAACACATGGCATTTAAATAGCGCCTTCTGAAATTGCCAGTTACGGCGTTTTATATAAGCATACTATTTCTTTTTTGTAAATAACTTTACCATTGCGAGACTGTTTTTACCAAGTGTGTCACTATTTCATCGAAAATGCACTCAAAGAAAACCGCAGAAAGCCGCTAAGTCGCTATTGTCGAATAGAATAATTAAGATGCACTCTGTAATTAGCCTTTTGGATTGTACATGCATATTCAGCATTCTCTCGTCGACGCCGCCATGCAATCTTAGCATTAGATTAAAATTTTAAACGATGCAATTAAAGTTGGTTAAGAGGAAGAACTGCTCTTGACGTTTGGCCATGCTTGACCATATTGCCAACGCTACTCAGGTTGAAGAGGACGAAATAGGCTTCGTGCTCATTTGAACATTGTTATTTTAGAAACGATCTTGTTGTGAAGTATAGCAGTGTATTATTACACTTATATTGTAATTACAGCGCAAAACGCGGCGATTGTGAAGTGGTATTGAAAATTCCAAACCAAGCGCACTGGTGAATAAGGTCAAAAATTGAGTAGTACATCAATAAACTGATGTATACTTTGGCCCATAATTATTAAAGTTTGAACTAAGAACAACATGAGAATACTGTATAGGAAAAGGCATAGTCGGCCGTGAAATGCGAGAGTACCGGTACTTGGTATCCGCTGCGAGCTATATGCACTCCGGTGGTGGAAAACTGATAAGTGTTTTTTTAGTGTCCTCATCACACCACACACATCTAATATGAATACAACAATTTTATCGCTATTATGAATATACTCTACCATCTCCTCATCTTATCACTCTAATTACTATAACTAAGACTCAAAATTTAGTGAGTGCTATTTACTGAATGTCATTTTCATTTCCAAAAAAACAAACATAACAAGACATTTTAATTTATCTTTTAACGTATATTTGTGATTCGTGATTTCACTATACCGCCAAGCTTTCCCATAGGTATATATATTGTACATGAACATTATTCTTTACGTTCTAATATACATACAACTGAACTAATTCACACGCACTACTAATACTAACTGATAATCATTTTGAGTAAGCATCTTGGTATCGTATTCTCCGCTAAGCTAACAACTGAGATTTTAATCTCTAAAACCGTGTTTTATGGCCACTACGGAATCGCATTTCCGAACTCGACAGTGGTGGCATTTCATGCCATTATTCTAACTATGCCAATTATGGATCATATTTCATTGGTGCGCACAATTCATTCATCATGTATGACAAAGACTTGCGGAAAGCTGACCTAATTTTGTCCAAACGAAAAGATACCTTTACAGCATTCTCGGAATAACATGGACTACCTGCTTTTCACAATGCACCTATTACTGTAGTTCCGTGAATTCATTCAATCTGTTCATTTTGACTCCAATGATCTGGTCGAATTACTGAACAGCAGGACGCTATCGTTGTCTATCACTGTACCTGGTAGGTTTTGAGCGACGTATATTGGCTAGCCCGATATTTGAATATAAAATTTTAAATATTGCATCGCAAAATACCACGAGAATATTATGCATATATAGTGATCGGCACTATTGTTTCGCGCCATATTGCAATATATATTTTCATTGAGTAGGCTAATATTGACGGGACAATATACCTACACAGTACGCACGGATTTCTTTCCAGCTAGAAGGTGCTATTTGACAGATATAGGCTATTGCAAATGTTCGTCATGACAACATATATTTGTCAACGGCATAAATATCAAAACCATCATCTTTTTAGATGATCAGATAAGAATACACGGACTTACTTCACTCACCAACTGAATCTTATATCGACGTATTTAAAGTTTTGTTAATGTTATGCATGCGATAACACCTCGACCCAATATCTATATAAAATTTTCACTCCAAAACCTTAAAATGTTGGCCATATCACGAATTAAAATTATCAATATCTCCAGGATGTCTGCGTTTCTTCGAACAGTCATGGGCAGTTTACTCCGTGCCTAAGGTACGTCGCAATCGCAATCTCTCTCGCTACTTAAATAATTTAATTACGGAATTTACGACTCTATTACCTTTTTGTATTTATTGGAACGAAATATATTTATTCCGGTGTCCTCATTGGATTAAATCACTTTAAAATTGTTGGAACTTTTCTTCGTAATAATAAAATTTTCAACCAGTTTGCTGAAAATCCTTTTGTAAAAAGACATACCATGTATATGTCAACATTTTATTTTAGAGAGCGTGATATTTCACCCTTAAAGCAGAATCAGCAGAAAGCAATGCAGAATCAGCAGTGCCAATATACGATCAATAAATAGGTTATTTAGTTTTAATATTCATAAGATACATTCTTCTGGGTCAGCTTCTGTATTAGGTACTCATTAATTTCATACTGCGAAATGGTACCAACTGTATCACAGGCCAGATTATTGTCAAAGTGACGAATGATTATGGGTTCTTGGAGGCCACTGAACAGCCACGTTACGTCTCAATCTAATATATATTCAATTTGGCATTCCTGTAATACCGCTAAATATAGCTCACCCTATATTTGTTCCGTCGCACAGCAGCCCTTCAACTAAATTCCATTTACCATTGATGGGTGCATTTTTGTAAATAGAAATCCAACGTACTTCGGTACTAAGATTATTTAAACTTACACGTCCAAAAAAAGTTCACAGCCGGTTTGCTTTCGTTAACAGTTGTGTCACAATCCACATTTACAAATATTATTTGAGATACAACTCATATATATGATCTCACTGAACAAAATTGGCACTGTCGCCAGTTGCCCCACGTTTACCTGATCATAACAGCGAGTAATGTTAGAAAGATGAACAGAGGAATATGTGGGATAATAACCGTCTGTGCTACATTGCTATAAAATAGTTAAATTTCAACTGCAGCTTGTACTACAATAATTTATCAGCATAGCCTGTTATTAAATTCAAACCGCGATAAGTGAACACTGCGACAATCAAGGGTCAGAGCGCGGTTGCCAGACGAGATTCTTCTTTGTTTTACGCATATCCAAAACCGGAAACTTCGCCTGGATTTTGCTCCATTGTTTTGGTTTCAATAGCGTCTTACTAACGACAAGGAAAACGTTGCTTTTCCATTCACAAAATGGATAACCAAAATTACGAATGGGAAGACGCATGTTATTACTCGAGAACGTGACTGGCGTCTGATTCTTAAGGAATGAAAAACTATTTTAAAGAAGCACGATACTTGTACTGTATATCGAAAACAGCTGCTACACTGAAGTTCCAAAAGAGATTTATATCGTTAGATCAGCGGTTTATAGTTTCTGATCGTGTTTTCCTTCCAAAAGAAATTGATAATTACTGAATATGACCGTAGACTGACAACGTCCTGAACTATTTATCATTGTCAACTCCCAAACAATAGGTTCATTCTTTTTATGTCGAAACCATATCAAACTTATAGCTCTATACTATATATAGTCTATTTATAACAATACAAGAACGCAACATAAAATTACTTGATAACAAAAACTAATGTATATATTTCACTACGCAAACTACATTAATATGACGCGCTTCACATAAACCCAGAACATAACTTTCCAAACATAGCATCAGCTGCGGTCGTCCAACGTCTAAAACAAGAACAGATTTGCCGATAAACACAGCATTCCAGGGAAGGGTTCGCACGATTTCTGTTTTTACTTATCCTAATAAGATATTTTGGTGCCCACGGTGTTAATTCGGATTGGGTAATCGATTCCTGCGTTCAAATAGTTTTAACACGACGTGTGGGACCAGATCAGCATGTAAGAATTCTACATCCCAGATTAGAAAGGACTTTAACGCATTATGGAGTCTATATGCGGATAAGTTTTACATATTTATTTCAGGTAGGGGAAGGCTGATAAGACGACATAATCATGTGGCGAAACACGGCCTTTCGTTCGGTTACAGGTCCGTGTCGGGTATGGGATTAGATAACCAGTTGTTTTGTTTTCAGGTGAATGAAACTGATTATGGAGAAAGCGGAAACCGATCAGCGGAACAACATAAATGAAGAACATCTGTTACATACTCCCTTTGTCGTGTTACTAAACTTTTAACAGGTGTCTGGATTGGATCGCAAATGCATATTTGTTAATCGTGTTTTGATTTTTAATAAAATAATTGAAAAATATGATTGACAATTAAAAAGAATAAATGATGATTCGGTACATAACACAATATGTCTTTTTATCGGAGCACTTCATATTCGTTATATGGATAGATCACAATAGGAGTCAAAGGAAAGCACCAAATAACTAATTAAAAAGGATTGCATCAAACCGTATCCCATATTGCAATATAAAATAACAAGTTAAAAACACCATAATCCCAATACCAAATGAAGCAATCACATCGTCACAGTGGCACTCATCACTCATGGCCCGTACTTGATACTTTTTAAAAGTCCTATCTAAAGTTAGGTTTGAATCATTTTTTTACCCAAATCAAAAATATATCTCTTGAATTTTAAATGTAGTAAAACGGTCTCGTTTGTTACAGTTGTTGGCTGTTTCCCTTCTTCTTTTGCACTCTGATTCTTTTTATTTCTTTCTTTTTTACTTCCTTTCCCTCCTAATGCATTCTTGCATTTTTCACCAATTCCATCTGCATGGGGATTAATATACATGATAATGATACCAGAGACAGTATTATTGCCTTTTTTTCCATATATATATTGGGATCCACATAGGAGAATTGATCAAGATGTTAAACAATCGCGACATATGGCGCAAAGAAAGACAATCATAATTTTGAATATATTTTTTCACTAGGAGTTCGCTAAACACGACTATAGACATGCATTAGGCTGTATACATCACATGTTTGCCTCTTTACATCAAGTTGTGTAAGGGGACTGAAACTTATGGGCAGGGGGTATATTCACTTGGCTAACACAGACAGTTCCCGAACTCATAATAGGGAACTAAAATAAGGAAAATAGGACATACCCTAATCTGGTACACACACTACGAGAGTACCAAGTCTTATAATGTGTCAGTGTCCATACCCAATCTCCATTTTATTTGAAATAAATATACATATTTCTCATTTGAAAAAAATTGTTCAGTAAGGTTACTCTCCACCATTATCTCTAAAAAGAATTTGAAATTATAGAAACAAGTAAAACCTGATATTCTTATTTTAATTTTTCCACTTTGTCCGAAATTTCCTTCAATTTTCCCTTGTTCTCCTGTTGATAATTCTACTTTGAGATTTTGAAATAATTCAATATTTGATTCTTTCTTCAATAAACCGCGACAAATAACAGTATAATCGTCTTGTATCTGAAGAATAATATAATTTACAAACGAATAAAAAATATACTATATTGACAGAATTCCTAACTCAAAATGATTCTAAAAGTTGTGGTACCATAATTAGAATTAGAAGAATGAGAATTTTACATATTTATCCCAGGGGAGAGGAAAGCCGATAAGACGGCCTATCCATATGGCGAACCACGGGCTCTCGTCCGGTTACCATTCCAAGTCGGGTATGAGATTAGTTATATTGTTTGTTTTCGGAGGCATGGACTTGGTGGTGGAGGAAGCCGTAACTGACCAGCGGTTACGTGAACCACCCAACGACGGCGAGGAGTCCAGCAATCCTCTCGCACATAACCATCCCTGCATGGGTTCGAACCTGCGAACCCACGCAGAGTAATTAGAGGTGCGGTGGCGAGCGTATTCCTAACGCTTAGCCCGTTGAGCCACACCGCCGCGCCAAAGAACTTTTTTAAATGTATTTCCATTTTTAATATTCATAAAATTCACTTAAAATTAAAATAGCATTTTGACATTAAAATTTTACTGAATGTCAAATATTTCGCAATTGAACTTTTTGTAACATCTTATTTCCAGATTTTTTTTTAAACCAAGTCTATCAAGCAGCCATAGTAGGCAAATGAGACATTAACGATGCCAACACACTTTCTTATTACTGGACCCCGAAATTTGATATATGACTCGCAACATGGACTCGAAAAGAGGTTCAACTCAGCTCTTACTCCGAATTTAGCGACCCCAAAAAACAGAACATATCCAAAACCGGAAACTTCGCCTGGATTTTGCTCCATTGTTTTGGTTTCAATAGCGTCTTACTAACGACAAGGAAAACGTTGCTTTTCCATTCACAAAATGGATAACCAAAATTACGAATGGGAAGACGCATGTTATTACTCGAGAACGTGACTGGCGTCTGATTCTTAAGGAATGAAAAACTATTTTAAAGAAGCACGATACTTGTACTGTATATCGAAAGCAGCTGTTACACTGAAGTTCCAAAAGAGATTTATATCGTTAGATCAGCGGTTTATAGTTTCTGATCGTGTTTTCCTTCCAAAAGAAATTGATAATTACTGAATATGACCGTAGACTGACAACGTCCTGAACTATTTATCATTGTCAACTCCCAAACAATAGGTTCATTCTTTTTATGTCGAAACCATATCAAACTTATAGCTCTATACTATAGTCTATTTATAACAATACAAGAACGCAACATGAAATTACTTGATAACAAAAACTAATGTATATATTTCACTACGCAAACTACATTATTATGACGCGCTTCACATAATCCCAGAACATAACTTTCCAAACATAGCATCACCTGCGGTCGGTCCAACGTCTAAAACAAGAACAGATTTGCTAATAAACACAACATTCCAGGGAAGGGTTCGCACGATTTCTGTTTTTACTTATCCTAATAAGATATTTTGGTGCCCACTGTGTGAATTCGGATTGGGTAATCGATTCCTGCGTTCAAATAGTTTTAACACGACGTGTGGGACCAGATCAGCATGTAAGAATTCTACATCCCAGATTAGAAAGGACTTTAACGCATTATGGAGTCTATATTAGAGATGTACCGACACCACTTTTGTCGCCGATACCGATCCAATACCAACTAAAAACGCCGATACCGATACCGATACGCCAATATTGCAAAACGGCCGATATTCCGATACCGATATTCCGATACTATGAAAATATTACCTCATGTGTGCAGGGCAGTCGGGTTAAAACACTAGTCGTTGAGCATTATTCATACTACACATTATTTCAGATTGAAAAAGGGTTATAATACATCATAGGAAATTGATGTTTGAGATTCAGATGCGTTAATTAATTTAGATGCATTGTGTACTGGACCTAGTAACCTCGGTATGCAATTGGAAAACTCATAGGCAGGGATATCCAATTCGAATTTAATATTAATAACGCGACCTTCAAATTTCGTATTACAGTATAAGAATATCGAATATCGCCCAAACATCGTAGCGCTGCCGTCCACGTTTTACTTGAAAACATTTCACATATATTTTGTTTTATGTTTTATCGTAATCGTGCGTCGCGACAATAAATTACAGTCGACATGAAAGGATTTCAATCAGCGCTGGCTAGAAGTACCTATGACACGACGAGGATGTCCCTGATTTTATTATTTCATAATATATATATCGCAAATATTATCGTATATTTCGAGATAGTCTGGACGGCCACGGCAATAAATATATGAGGAAATTGTATAGTTAAACGAAATTAAAATCAATGCAATCACAATACTGTATTTAATACCTGTGTCGAGCGAAATTTAGCTTGAAGATGTCGATGATGACACTTGCGCTTAACGATAAACAGTCAGAATTTATCACCATACCAAAATGTGCGTATGCTGGTAAAAAAGACGTTTCTACACTATGATTTAAAACTGGGAACCTAGTTGCTTACCGTAATGCTTATTAAATCTACTTTGTTAAAGGAATTTCATTCATATCACATATGCCCTATGGCTGCTTTACAATGATAACATTATCAAAGCCTAAATTGTATGCCCCTGGATTTAGGAAAGTGAATAGTATTTATGTGGGGGATTTTACAATGTATTCGGAATTTCAGTATCGAAAATATTTTTAGAATGTATTCGAAATAGTCGATGGGTATGGTCATCCCTGCTTATAAGGTTTTGCTAACAGGGTGGTGAATAAATAAATGTTTAGCCTATTTATCCTATCAAATTGATACATTAAGTTACGTGCGCAAGATTTTGTTCCAATATAACGACATATTTTACAGATTAGAAAATCCACTAATATTCGATTGATATATTTATTCATAATTTCTTTGTAATATTGAAAACGTCTATATAAAAATTTGGCAGCAAATTAGTTGGGCGTTTGGCTGATAAATAACTAAGAACAGGTCAGAATCCCATTCCCGTTTCTACTCGCTCATAGTTCACGACTCCCCTAAGCAAAAAATAATTTGAACAGCAGTATTCCAACTTATTTTTTAAAACATTCTGAATCATATCAAAAAGGTGAACATATCGGAAATATCGGTCTTCATTCAGCCGATACCGATACACTACCGATACCGAAAAATTTGCCGATATATCGGTACATATCTAGTCTATATGCGGATAAGTTTTACATATTTATTTAGGGAAGGCTGATAAGACGACATAATCATGTGGCGAAACACGGCCTTTCGTTCGGTTACAGGTCCGTGTCGGGTATGGGATTAGATAGCCAGTTGTTTTCAGGTGAATGAAACTGATTATGGAGAAAGCGGAAACCGATCAGCGGAACAACATAAATGAAGAACATCTGTTACATACTCCCTTTGTCGTGTTACTAAACTTTTAACAGGTGTCTGGATTGGATCACAAATGCATATTTGTTAATTTTGTTTTTATTATCAATAAAATAATTGAAAAATATGATTGACAATTAAAAGAAATAGATGATGATTCGGTACATAACACAATATGTCTTTTTATCGGAGCACTTCATATTTGTTAAATGGATAGATCACAAGAAGAGTCAAAGGAAAGCACCAAATAACTAATTAAAAAGGATTGCATCAAACCTTATACCAGATTGCAATATAAAATAACAAGTTAAAAACACCATAATCCCAATACCAAATGAAGCAATCACATCGTTACAGTGGCACTCATCACTCATGGCCCGTTCTTGATACTTTTTAAAAGTCCTATCTAAAGTTAGGTTTGAATCATTTTTTTACCCAAATCAAAAATATATCTCTTGAATTTTAAATGTAGTAAAACGGTCTCGTTTGTTACAGTTGTTGGCTGTTTCCCTTCTTCTTTTGCACTCTGATTCTTTTTATTTCTTTCTTTTTTACTTCCTTTCCCTCCTAATGCATTCTTGCATTTTTCACCAATTCCATCTGCATGGGGATTAATATACATGATAATGATACCAGAGACAGTATTATTGCCTTTTTTTCCATATATATATATTGGGATCCACATAGGAGAATTGATCAAGATTTTAAACAATCGCGACATATGGCGCAAAGAAAGACAATCATGATTTTGAATATATTTTTTCACTAGGAGTTCGCTAAACACGGCTATAGACATGCAATAGGCTGTACACATCACATGTTCGCCTACTTTACATCAAGTTGTGTAAGGGGACTGAAACCTATGGGCAGGGGGTATATTCACTTGGCTAACACAGACAGTTCCCGGACTCATAATAAGGAACTAAAATACGGGAAATAGGACATACCCTAATCTGGTACACACACTACGGGAGTACCAAGTCTTATAATGTGTCAGTGTCCATACCCCAAATCTCCATTTAATTTGAAATAAATATACATATTTCTCATTTGAAAAAAATTGTTCAGTAAGGTTACTCTCCACCATTATCTCTAAAAAGAATTTAAAATTATAGAAACAAGTAAGACCTGGTATTCTTATTTTAATTTTTCCACTTTGTCCGAAATTCCCTTCAATTTTCCCTTGTTCTCCTGTTGATAATTCTACTTTGAGATTTTGAAATAATTCAATATTTGATTCTTTCTTCAATAAACCGCGACAAATAACAGTATAATCGTCTTGTATCTGAAGAATAATATAACGAACAAAAAATATACTATATTGACAGAATTTATAACTCAAAATGATTCTAAAAGTTGTGGTACCATAATAACTTCTTTAAATGTATATCCATTTTTAATATTCACAAAACTCACTTAAAATTAAAATAGCATTTTGACATTAAAATTTTACTGAATGTCAAATATTTCGCAATTGAACTTTTTGTAACATCTTATTTCCAGAATTTTTTTTAAACCAAGTCTATCAAGCAGCCATAGTAGGCAAATGAGACATTAACGATGCCAACACACTTTCTTATTACTGGACCCCGAAATTTGATATATGACTCGTAACATGGACTCGAAAAGAGGTTCAACTCAGCTCTTACTCCGAATTTAGCGACCCCAAAAAACAGAACTCAGGTCATTTGGAACATATACTCGTAAGAACATAACTATTGTGCAAAGCATTCTTGGAGACTGAAACTTTTGGGTACAATCATACACAACCAGAAGTTCAAGTGCTAAATAAATTTCTTCATTTTTTGTAGAAGTAATTAAGAAATTTATATGTTCCGTTTTTACATGTTACCCTATATTTGACCCTGGGGCTGATCGAGATTTTAACTTCATCTCACAACCCCTAGTAATGACATCTGAGCATCAAATTAAGTGGGGTTTGGTTTAGATGAAAATTTTAGTCTTCAACAAAAAACAATTCAATACATATTAAAATACAATTTCAAACACATCAAAACATATGTGGCCATACTCTGTCAACAATTCCTTCCTTCATTTTATTTTTGTAAACTTTAATATTAGGTAGAATGTTTTTCTCATAATCTTTATCAATAATAGATTCAACAATCCTTGCTTGAAAAGCCAACCTAAAATATATGTACATTATATTGCAGATTCGCATTAGTGAAAATTTAAATATAATGAACATCTTTGCAACGCAATATCAAGGGAAGTTTTATGAAAAGTTTGTTACAACAACCATAATAATTTGACAAAATATAGAGAACAATTTTCAGAATTCAAGTCTTCACTCCAAACAGGGATCTGGACAAGCAAACAATGATATTTGAGCCTCATTTTGGGAGTGTAGGAATTATTTAAATAATCTCGAACGATTTTACAAGAAAGATTGCTTGAAGCAGGGTAATGCACACTCAACTTAAACTATAGGGGGTAGATAATCCTTGAGCAATGCGGAGACAACTACTTAGCGCTACTGACATTATGATGAATTAATTAAAGGAGAAACACTTGGCCATCTATCAGATACCTTACATTGTCAAGTAAATGATGCGCCATTGCTTACAAAAACATAAAAAATAAATTACCTGCATTTGTTTGCATTGATATCAGAATCAAGTCTTGATCCAATAGCAAGACTGTTCCTTCTGCATGTAACAGCTTTCTCAAATTCAAGTAGAACAAATTGATTTTTAGCCCTGAAAAGAAGATATAATCAAGATTGTAAAAAGTGTTATGCATATGTTTGCCATCGAATCACTGATTACCTGCACAGGTTCTCACATTTGAACCCTGTGAAGGATAATTGTGTGCTAGAGGATCGCTGGATTCTGTCGGTTACAGCTCCTTTTTACCATCCTGACACAAATTCCTATACCCGACATGGACTGGTCACATGACGAATCATTTCTCTCATCCGATTAGCTGTCCATGTAGTTGCCAAACAATTTTATTTGTTTCAGATATATGAACTTGATGATGGGCGGATGTTGTAACTAATCCCATATATGACGTGAACTGGTAACTGGACAAGTGGCTGTGGTTTTTCATTTGATTCAGTTGTTTTATCGGCCTTCGTCTCCCTCAAGATAAATATGTAAATTCTATCCTAAATTGAAATTGACATCAGGCTATATTTATATGAATGAAAGTTTTTGATGAAGTGAAAATTATATTAAATAACTACATTACTTGGAAAAGATCAATAATACAATAATAAGTAATTTTGAAATTTGAAAAACACTATTTTTTTTTTTCTATTTTGACCTTAATAACCATGTTAATAACCAGGTAATGATAATCAATAACAATCATTGTAATCTGTTTAGGAGAGGACATTGCAATTAACGAAGAAAATTTGTGGAAGGATAAATATAAATTTTGCAAGATCCTGACAAGCTTAATAATAAGCTGGATTACCAAAATTAGTAAATCAATGAACAATTTCTTTAAAAATGCATTTTTAATAAAAAAAGGCTTAAATTCAACCTGAAGCTAATATTCACTAATTATACTATTAAATATTAATTGAGACTACACAACATCTCATTAATATAAATATTTTATAAAAAAATATTTAAATATTTATCAGGAAAAGTCTTACTTAAATCGAAATATGTTTTAAAAGCATATTATTTGTTGCATGGTTAGTTAATCATGCCAAGCGTTACCATCACACTTTTAATAACCTTGCGCAAATGCTTGGAACCAGTGGGGGATAACAATCAATGCTCAATTACGGCTTCCTCCATCACTAAGTCCATGATCTGACATAAATAACTGATTAACTAATCCCATACTTGACATGAACTGGTAACCGAACGAGAGCCTGTGGTTCGCCAGATGATTGGGCTGTTTGATTGGCTTTCCTCTCCCCGAGATAAAAATGGAAATCTTATATAGATATGACTATATCAAGTGGGAAATGTAACGGCATAAGATTTTAGTCCAATGCATCCATTATTCATCAGTCGATAATAGTATACATACCTTTCTTCTAATTTTTCCATGTATATATATTCTTTTGTAAAATCGAAACAATCTGTATCAGATCTTTTCAAAACCCAAGAAGACATTTTCTCATCTGCACCAGTTTTTTTCGACGAATCAGCAAAAAGTAATAAACGCGCCATGACCGTCGAATGACCAATCGTTATATGGAATTTTGAGCGAGTGGCAACGTCCCCAGAAAAATAGGGTATTTTGGAAATTTTCGCTACCGCTGCATAAAGAGTGGGTAGTGATCCTGGATCACACACAAGTCCTCTTTCCAAAAGCTTCGGCTCAAACTGTGTCACACATATTCCAGCCCTGTCTCCTTGTTGTATGGAATTAATCGGTTTTCTAAACATTTGAATCGACTTTACTTTCTTCACTTCCTGTTCAAAGAAATAGAAATTTATTTTAAGGAATCAAAGTAGATTCTAAATTTGATAATTTGATAATTTTGCTGGATTTTATGTGAATTTATCACAAATCTCTCAATTGACTGAGTTTCAGATAATGTGCGGTGGCCTAGCGGTTGAAGCGTTAGACTTAACTATTACAGCTCCGCATGTTACATATCTTGGGTTCATATCCCACCTCCTCACCCATAGTGTGATAAATTGGGTATGACGAAACGGAATGACCCCAGTCCTTACAAGATAATGAAAATATTTATATACAGTGACAAAGCCTGGAATTTCCAAAGGGGGTTTGAAATTTCTAATTGCGAAGTTAGACCGTAACAGCTATCAGGTCTGGAAAACATGGGTCTTGGGAGTATAATAAGCGTTTCAAGCTTCGAAAAATTGCTAGTATGATACAGTACAGAAAAGAGTTTTTTTCTTTCACATTTCAAAAGAAGGGGTTCTGAGCCGCAAACCAGTGAGTATGCCCCTGTTAACATATCAAATATATGTCATATAGAAAATAAATCTAGTGATTCAATTATTCATTTCACCAATATTTTTTGTCATGCAAAAAAAGCTGAAGTATATCTACAGTTCACTTTACTAACACACACATCATGAGGAAACACCAATCAATGGTACTCCCGTAGTATGTAAACCAAGATGGCGGAAAACGGAGCGAAGTATGTGTACCAGGTTAGGGTTGGGCCATAATTTCAGCTACAAATTTCACGGAAGTAACTTGGCTAGTCCCCAAACTCGTATTAGAACTAAAATAAGGGAAATTGAAAAATAATTATTGCCTAACCCTAACCTGGTACACATACTACGTTCCAGTGCAATTAAAGCTGAAGTATATCTACAGTTCACTTTACTAACACACATATCACGAGGAAACACCAATCAATGGTACACCCGTAGTATGTAAACCAAGATGGCGGATAAGGAGCATAGTATGTGTACCAGGTTAGGGTTGGGCCATGATTTCAGGTACAAATACTACGGGAGTCACCTGGCTAGTCCCCAAACTCGTATTAGAACTAAAATAAGGGAAATTGGAATAAAATTATGGCCTAACCCTAACCTGGTACACATACTACGTTCCATTGTTCGCCATCTTGGTTCACATTCTACGAGAGCGCCCAATCAATTTACCTTTAATGAAGGAACTTCAACATTTTCATTTACAGATATTTTTCCACTCAATGCTGTTCCTGTCATCACAGTACCCTGACCTCGGATTGAAAAACAGTGATCGACACTGAATATGAACGAACCGGATGGTGATCTTTCTGGAATATAGGTATGCCTTTTGATCGTCTAAAAAAAGATAAGTAGGGCATAGTACAAGATGTATAATTTTTCTAAATATTGAACATGTGCAACAACATTATTTGGTACTACTTTGGTATGCGATCTCAGTCGGTTAAGAACTGAATTCTATGAGAATGTCTCAATGAGATTGAGATCACATTGAGCAAATGAGATACCCAACCCAAGATATTGTTCTGTTTCAACCTCAGTTGCATGACGGAGTAGGATTCTTTTTTATACGCTGCCTGCCTACACTAACTAATTACGGTAATAACTCGCTAATTATACGACATAATTCACATAAAATCAATAGGCTTCTGGTCCGAGCTAGATGCATGCGCATGCAAAATCTGGAGCAGATTCAATCACGCTTTCGTGAGATATCGCGTGCATCTAACAGACATACAGACAAATACCTACCAACATACTTACCGATTAAAATTGATAAGTAATAACATTCTCTGACAAATAAAAAGTGGACATGATGGTCTCATGCTTTTTGAAATAATGCTTGGCCTAACTATTTCGCATCGCAGGTTAAAGATTTCAGGTCCGACCCCCATGCCCACCACATCGCCATGGTCGCATTAGCAAGTCGTACTGAAAAAATCCCATTTCTTCCAATCAGATACTGAAATCATTCTGTAAAGCTCCAGTAAAACAAGCCTACTAACTGAAAAAAAAAACAATGCAGCACGATCTAAACCAAAATAAGATTTCAATATTCCGTTTACCTCTATTAATGTTTCAATGTTTAATCCTTGTTCATTTACTTTTTCATTTTCTGAGCCTCCAGGATTAGCAGCTACGGGAACAATATCACATCCAACAAATTTTGTCCTTTCCAATGTTTTGTGCATTTTCTTTGACATTTTCTCAATATGTGCCTGAATAAATTTGCAAGATTGCATCAACGAATTGCTATAGTTTTAGTACCGAAGGTCATTTTCATTCACCATTAAACTTAGACAAGAGCCATTGACTATTATCCAAAAAGTTGGAACAAAGCCAGGTTTCAAGAGTTAAGCAATGTTCCAAGGCCTGAACTAAAAGTGGAAATGTTACCGAAAGAAGAGTTGCAAATGGATGCTCTCACTTTAAGACCTACAAACATGTTTATACTGGGAGCAGAGTCACCAGCAGATAAGAGATAATACTAGGCTTAAAATAATTCTTTTAAAGACACACTTCTATGGAGGATGACTATATAAAGCAGTTAGAAAAGTGCACAGGTGTAGTTAAAATTTGTTTTTTATGAGAAGCTGAGCATGTATATCATTCAGTACCTATTCAACAATACAGAAACATTATCTCAATAGGGAATCAGATTAAGATATTTATTTTTAGCTATGCAAAACTAATATGCAATAGCAGGAAACAAATAAAATATATTGAACAAATTACAAAAACAGACATCGCTAATAGAAGTTGACGATAGACTCAAGCGACTTAATGTACCATCTAGTCAGCAGCACCTTGGTGATGTATTACAGAACACATTATTCATCAGAAATTATGGATCATATGAAGATCCCCCCGTCCCAAAACCTACTTGGGGGAGGGAGGATCTGAACTGACCAATAACCAAACATGACCTGATGTCACCATGACCACATTTGCGTTAGTACCGGTATATATATATATAGTGAGATTTTGCCCATTAGGATATCCAAATGAGCGTGACTGGGAGGTTTTTCTAGGTTGGAAACTTTGGAGGATCTTCATACAATCCGAAATCATTAATCAAAATTAAATTTAGAACTTATTGTTATACCTGTCTTTTATCTTCAGGTATCAAATCAATTTTATTTAAAACGACAAGAAGTTTTTCGCAAATAATTTCACCAATAACAAGACATTCAGCTGTTTGAGTTTGCATTCCTTTCACAACATCAACAACAAGAATCATTAGATCAATTATCTGAGCACCTGGATTAAATGTTATTAAAAATTAATCATGAATAAAAATAACTAATACTGCAGAAAATATGAAGTCAAATAAAAGTACAATGTAGGTACATTCTCGCCATAACCAATCAATGCTATCAAAAAGGTTGGTCATATGTACCTCAGTTATAAAGTTTTGGATATTTGAATTCACAAAAATTGCCTTGCGTGCGCTGAAATACAGACACCTTGGGTATTATATCTAACTCACCAAATTCATGATGCAAAATTTAATACGCAAAATGTATCATATCATCACTTTTCATGTTTGTGAAATCAATGAAAAATAAAATCTTGAATTTAAAAAAAAACTAGCTGTATGAATATGGAATATTGGAGTCTGTGTAATCAATGCAGTTTTTTATACCTCCTATGATAGTTCTAATCAGTGATGCATGGCCAGGACAATCAACGAGAGTATATTGAACATGGGTTATTGATTCATTCACAATATGATCAGGTGCAGGAACAGTAAATGATGAAAATCCAAGATCAAGAGTAATTCCACGCTGTCTAAAAAGCAACAATGCTGTTTTGAATGATAATTTAAGTGATTAATACAAATTGGTAAATACCAAATAGCAATGAAAAACTGTTTATTGCTCATATTACTGTATTATATTGTAAAAGGAGTATCTAGTCTTGAAATTAAACAGTGTCTAAAATTCTAAGTTCTGCTATTACAGTATTAGCAAGTTTTTGCTTACTTGCTCTGGGGATTCTTGTCAAATGCAGCAGTGGACGCGACACTACTCATCGATTTTGATAAAGATGTTTTTCCGCTATCTACATGTCCAAGCATTCCGATGTTGAAGTTCAAATTCGTAGCCATAATACAGTTCTACAGTTTGGAGTACAAGCAAGGCCAAGGGAAAACCGAATTTCGTCAAGAAAACTTTATCTGGGGATTCCCCCGTTTAGCCACGTGATCTGACAGCACAGTCATCGTTGCATAATAAAGCATTAAATTAAAGTATATTCTAAATGATGCATTTTAAATCAAGAATATCAAGAAAAAAATATTTTATGTTTGACTACGAAACTTGATAAATAATATAGTAATTCATTCGGAATTAAATAGGTCACGACCCCTAGGCGGTCGCGTTGCTATGGTTATTTACCAGGAGCAACGCGGCGATCGCTTTTGCTGCTGAATTGAATTTCTTCCATTGTTTGACTCTTGTTTCTGTAGCTGGACAGGTGACGTTTTATTTCCTAAACACGGAGAACAGGCTGCTTGTTGATTTTCTTGGTATGAATTAGATAATATTTTATTACGTGGGGTGTAGAAACTTTAAATTGCAGGTTTCATCGGTCCTTTTCGTTTGTTGTACAGGCCAACTACGCCTGGCAAGTGCGTGTTGGATCAGTAGATTGAGAGTGAGACATAATAGTATTTAGATAAAGTGGCAATTATTAATCTTGAAACATGATATATGCACAAGAATATACTACCCTAAAATACATATGTGTAGCAATCACCCTTTGACAGTTTGAATAAATAAATATTGTATCAGTGAATGGAATAAATGTGAAAAATGTATATTTATTAGTTTATATATCATAATGTATTATGGTAAATTTGGCGAAAAATTAGATAGGGAAACAAATTCAAAAACAAAGTGTGAACTCCATTTGATGAAAAATAGGAAGAATATTGGTCAAGGAAATGTTATGTAAATAATTACTGGATTAGAAAAATAATTAATAAAGAGGAGTCGCTTCAGTAGTATGGATATGTGCATAAACATTTCAATAAGAAACATGGAGCCATGATTTAAAAGTGTGCAAGAGAAATGCAATAGCAGAAGAATCATTGAATTTATTGCATTTTATTTTCTGTAATAGTTTTTTTGTTAATATTGCTGGAGCGTCCAATCACAGGGTGTTCCAAAATGAATAAAAACCCATTAATTTGTTTATCAATTTTGTGAATACCAATATTTTGGGACACCCTATGTTTGACTTTTATACATTTGTGGGTGTTACTATTGTTAATAAGGGTTCAGTGTTGAGCGCAATGTGCCAATAGCATATCATGGGTTTTACAAGAATGAAAAAGTAATAAAGCTCTGAGCCATAGAATCACCATTTTTATGGCATACAACCTATTTTCTTATCATAAATCTTGATTAGGATCTCATATTTACTTCTTATTTTTGCTTTTACATATTTAAAATTACAGTTTAATTGACAATCAATAAACAGTCGCTACTCTCCATACTGCCATAACAACAACAATGACAGAAGTACTTCTGAAAGCCGAACAAGCCCCAACAGGGGTCCCAGCTCAGTCTCTTGGCAAGAAGGAACATTTTATTCCAATCAACACTGGTGCTTACACATCTGTGGGCCAAGCAACAAGCGGATACCGAACAGCGAAATACACTCCAGAAGAATGGTTTCAAAATAATTATTCAAAGTATTACCAGTCTTTTACAGACAGAGATCATGCCGAGCGCATTCAACATGAGTCTAAGAAGTTGGCTAATGAGACCGAAGCACAGACGAACAGGTAACACACGTAAATATATGGGTGGGCAAAGTTATTCGCAAGGGCCACATCATAATTATATTTTTAAAAGAACATATCACAGTTACCTTCAGTTGAAATTTTGGAGGAAATTTGTTGGATGACAAAGTAAAAACATCAACTGAAACAAATTCATTCAGCAAAGCTAAGTTACTCCTTACAAGAGCAGTAGGGCATACTATGTTTTGGTTCGACATGTGTGGCCCGATGGCCATAGTTCGCCCATCCGTGTGTGAATATCATGCATAGAATTTTTGAGCATTTTTTGATTATGTGTTGTTATATGTGGCATTTTAGGATTTTTACACAGTCAATGAGGATTTTTTTGCATTTTTTGACCTACCGGTATTTAGTATTTTTATTATCCCACCTAAGTGGGATTTCAATTTTTTAGTTTTTCAATTGTGTTTTAATATATTACAAAATTAAATTAGATTAATTATATAAGATGTAACTCAGTAAGTGAAAGGTTTGAATGCAGCTCTAAGATCTGGCTCTCTTTATTTTTTCTCAAATTCCGATGTTTATTATTATATATGAGAGACTAATATCTTCATATTCTAATATCTTTTTAGCCATGCTCATCATGTTTAGTAATGAATGTAAATTTGACATGTATTTTCATAGTCTTTACATTAATGATTCTTCAAAATCATTCTATATAACAGAACTCAAGCTGATGTAACGAAAAAACTTGGTGAAAGAATTCATGACATCAATTTCTGGAAATTCGAACTCCAGAGAGAAATCGATGACTTGATTGCAGAAACGGAATTACTTTTTCAGCAAAAGGTGAGCCCTGTTGGAAAAATAATTGAGAAACTGATCTTTGTGTTAAAAATCTGTGTGACTTTGCAGCTAATTATTCCTGTTTACCTACTTATTACATTGTGACTTAAAAAACCGAACGCACATCATTTGGAACATATCGTAAATAGAACATAAGTTTCCTAAAAAGCATTCTCAATTACTGAAATTTTATGGTATAATCATACACAAACAGAAATTCACGTGTCAAATAATTTTTCTATTTTCCTATAAATAATTGAGAAATGTATGGGTCCTGTTTTTTGGGATCACCTGGTACTATTGATAAAGCAGTGCTCTGTGATGGTAGTTTTTTAAAAACATATCCTTGATTTTTGCATTGGTTCATTTCAACAATATCTCATTATACGAAGATTTCTGCATTTCTCTAATGTTATTAAAAGTTCGATAAAAGATTGATTTATCCAATTGAGTTATTAACAGATGGATATTTTGCTTAAGCATGGTTACCCATTTTTTTTAAAAACTTTTTGGTGTAAAATACCAATTCTATACCAGTTTATCTTTAATATTGATAACATTATTAGGTGAGATTGGACAAGGCGTTGGATGCAACTGAAATTCCAATGATGATTGCAACTGATGATCTTGAATGTAGAAGCAGACGGCAAGGACCTGATCTAGTCAAAGATAATGTGGAAATTCAGCTGCTGAAGGTCGAGATATTTCACTAGTATAATATATACCGTTGCCTATTAGCTGATCTCGCATATAAGCCAACTTCGCAAAAAACTGACCTTGAAAGATGAACCTATAAAAATTACATATAAGCCGACTCTACAAATTGTGACACGTCTCATGAGTTGTAGCTGTTGGAATTAAGTTAGCCTAATGTAATTTCGTTTGAGTACAATCAGAGTTATGTGTGTATAAACTGAATTTTTAGTGCGATCAGAGTTATGCGCGTATAAGCCGAACCCTTCGTTTAGCAATTTTTTTTAGTTTTGAACTCGGCGTTGATTAAAAAAGTATGGTCGCAAATCAAGTATGAAAGTTTATATCATGAAGTATTAAATCATTTAATAACCTTGTATTTTCATTTTTCTAAACAGCGATCACTTTAAGGCAAAATATGTGCAATATTGTATTTTTGCATCTAACAAATCTCTGTGGACATAGGATTGCTGGTTTGAAAAACGAATTTATTTTCGCTCGTTCCACATTTTTCATGTTGTTGCGTCTTATATTGCAAATCTTATATCTCAAGGGTAATTGAGAAAGATAAAGTCAACATTTTATATGTATTAGAATTGTTTGTTATAAATTATTATAGTCATTAAATTTTATTGTAATTTAGGAAGTGGATTTGATCAAATCTGTTCAAGATCTGTTGAAAAGAACAATTGAACAAACTGAAAACCAAATCAGGTATGATTGAGAATGTTGTTTGGGAAATTCTTTCTTACTATTCAACATCGCAGATTACAATGGGAAGTGGTAACTAATCAGTTCTATATACATAAACATGTAAAATGCCTCTTTTATTATTGAGATTTCTCTGTTTGATCCATATCCGGGGTGAGCAATTACTTTTCCTGATTGGGCCAGTCACAGGTAATAGTGTCTGGGCTGGAAAAACTCAATATGAGAAACTATGAATAAAAAACAGTTTATTTACAACAGCTAGGCTAACGTTTATATGATATTAAAAAGCACAGTGTAACAATTGGGGTCATTATGACGTTATTTTCAACAAAAATTTATATTCATAAAAACTATAGTCATAATTTCAGCAGACACAAGTGGGCTGGATGAAATCTTTCGGAGGGCGATCCGGCCCACGGTCCGTCATTTGCCCACCCCCGATATATATTCTCTCTATTTAAAAATTCATACTGTATTCAACTAAGAAATATTTGTTATTGTTCAGTTTTGCCAAACCATTTTTTTTTCAGAATGAATCGAGATGCCAAGCATAACTTGGAATTGGATTGGAGTGACAAGTTGGATGCTCACAATATTGATGATAAATGTGGAAGACTCAACAACCAATCTACTGATATACAATACCATCCTAACTCTGCTAAATTTGAAGACAAGTTAGTATTTTTAGTGTTTAGCTTTCTCATGATTTTGATTCAATTTGATTATAAATTCCTTGTCCAATTTTAATCTCCGTTTTACGCTATTTTACATCATCGATGAAACATGGTATTTTTGTTCTTACTTTGGCCAATTCGAAACTTGAAAAATCTATTTTAAGAAAATGTGAAAAACACATTTTTAACTTTTCATTGAATATTCTGATAAATATCAAACGATGATAAGATACCATTTTAAAGGCAGAAGTATTTAAAATATTCCAACATTTGCTTTTTTATTCTTGGAACCCTTGAATTGTTATCATTAGTTCAGTTTTTTGTTACTCATGTTTGATTCTGAGTTTGATATCACAAGTTTAAGCAATGATTGGATGATTGGATCAAATCTGATCTATCATCTCAACCAGGTTAAAACTAATTTGGTAGGCTATGACAACCATATCGAATATTAGCATCTCTTTAAATACAAGTATCTGCTGTGTAGAGCCTCGTTCAGAGCAATAGTTTTGAGGACTGCATTTTATATTCACATGAAATAAACATTTCAAAAGTATTTTTCAGTGAAAAAATGGGTCAAATTTTACACGTTTTGTTTTAACAGCTCATCTACCCCAGAAACCTGGGCACAATTCACCCACGATAAACATTGTAAGGAGCAGAGCGCAGAAAGGATGGCTTCCATCAACTTGAGATCGTTGATAGACAACGTTTTGCACGACACATCGGATGATATGAGAGAACAATGCAACTCAGTGAATGAAGCATTTGCCAAGAGAGTGGAAGAAATGAACGACGCAAAGACCAAGTTGGAAAACCATTTGCAGAAGGTTTGTTTTTGATTATATTGAATATACTATTGCTCAGTGTTTGGTACGAAGTAATAAAATTTAAAATTTTAGGAAAGGGTTTTCTTTTGTATCGAACCCACTAACAACGGGTTCTTTCATTTTAGAAAATGTATGTATAACATATAAGCTGCATAAATCTACTGAATAACAGATTTTGAAACATCAAATTTAAAGCTAGTTGCCAGCTACAGTGTATGTTACTCATTTGCTGTGCAAATGGACTGGACAAAAAACATGTTGAAAATGCGTTGATCGGACGTAAATAATGAAATAACTGAAAAGTTTTGACATGTAAATATCTAAAATAAGGGGAGCAAGCGCAAATCTAACAAATATTTTTAATTAGCTCCACAGCCCCTCAAAAAATTGTCTACACCCCCCTCGTGTGGCGCGCCTATGATCAGGTTACCGTATCCCCTATTTTTTACCTCTTCAGTTATTTTGAGAAATATGTCCACTTATGTGTACACTTTTGTTAAAAATTCGGCAACCTGAAATCACTAATTTACATTTTATTTCATCACAGGTACTCATCGAAATTGGTAATCAAGAGAAGAACATTGCTATGTTGAAAGTTGCCGTCAATGACAAGGAACCACCAATGCAAGTGTCTCAAACTCGCTTGCATCACAGAACTTATAGACCAGCTGTTGAATTGTGCAGAGATCCTGTCCAGTACAGGTATGGCAACTGAAAATTACTTTTTAGGGTAAAAAAATAGAATCTTTTTGTTAAAAATGGACCAAGCTAGGAATTTAAACAGACCAATGCAATGAAATACTTATCGATAACACGAATATGACAACGAAAAAAAAAATCATTTATGCAATTTTGCCCCAGAGTAACTTCGCATACTACCCTAACCTAGGATGAAATTCAACACAGGTATTTCTGTAAAACGAGAAGATTCTGGGATAACAACATTGAAATATGGCACTCATCCTTTGGACTCTGTAAAGTTTTTTTTGACTTTCGATTCGGTGCCTCGAAAATGTCGTCTCCCACTTGTCCCAATGGGAATGACAAGTGGGAAAAGTGGGGAACGTTGGACAAGTGAGACACTCGGGACAAGTCACTCATGTCGGACAAGTGGAGCATGAGGGACAAGTTGGACACACCATTTTTGAGACACCCTTTTTCGAGTCCTCATATTGTTTCTTGTTTAATATTTGATTTCTCACTAAAATAAATAGTAACCAACCGTTTTTTGCTTTTTAATCCATCTCTTTAATTTCCCTAGGCTTGTTTCTGAAGTTGGTTGAAATCACTCATAGCATTGAGTCTCTAAAGCAGCGTCTTGCCGAAGCCGAGCGTTCTCTGCAAGATCTGATGGATACTAGAATGGCTCTCGAGAAGGAAATTGCAGTCAAAGCAAACAGTCTTTTCATCGACCGTCAGAAATGTATGACCGTACGCAACCGATATCCCCACAGTTATCAAACTGGCTGCTATCAGTAAAAGAACTTTTCAACTTTTAGACATTTTTTGGGAGGGAAATTTTTGGGGGTTCCATGGGGGGTGGGGGGTTAATGCGGCCATTTCTTTATATACAGTCTATAATTTGTTATAACTTTGGCCTGTCTTTAAAAGTGTATGAAGTTTTGACGTTTTTGTGGCTAATAAAGCGATATATTGTAATAAATCTATGTAGTATAAATACCTTTTGTATCATCCTAGATTGGATATTTTACTGTTTATATAGTTAAATCAAGCATTTTTGCCTTATTTTGGCAATTTTGGTGCCACATTGCACTTATATTCAGTTGCATACACATTCCGTGTTTTTATGAAGCCATTTTGAAATTATTTTAAATTGTATATATTATAACCATCTGTAAAATGTAGCTTATTGATTGTTTAATTTTAAACAAATAAATACACCTGAATGCTTCCTTTGTTGATTTCTTAAAAATGTGTCTGGGTTAGGAGTTGTATTATTCATTACACAGTTCAGAATACAAATCCTGAGGAATTTCTATAGTTACCTATGTGAGCATAGTCATTATTTTCATATTTATAACAAGAGGAAGAGTGGACAGTGAAATCGCAGCACCTTGTCTAGTTTCTGTGCATAACACCAGTAAATTTTTCCAGTGCGCAGGAGAGATTGGTGGAATAGTTGCATAATTTATGAAGAATTTCACGAGATAGCTATAGGAAACCGCCGACTTATCGATCTATCGGCATGTATCATTCGCTCTGACTCAATAGCGACACCACGTGTCATATCACTAATTATTCGATACAACATAATTTCTCCAAAATCAACAGGCCCTTGGTCCGATATATGATGAATGCACATGCATAATTTGGAACAGATTCAACCTCGCTTTCGTGAGATTTCGCGTAACATACGAAAGTGTGCAACAGACAAATACCTATCAACATACTTACCGATCGAGATTGATAAGTAATTAATTGCCAATCGCCACGTTAACACCTCTGCATGAGATCCTTCTGTGTTTTAACAGCAATTCGAATCGAAGCAATTTCAGAAAAAACGACTCGATTCTGTTTTAAAAAAATTGCAACAGCGTTGTCTCGACGTCGAACAAAAGCGTTTATTTTTCGCGTTAACAGCTTCGCTTCTTAAAATGTAAAGAAATTTTACAAATATGTCATTATATTCTTCAAGTTACCTATATTATATCATTCTATTATCATTCTCACGATTTGATTCGTGTCTAACATAAAGTATAATCAATTGTATTTAGCCCTATACGCCCTTCTTATTCTTTCTCTTTTTTTTCGCATTTTCAATCACTAATAAAAACTTGATCTGCGTAATCATGTGATGTTCTTGTTCCTTGTAATTTTTATTCCTATTCCAATACTTTCGGGGAATTGATTTCTGGGGCCTTTTAACCGGGCTTAAAACTCAAAATTTATATTTCTTCTATTGTAATTATGATACCTGCTTTAGAGTGTCCTGTCTTGGTAGAAACTCACCTTAGGGGTCGGTCGACCTTGTTGACCTTGGAAGTCTTGCCCGTCATCTTCCGTATACATTTTTATGCTTATTGTTGTTTGCTTATGCATATTGTATTATGTACTTGTATCGGAAATAAATCATTATCTATCTATCTAATAAAAAGAGAGCGATGCTTAAATATGAGGACACAATTTATACTATAGTTCTTCCAAATTTGAAAAATGTTGACGAGAACATGATGTTATACTAAATAGAATCAGATTCGGAAATATTCGAATTGGAACATTCTGATTCGCAACTCACATCCCTAGTAACGATGTGTGCCTCGTCTCAAACCCTTAGTCAATCTGCTATTTAAGCACACAGATACAACCACACAATAATCGTTACTGTATTTTCTCGGATACCCGCTTTTAAAAATTTGGTTTTCAAGCAGATTGCAAACGACTACTTCTTCAAATGTACGTTGTCGTTACTTCGACTTTCTAGCAATAATGCCGAATGGGATTCTTATGCTTATTCTGGTCTAGAGTAGGCCAATAAAATGCTTAACGCATACGCCATGCCATTCAGTCCAGGTTGGTGTACAATATCTGTAACAGGTGTATAAACGTTGATGAAAGCACCAATAGCTTAGAGTTCAGTGACCCTCTTGTATATTGGCTCAGTAGTGTGGCGCATCGTACTAAGCATCAGGAATACGCTTGCCACCGCACATCTGATTACCCCGCATGGGTTCGCAGTTTCGAATCGCGTGTATGTTATTTATGTGCGAAAGGATTGCTGGACTCTTCCCATCGAGGGTGGTTCACGTAATTTCAGTTGAGTTACGGCCTCCGGCAGCATCGAGTCCCCGCATCTGAAACAAATACCTAACCGCTAACCCCATATTCGACATGGCTTGTAACTGAACGAGAGGCCGGGATTCGCCATATGATTCAGCCGTCTTACTCTACCCGGGATAACTATGTAAATCCTATTTATCCACAGAAGTATTTTTGAATGAGGCGAACACACACACGAAAGGTGCAGTATGAAGAGTATAAAGAATTCTTAGTTCGATGTGCCAGCTCAACTTATACCCCGTATAGTTACCACATAAAGATCACACACATTGAAGCCAACTTTAATTTTATTCACTGTTTCAATGGTTTATCGTTAATTCCTAGTAAATTAACCACAAGCACACACAAAAAAAAATCAGTATGTTTATTAAATTTGATAACAAACTGCGCACGATCCATCACAGTTCAGCAACAATTAAGTCACACATCCTTTGTGCACGCAAATAACTTTCCCCAAATGACATTGATGATCATCGGACTCAAGCACAAACAAAAGTAGATTAGATGACTCCACTTATAAACTACAAAAAGAGTCAAACGAAACACAAAGTATGTTCATAATCAGAGCTCAAAAAAGGAATCAGAAAAGCATATAAGCAGCAAAAAAATAAGCAATTTATGGCAGCAAAATTAATTAAATATTTGCAACCAAAAAATAGTCCAAAATAATTTTTGTCCAAAAAATTAAGATTCAATAGGAAACAAAAAAAGAGAAAAAAAACTAAATCAATTATTATTAGTATTACAATTTTAATGAGCTCAACCTGCAAAAATGGCAGATCAAAAATGAAAATCTTCCACTCATTTCAAGTAATTGAGTGCTGACAATATTTCGTAAGTACTTAAATTAATTATATTCATGGGACAGCAAACTCTGGGTAGATGGGTGGCTGTGGAAGTACAAAAGTATACCCAGCAAGACATTTTTTTTTAATTTGGTTGAATTTTAGACTATTGAACCAAAATAAAGTTTGTTGGATGGATAACATGCTAATACCTACATTATTTTTAGACCTAAGATTTAATTCAGTATGGAAAAGCGAAGGACCACATTACTAACTTTATGGTGTTTTCTGAAATTTGTCGGCAAGTGTGAAAAAGTAGAAACATATGGCCTTGGAAGCACTCATCAATATATGTTGCAATTCATTAATATTTAGATTTTGAACTATTCTAAAATTATTCATTAAGTTGCAAAATTATAATGTACTTCACAAAACCTAAATTCGCAACAAAAATATCTGATTTAACTAAGGAGAAAGCAATTTTTACAACAAAACTTCTTTGAAGTCAATATCTGAATTTCTTTCAACAAACTTTTTTGAATATTCCTAAAATTGTGATACTAATACAGCTTGTGATAAATATTATATGATATTTCTATTGAAATCTATAGAGCTGAAGTTATAGATGAAAAGGTGGTACAAACTTTTTTCTCTATTTATTTTTTCATTTTGAATAGTAACACAATATGTATTGTGAATTCAAATACCATTCAGAAATGTAGGTAACATAACATTGAACTTCGCTGTCTTCCATCAAAATTCAATCGGAAAATTTTCTACAGCATAAGATATAAATTGAGTAGGTGAAAATATTTTGAAAAAAATTTCTTGTACATACGACCTAATGAGTTGACATGTGACACATATCCAACATGTGAAAAAAAAAATAACACACTCAAATGGAAATGAGAAAACACAGTCAAAATTTTTTTTTAATTTAGCGAAATCACATGAAGACATTTTTAGTTATTTACAGATGAGAATTCCAATACTGGATTCAATTATTTTTACATATTATTTGTCATAACTCTACTCATCATTTCAATTTTGTTAATTAATCCAATAATGTGACTTTCGATAATCATTGTCAGTATTACAGTATCTTTAGAGACACATTGATGATTACGACTATTTCAAATTTTCCAATTTTGTCATATATCCATTCTCTGTGTGATATTCAATTTATATGAAACTGTGATGAAGTTTCATGAAAATATGAATTGAAAACCTGAATCTTCAGAGCAATTGTATTAAATATAATTAAATCATTAATTTTACAGACCTATCTTTATTTTGCCTATATTTGAAAATTAATTGACGTTCTAATCAGGATTGCCAAAACTGAATAGTTAAGTATTCCAAATTCATTCTAAAATAATCTTTTCGAATATGAAATATCGGGTATGCTCTGCAAGAGAAATTTTTCAAGATAATTGTAAATTCGAAGAAATCAAATTTGGTTGTGCAGAATGATTGAGATAAACATTGTTTCATTTTTTGTCTATTGTAAGATGATCTAATGATTTCAAATGTGTTCGAATATTCGATTCGTTTTGGACATCCCTGGTTCAAATCTAATTATCAGTGTTTCAAAATCATCATATGGGTTAAAAAATTTCATCAGGAAAAATATAAGCCATGAAACAGTAAATGAAGATAATAACGGTGAGAAAAGCTCGGTGAAATATGTGCCAAAGAACAAAATATGATAAAGGATTTGATACAATACTAGTTTTCTTATGACCTTTATCTTTACCACCATGCTATAATTTAAAACCACTGTTGTAAGTTCAGATGCCAAATGCTGAGAGTGAATTTTAATCAGAAAAATCTTGACTGATTGTCCTATAAATGGATGAAATAAATGTATATGAAGTTACGATTAATAAGAAGAATCGAATACCGGTAATTCGACAATCATGGACTGAAACACACAGGAATGTCCAAAACGAAGCGAATACATTCAAAATTCATTATTCAATATAGTAAATTTTTGTATTTAAAAATATTTTTCCAGAATGTATTCGAAATAGTGAAATATTCCGTTTTGCCGGTTTCGAGGTAATATATAAATATTTACTAAGATGATTTGCAACCGGTTGTGAGCTGTATATCTGAAAACATTCATAGTCGGTCTCATAGATTTTTTTTGCTCCAAATAACAGTGTGGACAATTTTTAAAATGAATTTTTAACATAGGCTTTTGTATTTGTGAGATTTGCATTAATTAAATGACTTAGATTGGATAATGCAAATACAAGCATTAACTCCTTTGAATTGGACTAATATTAAATTGTACATACAATGTGTATTGCTAATGCAAAATTTTGCATAAATACATGTGAAAGATATTATGAACAATGAGACGAGTGAAATCTTATTAGGCCCTACTTTGTTTTTTTAAATGAAGAAAATGAAACCCACTTTGGGTAAATCAAGAAAATGGGGTATCACTTCAATTTATCTTGAAAAATAAGATATGATTCAGGTTGGTTACTTAAAAAGTAAAATAATAATTTTGGACTTGAACCAAAAACAAATTTAATATTGTTACATCATGCGAGAAATTTGTTAAACATGAAACACAATACTATTATGCTCGTTTAAGCATGACCTAACAATATATATTCATATAAGCAATCAGTAGACACACATACTTATTTATCAGTGGGCCAACTGTGGGCCGTAACAAAAAGTGTGCCAATATGGCCAAAGTGAATATTATCTCTGGATCATGCTCAATAAATATCAATTCTATAAGAGTACAATAAGGTGTTGCTCATGTGCGAATGTCTGGTGCATAGTATAACTTGCTTGTTGGTTTTATACTACCATTAAGTCAGTTCGCTTGTAATATAGAAGATATGCAGTACGTTGAGGAGTGTGCTTTACTACCTGAAAAGGAAGCAAGACATTTTTCATCACAATGAAATCGACTTTATTATTATTAAACTAATTTTTTTAGTAGCTTAGGAGCTAACACAGATTTTGAAAGGATTTCAAAAACGCATACCATCGTCACTTAGGTATATCTACCGGATTGGAAAAATCAGAACTCAGATTATTTGGTCTATATACCAGAGAAAGTGTAACTTTTGTGCAGAGCGTTATATTACTATACATTTACTATATACTAACAGAAGTTCAAATGTTGAATAAATCATCTTCATTTTTGTAAAATTGAATGGCAAACTAAGTCAATAATGATGTATGTAGTGATAAAATGATTTGATAAAACATATATAAAGCAGCTAATCCAAGAGAAATATACGATAAAAAGATAGTGTTACCTCGTGTACGTTAGTAGTTTTAATATGTTGATCATCAATCCTTAACCAACAATTTAAACCATCGTGATAAACATCAGTTGAATAATGTCCTCCTGATGATTTTTTGCCATGGTGATAGACAACTTGAGAAGAAAAATCGTAACATAAAAAAACTTGATAATGAAATTTCTAACACATGATAAAGTCTTCATTTCTACTGGAAGGAGGAACTTTTTTGATTCGGACAACGAGTCCAAGTTGAGGAAATTTTTTGACTCAGATTCGAGTTGAATATTGAAAAAAAAAAAATTCTAATTAAAAACCTTTGGAGCATGGAGCTATCAAGGTGGTCAGGTTAGCAAACTGCGACCAGTGAAAAATTTTTTTGTGGCCCCTAGCCCCCTAAACGAATCTTACTCTTAAAAAACAAAAATTTCCCATAATTTTGCTGTTATCTGTGCATGGATGTACCGGTATGTCCTAAAAATGGCTGCTGTGTGCCGTGTATTTTGTAGTAATTAGCACGAGTTATTAAAGCACATTTCAGTTATACGCAGTTTACTTGCGTGGAACATAAATTGTAGTTCCAGACAGAATTTTCCACTTTAATTATCACCAATAAAATTCTAAATTTGCGACCCTGACTCTATAGAATTCAGACTTGAAGATTTAAAAAAACGACTCCAATATAAATGAAAATACTCCTGCTCTCCAGAAAATTAAGCAAAACTAACCTGCGAATAATTTGTAAGATCGCTTTTCCAGTGCTATTTTCTTGCTCGTTTTTGAAAGGAGTTCTGAAAAGCAATATTTTGATTATCTTCAACACACATAACATATTTTTTGTACCAGATTAGCAATTTTCCTGTAATCAAAGTAGCCTATTTTATATAATTACATAAATACCTTTTCCTATAATGAGATCGGTGTGGTATTGCACTTCTTTATCTATTTTCAGTGATCCTCCTTCCTTGTCATAAACAAATCTTTTTAAATGTAAGATGAGAACTGGGGGAAGTGTTTCTAATGTCACTTTTCTATTTGCTTCTACCTGAAAACAAAAATTAAGTTCATTATTGAAAAGTAACTTACATTTACACAGGGTGACCAAAATAACTAGACCCTGGTCATTTGTAATATAACTTCTGCGCAAAACGTCTTAGATTACTGATCTTTTGGGTACAATCATACACAAACAGAAAAAGTTCACTTTTTGTGAATACCAGAGATGTCCAATTTGAATTTAATATTCGAATATCGCAACCTTCGGATATTGATTTTTATGTTTATAGGAATACTAAATATAGCGCACACATTCTAGTGCCATTGTCCACGTTTTGATTGAAAACATTTTACAATTTATTTGTTTCATTTTTATCGTAATCGAAGGCAGACCTGTGCGCCGCGGCAATAAATAACAGCCAACATGAATAGATTTAACTTAGCGCCACTCGACGTGCGTATATCGCGTCGAGGATATTTTTGATTGAAAATATTTTACAATTATCATCAAATATTCCAACTTAATCAAGATAGTTTGTGTGGCCTCTGCAATAAATCTAAAAGCAAATTGTGTTTCAATAGAACACACACAAAATAGAAGGCCATTCATAAGATAATTTTCTTTCTATTCTATCACAGACGACCAAAACCAAATATTCCGATTACATGTGGAAGATGTTGTATATTTAATAAGTTTGATTTTGAATTGTTGGAAAGGTAAAACACTGATTGGTTTTTGAATTTTTTGTAAACGTAGAAGCTCACCTTCACTTTGGTTTTTGTATTTGTAAAATCCTGCACTGGTTCCAGTCTTGTGAAATGTTCTAGAGCTTCACCGACAGACCATGTCTTCTGGTCGTTTATATCCAATGGTAAAGTAAAAAAGGGCTCGAGTGTTGCTGTGCCACGTTGTCCTTCTTGGAAAAGGTCTGATCGTAATTCACCTCGGAACACATCAGACACTGGTGTTCTAAATATACCAACAAATTTGAATGGTATTGGAAGTATTATTAAAAAACAGGAAGATAAAAAATGTACATATACAACACCCGTACAAAATTTTTTTTTTTTTAATTTTTTGTAGTCGGCCGTATGGCGCATCGTGCTAAGCAATAGAAATACGTTCACCACCGCACCTCTGATTATTCTACATGAGCCGCAGGTTCAAATCCTGTGTGAGAAGAGTGCTGGACTCATTGCCACTGTAGGGATGGTTCACGTAACCACTGGTCCCATACCCAACATCAACATAGAAGGCGACCGGACGAAAAGACGTATTTCGCCCTAAGATTAAGCTGTCTTATTGGCTTTCCTCTCCCACGGGATAAATATTTAATTCCTATTCGAATATTAGCAATCAAAATATATTATATTTTGGATTTGCAATTTCTCCTTATTTTTTATTTTAGAGAACATAGACAATCATAAAAGAATTGTATACCCACTTCACCTCTATTTTATTTAAATTGTGTAACAAGTATAATAAACCAACCAAACAACCAGTTTAACAAAAATGCTGACTTAGAATACCAGACATGTTGCAATTCATATAGGGGACAGAATTACAGACTTTTGTTTGCATACAGATATCATGACACATCAGCAAATAAACTATAACTTACTACCGGTACATACAAAGTTTCAATAAAGTGTGTTCAAAATGTTTGCGTAAGTAAACACTATACTATAGTCTATGTCACATTGTGTTTCTACTCTGATGCGCAAGAATTAGGAGTTTGACCTATTATATATATATATTATGCATGCCCCATACATGTGCAATTTGGGGCTTAGCGGTGGTCAAGCGTTTCTTCGATACATTCAGATGTGTACCAATATGGAGGTAATTTGCAATTGAACGAAATCGGAACAAAATTATGGCCTAACCCTAACTCGGTACACATACTACGGGAGTACCATGTTGACATTGCAATTGCACATCTCAGGTACAAATCTGATGCTCCTCACCTCACCCAAGGGGTGATAAATTGGGTAGGAAATGACGAACCATGAATATTTCAGTCATTCCGGAGAAAGTAACACCTTGAATATAGTTAGATAGTTGAATGCTTATATAGATGAGGTTATCATATCATTTGTTCAGATTTTCAGACTAATTTTTGATATAGCCTATTCAAACTTTCGATTGTTACCGTATTTTACAAACCAGGAGGTGCGTCATTGAAAAACTGCTTGGATTGGAGGTTTGTCTATACATAAAGCGCATCGGACAATAAGACGTTTTTTAATGAGTATCGCATGCTAAGCTCATTAAACACAAAAACCCAATATTCTCACTCACTGTCAATCAACTTACTTTGATATATCTGCACGTCTCATAACATAACTTTTATTTTTTCTTGTTGCCGTCACTTCTTCCCACTGTTCCTCACTTTCTTCTGAATCATCATTTTGTTGATCTTCATGAAGAGGCACCTTGAATAATACATAAAATTGCAGTATAACTTACTGTTTTTATACAAGCTTGCTCACAGCAAAGTGCTGAAGTCTCTACTCGAAGTAGAAGATATTTGAGTTCCAAAAAGGGCTAGTTACTGAAGTTAATTTGACAAAAAAATAACTTTTACAAAATGTTTGGATCCCAATTTTCAACAAACCCATCACAGAAATTAGGTTTCTGTACAAAAAAAAAAATCAATTCAGGATATGAAGCTATTTTATTTTATCAATTTTTGAAGCAATTACCAAGTCGTATTTGACATAGGCTACTTATACAATGATCTGGTGTATAAAGCAGGGGTGTCCAACATTTTTTGTCGGTGGGCCATATAACCAATTTCAGAAATCTAAGTAGGCCACACAAAAAATTTAGCAGGAAAGGCAAGAGAAGAGAATGCAGCTATTGCTTAGCCTGACAGTAATAAATGTGTTGGGCAAAACAGCGAAAGATTTAACGCAGCGACATAAACAAAAAAACATTATGTATGGTATTTTTATCAATGTAAGCGTCTTTTCAAACAAAAACTGTCAGATTTTAATTTTTATGCTTGATGGGGAAAAACCTGAGTGATGAAAATGGCCACACTAAATGGCTTGATGGGCCAGGTTGTGGCTTGCAGGCACCTGTTGGACACCCCTGGTTTGAAGCATTAGACTTAATAACCATGATGGCATGGCAGGCTAATACACTGCTTCAAATCTCATGCTCACCCCTTTACCCATGTAGGGGCTGTTCGTAAGAAGCCTTGTTCGCCGTTAGAAGCATCATATGGAAGAATGGGAAAAACGAAATACAGTACATTCAACTACTGGTATATACTGATCCCGAGTGAAGGGTAATTCCTCAAATCACTGACTCATTGCGCAATATCAAAAAGATACTCTTACCTCATAACCTAGCTCAACTTGAGAATTTTTCGCAATTGTATCATCAGTGTGGTTTAATGTTGGAACGCTCTTTCCGAAATAAAATTCTGTAACTTTGAGCATTTCTTCATGAAGTCCATTCAATACACAAGATAAAAATTCTTCCGCATCTTCTTGTCGTCCCTGTGATGAGGGATTGACATTTAAATAAAAATTTAAAACCCAGATTCAGGGATGTTCAAAAATCACAAATATTGAAATTGATTCTTAAGTAATATTTTTAAAATTCATGATTTTGAGAATAAATCTAGAATAGTGTCACTGTTCCTCTCGATTTTCCTGCTCAATTTTCAATTTTGTAGCGTCATGGAACATAAAAAACGAATCCCATAGAGCCCACAGGAATTTTTGAAATGATTAAAAGTAATAGCGTAATGATTGAAAGTCTAGCCAACAATACATCTTTAACCACTAAAAATGTCAAAGCAGCAATTAACAAGGAAAGAATTTTTTTTACAAGAAGAAGAAAAGAAATACTAAAAACAACAACTCAAAAAAAACAATGCATATGTATACTTTGTGTCCAATAATTCACATTATCCAATATTGAACATTGTATATTTGAGATCAAATTTCAGTGTTTACGCAATTCGCTAATTCAGAAACCAATCTCTTACCCTTTCTGATAGTTTAGATTTGATTGTTGACAACATTTTATAAATATATTCTGGTTCGTGTGATGGTCCATACCATTGCTCTTTTGATGGACGAGGTGGATTTTTTTTCGGCAGTGGTTTCAACTCTTTAACGAGTCTTACACTATAAATAATTACAACAAAAAATGAAGATCGCCAACCAACATAGTGAATATAGCTGGAGAGCCTCACATGAGGGATATTATACTAAATCAGTATAGTGGAAGAGTGGAATCATATTAAAATCCTAAATGTATGCAGTAAATATTATTGAAAAAATCATATCTTTGGAAATTTATCCCATCAAATTCTCTATTCCAGAAATAATTTAGTGTTTTTTTTTATAAAAAATTATCAGTTTGAGTATTGACATATCGGAGTATTTTTATTTTTGATGACGACATCACACAAAACTTTGAGGTGAAAAACAAATCCCATAAAGCACACAGCCTTATAGCGACAACAAGCTATAACCAGGGTTGTCCAAAACGAATCGAATATTCGAATATCAAGGTATTCAATACCTTTTCGGCTCATTTCCGAATAATTACGAATAGTAGTCACTTTTCGCCGTAAACACGGTGTTTCGTTTTACCGGAATCTTCAAACGACTTTTTACGCTTTCTCACGTATTAAATGACGATGAGTCGGCATTTTGATTGTTTATATTCAGCGCGAATGTACGTCGCATAGTGTTGCGACACTTGCACGTTTGCGTTGGTGGACATTGCCGACATTCCTCTTTTAATTCACAAAATCATTTCCATTAGTCGAAAAATCGACAATCACCGTATTTCCCGGCTAATAAGTCGCTTTTCTAGACCCAATTTTGGCTTGATTTTTTGGGGGAGGGGCGCCTTATTGAGAAAGCATGTTTATTTTATTTCTATGTGGCCTGCTTATTTTTCGCATTAGTCTTCTCAAGCATAATTTGTGTTAACCTTATATTTGGTTCTTATGGGTCTGCCAATCATGATATTTAATCGTAGGCCGGTTATCGTTACTTTAAAGAGAAAACACGGCCACCGCCACCGAGATAAAGTAAGTGATTTATGACCCTTTGGTTATGCCGATTCAGCAGAAAACGACAGGGACATGAAACACAGCTGTGAAATAACCCGTGGACGTACCTTGTGGTACTTATCACATTCCAAAATTACTTCAACATTCGGGTTGATAGGTTGTCCAAAATGATTGCCGCTTTATAATTTAAATTTACCGCTTCGTTGTTGAGAATAGTTAATCCCGTGAGTATGGTTCTACCAAACAAACATGATCTGGTTCTGTTCTGACCCTATAAAATTATAGATTGTTCAAAATGATTTTTAACTTAAAATTACCGCTTTATTGTTAAAAATAGTTAATTCTGTGAGTATGATTCTACTAAACAAACGTGATCTGGTTCTAAACATTATTATTAGCGCATATTAGCATAACTGAACAACAGGGAATAATTTTTCTACCCGTCTTCTTGGAGGCCTATATGGGAAACCCCCTTTTTTGAGTGCCAAAAATATACATCGTCCTATTTGCCATGTAGACTTATTAGCCGGGAAATACGGTATTTATAGCCGTAATTGTTACGATATCCAATAAATTGTCACAAGTTGGGAAACAAGTTGATTTATTAGAAAAATACTTTCACCCGCTTTCTGGAAATAATTTTGATAATGATGGTCAAAAGTATCGATAATGAAAGTATTAATACCAAATACCACGGGTATTTGTGGGCATGAAATGTGTGGTAAACTGCCCAATTATAATTAATTTCGGATTCGTATTTACAAAATATTAAAACTATTATAACTCAAAAATACAACGGCGATTTGTGGACTTGAATGTGTAATAAAGTATAAATTATTTTTCCGACTTGTGACAATTTTTTCGAGTACGAAAATAAGAATCAAAAATTAATTATATTCGGGCACAATATCACGGCATTCTGTGGACATAAATTGTGAGGCAAACTCGCGATTGATATTAATTTTTGATTCCTATTTTCGTATTTACAAAATACAACGGTGATCTGTGGACATTGAATGTGTGGTAAACTACCCGATTATAAATAGTTTTTGAACCCTATTTTCGTATTTATAAAATAATAAAAGTATTATTACACAAACATACAACGGCGATCTGCGGACTTAAAATGTGTGGTAAAGTTCCCGAATAATTTACTTTTTGATTCGTATTTTTGTACTCACGAAAAAATTGTCACAAGTCTGAAAAAGAACTCATACTTTATCCCGCTTTTTGACAAATAATTTGGATAATGGTTGGTATTTAAAAGTATGGGCGTTTTACTAGGATGATTTTGTGTTGCGCAAGCATTCAAATCCATCACCGATACCACTATTTAAAATGCCTTATGGTATTATTTTAATTCTGTTAATTAATACAACTCATGTTATATAAAATATATATCGCAATAATCTGCAAACATGAAATGCCTGGTAATATAGCCAGGTTGTAGATAGAAGTTATTCCATTGTTTATTGTATGAAAATTCCTTCATACACTTAGATTCTATTACTGGATTTTATTTTCGAAGTATTCGAAATTTCATATTCGAAAATAATAATTTCGAATGTATTCGAAATAGTGAACTATTCGGTATTGGCCATCCCTGGCTATAACCACTGAAAATGTCAAAGAAATTATTCCTGTATTTAAAGAGAAACGCAACAACATCATAACAGAACTTAGGTTCATTTTGTGTCCAATTATAGAAAGATTGCATAAGTCAAATCATTGTTATCAAAATTTGGTTTTGTAGACGTCCAATCGAATCCGATATTTTCTCAAACCTGGGGCCGGAAGCAAAAGTAAAGGTTGTGAGTCGGAGGCGCTCCAAGCCATTTTTAAAAGGGATCAGAATCAGATTTAAATTTTCTCTGTTGAAAGCGTCCATTATTTGGACCGCAATAACGCTCAATAATATCATAATATACTTACAAGCTGTCTAAAATAGGTGTTGAACTATATATAACATTGTTATTATCAGGTGATGGTTGTCGAGATGGAAATGATCTCATTAGATGACAGAATGGTGATGATGTTAGAAGCGCTTGAAGAGTCTTTCAATTTGTGGTTGAGGAAAATAGAATGGTTAATAAAGAAAGGAGATAAGCTCTGTTGTTCTATATCAGTATATCGATCAATACCACTGGTTTCTATATCAGTGGTTTTCAACCGGGGATCCGGGGCACCTAGGGTCTGACCAGAATAGTCCGGAGCCGGGGTGGGCAAGGTTTTTGAACCAGGGGCCAAAAATCTAGCCCACATAGACTAGCGGGCCATGTAAGTGTGGTCTAAAATGTTACATTTTATGAACAATATATACAGTGTTACGAAAGCAAAAGTGGAAAACAATAAGCCTCGTGTCGAAACTAAATTCAATCACAATCTTAATAAGAAATTCCTTGGGTTATTTTTAACTAAAACATCAAAATTTGGTTTTAGTTTGGTTGTGCAGCATCAGGCGTGCCAATTTGAATTACCATACGAGCCAGATTTGGCCCGCGGGTGTAGCTTGCCCATGCCAGTTATGCTGAATTTTACGCACTGCAAAATTTTCTACACTAATAGAAACAGTTATTCTGTAATTCAAAAACACATTCTTATATATCATGAATTTCAATCTTTAGGTAAATTTGTTTCTTTGGAAATCCTCAGTCAATACCAAGTATTACAACATTACCATTTAGCTGGTGAATTGGAATTCCCAAAATAGAATATAAACATTGATAGCATAAAATATTTTGCATCAGTTATGCTTCTGAAACGAAGATTTGGCGATTTATTACATTTTCCATGTTTTCATGTTTTATTTCTGTAAATTATAAGTGACGCCTAACCAAATACATAAAACTAAAAACACAAATAAAACTAATAACATATATTTTAAAGGATACAGCATTAATGTAGCACCAGTTGCTTGAGTTTATAAATCCTCTGGGCATTAGACCTGGTGATCTGTAGACAATCTCATTTCTTGATATTTGATCTGTTGAAGAAAACAAACACTTGGTAATAATACTGTGGTGAAACATTGCTAAGTATTTCAGTCATTGTGTACTTAATAACAACGTTAATATGTTAGATATACCACGAGGGCTATATATGGGTACATTTACTTATCTTTCGGTAAGTTGTTGTATTATGTAGAAAGGGAACAAAACAATCATTGGAAGAATAAAAACAGTAATTTGAAAAAAATTGTAAAATGTGATTCTGGGACGGCCAAGACAGAATATTTCACTGTTTCGAATATATTCTAGGACAATAGTTTCGAATATGGAATATTGAACACATTTTAAATTGGGGGCAAGTTCATGTGAAAATTACATAAATCCCTATGTCTTCATGTTGATCACATCTAAAACAACATAAATATGAAGGTCATTGTGTTTGCTGTGTTGTTCGTTGTCAGTTGAGATATCGTATGTTTTGATTTGCTTGTCTCCGACGGCTCAAAATCCCTAATTTTTTAATATAAATATTCTAACTTATCTCTAAATTCAATATTTTTTAATATCAAATATAATGAATTTCGAATCTATTCGAATCATTTTAAACATTTCTGTGTGTAGGTTGTGAAATTTTCTGCACAATCACTGAGCTTTTCTCTAGAACCGTAAAAATATGAATCACCATAACAAGAAAAAATTGTGTTGAAATTATGTGACCTTTTGAAGATTGAAACCACACTTAAAATAGAAATAAACTGATAAAATCGTTATCTTACAACAAGGCAGATAAGATAATGGTCATGAAATAATTGATAAAAAACAGAAATAACATTGCTATTGCAAGATTATATAACAGAACAATTGATTGCAGAATTCAAAATGTTGGTATTCAACATAATGTGATTATTGAAATTTTTGATCATTAATTCATCATACAAACCAAGGTACATGTGAAATGTTACAAAATATACACAACCATATATCCTCTCATATAAAACGGTCCTAAAACGGTGAATTTATAAAAATTCGCAGCCGACCCTACAAATCGTGAAGGATGCCGACCCCTTAGTTCGACAACTTCTTTCGAGTTTAAACTCTGAATATATGCGAGGATATACGGTAATTCCTCTTTTATAGAGTACTGGAAACCGTGGAAAAACTCATTTTACTTGAATTTACTCTGCACAAGGTTTCAAATGAGCAGTCAAATGATAATATATAAAAGTAATACTACATCAAAAGAGCAAAAGATACAGGGGAACACTAAAACGCCAAAAGCTATTTACTACTGTATAAATGAAACTAATGTTATATTAGATATAATATAGGCATGGAGCATAATAAACTAATTTCAGATTTTTAGTATTGAAAAAATAGTGATAAGAATGTGTAATAATATCAATCAATTCGCATAGGAATAGGGATGGGCAATGTAGAATAATTTACTATTCTAGAATATTCTAGAATAGTTAAATCGAATCCAGAATACCGAATCCTATTCTATTTTCATACTTATTCAAATAGAGGGAATTTTCCTGATTGCTGGATTTAGATGTCAAAAAATTATAAATGTATTACTATAAATGTATTATTTATTTGGAAATGTCCTTAACATTGGATTTGATTTGATACTAAACAGGCATTTCCCAGGACAATTAAATCTAAGAATATTACAATATTTTTGCTCTCAATTGTTCCAAATGTATGTAATCTCTAAATACTTATATGCTAAATTACGCTTCAAACACTTTAATAGTAAGCGGTTAAATACAAAAATAGATATGAAACGGCTTTAAATCATTATTAATGTTATAGAGTGTCGAGTGTACTAAAACACACCCGCTGAGAATTAATTAGATGCAGGACCAGCGTGAGGCCACTGTGCTGCAACCTATGCACCGGTGTAAAATATTAAATTTAACCACTATCAATTAAAATCAACTTATTATTCTGTGCGATCAAGACGTGCAAAACAAGGTTCCCGTAAACGCGATTTCGTAGTTAGTTATTAGTTAACATCATCTAAAGACGAATTCAATTTCTTTTATTATTGTTACATATCATTATCTACCCAGACTTGGCTCTACTCAAACTCAATACGTAACTATTTTCGCCAGATGCGGCATCTTTTTTTTAAGTTTATCGGCGAATAAAATTACTACAAACGTGCGTCTATCTTGAACGATAGAAACGGACCGAAAGATATGTAATCTTTTGGGAGTGAAATTTAAATGCGACAGATCGTCGTGTTATGCGATATAACTGTATTTCGGAAACTGGTGTAATAAAAGTAATAAAATTATTCCAAAATAATATTTGATTTAAATTAATCGCAAGTAATGTCATAACATTTTACGCCTGGCTTTTGATTTACATGCATCATTTTCTGGGGAAAACTCGCCGGTCGCGGAAAATCATTTACAGTAATGTAAAATGAAGCAAGGCACGCCTGTAAACAATTGAAGATTGTTGCAATCAGATTATCGTAATATCGCCAGTAAGTCGGCACAAATAATTATTATTATTAAACCCTCGCTAGATAGCAAAGCAGGAAAACGCAAAAAATGGTGCAATAACGAGTCTTCGTCGTAAGGTGTACTTCACGACTTCTTGTCCAGAATACGCCGATTGAGATTACTGTGTTTGATGTTTACCGATTTTACGGGTTCTTTGCGATTAGGCAAGTTTAATTAAACGAGAGAAATTTCCACGCGAGAAAGAACGCTCGTCTTTAATTGATAAATTAGAAATCCGAAATACAAAAATTGACGCCCGGCGAAAACGCAAAAATGGTGCAATAACGAGTCTTGAGATGTACTTCGCCGACTTCCTGTCCGGAATACGCCGATTGAGATTACAGTGTTTGAAGTTTACCGATTTTACGGGTTCTTTATGAGCAGACGCAAGTCTAGTTAAACGAGAGAGATTTCCACGCGAGAAAAACGCTCGTCTTTAATTGATATTTAGAAACCCGAAATGCAAAAATCGACGCAAGGCGCCGGAGAGGCGGAAACCGAATCCTGTTATCGGATCCTGTTGGATTCGAATACTTTGCGATTCGAATCCTCCGGATTCGGTATTCTATATTGCCCATCCCTACATAGGAACATCTACATTTAGACCAGTGTTTTCCAACCCATGGGGTTGCGGACCCAAAACTGGGTCACCTAAAAATCTTCTTCGTGGTTCATCCTTTCAACGAGCGCTTAAAAAATTTATTGGTTGTTTTCTAGTAAATTTTATTGCTTATTTTATATTTGGTATTGTAGTGTTGCAGCAACTGTATATTTGGGAAGTATAACAGCTTAAAACCTTGGCAGCATCTATTTTGCTTATGAGAACCCACCCATTGTTTTTAAAAACTCAAATGGCAAACACGACAGCTTTCTTACTAGTGCAACTTTGAATTAACTTTTGTTGGAAAAATGATATATGGAGAAACTAACTATTTTATATTAGTCATTTAATTTTGCGGCCATAAAAGCATAAGATGCCATTCAGTATGTGAATATATCCTTGGGTTGTGATTTCCCCAAAATATATTTTATGAAAAAGTCGGGTCGCTTGATAAAAAGGCTGGAAACTGCATTAGACTATTTAATGCATGCACATATATTATAATACAAGTTATTTATGAAATGTTGAAATTTAATAATAATAACAATACATTTTAATGATCCACCATAATGTTTCAATTTCACGTCCAAAATTTGAATTTCATAAACGGTTTAATAATAAAATACCAGTACCATATGCAAAAAAATATAGAGTGTGAAATATGTATTGTTACTTTGTCAGTGGCATAACTTTAATCAATCATAAGGTCAGGAAAGGCACTATTTCCCCATTAACAGACTTACTTCCTGCATATGAGAGATACAATGCCCAAATAGAAATGAAGAATTGATTGCATTTAGAATGTTTTTTCAGAAACTGAAGGAACAATGTAAGAAATATATCTCGAATGTTGAACTTATTATTGATAAAAAAAAATGTTTGGTAAATATTTACTTAAATTAGTTTATTATGCCTTAACAAAATTCGGTACTACCGTGGTGTGTACCAGGTTAGGTTTAGGCCATAATTTTATTCCAATTTCCTTATTTTAGTTCTATCACGAGTTCGGGGACTGTCTTGTTAGCAAGTAAATATACCCCCTGCCCATAGGTTTCAGTCCTTTTACACAACTTGATATAAAGTAAGCGAACGAAATTAGTTCCTTGCATACTGGTAGGCACACACTTCTGGTGCGCCATTACATCAGCTTCAAAATTGAAGAATCTAAATGTTTATAGTGAGGCCATAAATAAAATGGAAAATTCAAATAGTTTGGAAAGTGTTTATATTCAATATTTTAAATTCTCCATTTCAGTAATAATATAAAATAGTTTTAATAATAAATTATAATTTAGAGCCATCGAAGACTTATAGTATGACCAAAAAGTTTCATTTAATTTGTGGAAACTGTAATTAATAAAATCTTAACCTTCCCAGTTCCAAAATTCAAATTCACTGGATAAACATTTTGTGTTTATGTATTTGATGTTGACCATGATCCAATTTATATTTCATTCGAATTCACCATATTTGAAATAAAATTCTATAATGTATTCAGGATAGTAGATTCATCCTTGGGCCATCCTTGTACTTTTCTATATGAACAAGTCACTAAAAGTTGGGTCTGGTTCAACTTACTTTACCGGCTTTGGTAAGACAGGCAATGGTAGGAATGCGTCGAGGGAATTAACATTGGACTAGTGACATCAACTTTATGTTAGTATACCGGTAGTCGACATATAATAAAATGAATTAAATAACTAACTAGGCTGTTAATAAACTACAAAAGTACATAGGATTCATTACAGCATGATACATGTAAATGCTCTGATAAAGTCTTCGAATGAGACCCACGGTAATATTATTCGAAAATCATATACAAATCATTTCAAAGATTTTTCAAAAAAACGTAACTTTTGTGTAGTGCGTCCCATATTATTGAAACTCCGGGGTACAATTATACACAAACAGAATTTCAAGTGGTAAAAAAATTTCCTTCATTTTCGTAGAAGAATTTTATTTATTTTTTCATCGGATCCATCTTGTATTTGGTCATAAATAACGAACAAAATATAGGCTAATCTTCTTTTCGTCAATATATTGATTTATAACACCATTCCATCTTGTAGATGACAGAGTATGGAATTAGATTGTATCAGACAAAAGGAAAACAGAAACCTAATCAATAAATGATCAATACAGTGATAAAACAACACCCGTCTTATGAAGAATACCACTCTCACAAGATGAGGTATAACCTTACCAGCATGTTTAACATTTAGCAGTCGCAATGCATATATATCATAGAAACATAGAATTTTGCACAAATTTTGAAAATGCTTCAAATTATGGTGAAAAATTAATCCAAGCTGATGGAGAACTTGGAAATTGATGCTGTGGTAAAGCTGTAGCTTATGTCACATTTTTCAAAAAAAAAAATTTTTTTATTGTCTTCTATCATTATGGAGCAGGGGCCATTTTTTGGTCTGAGTTTCAAAGTTGTACCTGTTTTGGATTTTCTTTCAGGTAGTACCTCATGCCCATTTTTAGGTTAAGCTGTACGTGTACAGATTTAATTCTACACAAGTATGATTTTCTCGAAGCCCCATTAATAAAGATGTGACATAAGCTGATTTGGTTTCAGTGAGACGATATAAAACAACGTTGCGCCCAGCTCTTACCACTGTCACAAAATACCTACCAGTATACCAAAATTTGCTATATTATAATAATATATAAAATTCGCAGAGTCAGCTGATGGAGTAAATTATGAAATTAAACGGCATTAGGAAATGAATATCCATGGTATTAAAACCCACAAGAAAAAGACAAAGCCCTTTCAACATTGTTCAAACCCCTTTAACCAGGAATTCTAGTACTAGAACTAAATATAACCACAAAATCAATCATTGAATAATCAATAATTCAAATGTTACTCCCAATTTATATTGTTCCATTTTGGTTGGTAAAGAATTAAGAATACTGTTATGCCAAAACAAGATTGACAAGATATTTTCTAATTTTGCAACTGAGAGGTGATAAATATACAAAGAGGTATGGGAGGCTAATACGTTAAAACGAAAAGTGACTCTTTCATTAACATAAACTAATAAACACATTCTTTGAACAGAATGATTTCAGTTTTTGATATAGGTTGGATTGCACGCCTTCAACCTTACAATGTACAACAGAAGCTGTCATTTAGACATAATGTCACTGCAAGAGCAAGAATTTCAAGTCAAGCTCCATTTACTTTCAACTTACAAACCGTACACAGAGTGAACAAACACATATGAAATGCATAGAAACTAACAGTTGATCGGGGGAAAGAAAATTGCAAAAAATCAAACATGATTTTCTACTGCTGCAGCAAATTTCGGATCAGCATTTTTCTGATTTGGCATTGCCTACCCAATTTATTACATCCTGGAGGAGGTGACGGACATAGGATTCGAACCAGAGATTTTTACTCCCCCTATGCCATCATAGTTACGGTAAGTGTAACACTTGGCCACTGCACTCATGAAAATCCTCATTCATAGGAAATATTCCATCAGTGACAACCAAACAATATATGTTTTGAATGCTCATCTACACCAGGGGTTCTCAAACTTTTGGTGTTGCGGAGCCCTTGAAAGGTTGAATATTATTCGCGGAGCCCCAAAATAAATGTTAAAATTTTACTTTCAGATTAATATTCCTGAGCAAGTTAAAAGTACTTTACTTATTTTGAATGCTGAACCCTTTTTAATAGGGTTAACACAAGTCATAGATAAATCTAAATTTCAAACATAATATACTAAAGCTGTAAATTTGACACTTGACCAACATATTGATAAATTAGGGGGCGAATCTTTTCCCTTTTGACATTGAAAGACTTAAAAGGCCGCTAATAACAAGCGCGATATCATTTTGTTACAATCGCCGATTTTTTTTCGTCAGCATGGCGTGTTTTTGAACCTTTAAACATCTTTACGCCGGTGTTTATTCTCCCTAAATCAAAAATTTCCTTCGGCATATACATGTATTGTTACACAATGACGACGTTAATTGCTTTTTGTTCTCGTGGGGAAGTATGAGTTTAATGTGAAAAACATGTTACCATATTATAGTCATCGGCGATGAAAGGCTAAAAATAATAATTAATAAAGAGGTAAATCCGCAACTCAAATTTCTTAATCGAAAAACGCCTTCTAAAATATTAAAACTGAAACTTAAAATGGAAGATCACACGTTTCGTTTTCAGCAGACTCACCTCAGATTGAAAACGCTTTTATAGACATTGTAAATCATAAAATTTGGTGTTATGTTAGGTTTTCATCGTAGTAACTGCGAAATCGAAACACAGTCAATTGTGAGCGCGATCCGCGATGTACCTTTTTTCATTCTGAAACTACCGGCAGAGCCGAATGCAATAAAATAAATTTCAATTGTTCGTATTTTGCCCAAATATTGTGATTTTTTAAACGGCGATATCTTGCTTAAAAATAATCTCAAGTGCAAAAGAACAAATCAAGTTTGACAAATCCCAAGATCGCAAAAATACGACTCCAATTTATTTATAGTTGGCAGTTTATCACATATTTTATGTTATTTTAGAATAGTATTTTCATTTTAGTAATCCTAATAGTAATCTCGAACCAAACGTGAGTAACGATGAGACACGTTAAATGCTCGCATCGGTCATGGATTGAATATTTTACGCAACAGAAATCTCGTTATCCGTTTTTTTAATCGCGAAGAATGTTGCGCGGAAATTTCCGATTCCAATTTTGAACCACCTGCCTCTTAAGAATCCTGGCTGCGCTCCTGCTTATAAATAATGTCATTTTTTAATTCCGCCTCTTTACCATATTTCGAGGCTATATTGTTGTCAGATTTTATCAATGCTGTTATTGCTTCTTTGAACAGTTACAAAATTTTGAGTCAGTATTTTGAAGAGTTCGCGGAGCCCCTGGGTTTCTCTCGTGGAGCCCTGGGGCTCCGTACGGAGCACTTTGAGAACCTATGATCTACAGTTCTACACCATACTTGCTATGATAGAGTAATTCATTTAGTAGTTACCTTGACTGCCTTTTACATGTTGCTTATTAACTTGTTTAACCCTATATTGCCATAGAGTTTGAATTAAGATAACAAGAAATATTCAGGTTTATATTGCAGCACTAAAAACTAGATACATTATTAAAGTATTCATAAATTTTGTACCTGCGATCTGCTTTGAAAATGGATCTTTATCGACGCTCGTAACTTCCGTCGTAATTTCTGGTTTCGATAAAATACCATTTTGTTCTGAAGTGTTTTTCTTTTTCTGCTGGGATGTTTCTTTGGGTGAGGGGTGATGATTCGATTTACTTCCCGCCACAGCCCCGGATGAGAAAGATACAGTTTTGACTGGTTTTATGTTTGTGGATGCACTACTACTCCCGGAAAATAATGCAGCCCATGTTGCAGGCTTTTGTTTTTGATCTTTAATATCAGAGTGACTAGCGGCGCTTTGATTTGATTCTGATGAAGAATTTGCATTAGTATCGTCAAGTTCGATTTCTTTTGCATCGTTCTCATGCGTGATTAAATTTTTGCAGAATTAACTTGACCGTTTATACTTAATGATTCTGTGTTGTGACTAAGATTATCTATATCCAAATTCCGTTAGTAGATTCTATATTATTCGGAAGATGATTTGACAAGTCTACTTGAGCATTTTCAGAAAAAGCGTCTGAATTTTGTTCTGTCAAGTTATTAAAACTACTATTATCTTGAAGTTCTGTTTGTTGATCATTGCCGTTGATTGTAACTTCATTGTGATGCATTGTTAAATCATTTTTTCTTAAATGATTGACGTCTGATGATGTTTTATGTTCATTTGGCATATGGTTCTGATTTTCATCTCTCAGTATATCAATTTTATTGTTGCATGCATCGTACGGTACATCTCTCGTTATGTCCCCATTTTGATATACTCCGAATATGTCCGCTAAAAAGGAACGAAAAGCATTACCAAAAGTAGAAATAGTCTTGGAATAAGAGCCCTAACTGAAAAATCAAAAAAAAAATATTATCAAGCAAATTGGTCCAAGTCTATACCAAAAGAGGCATCCAATTAGAGATGTACCGATGTATCGGGTATCAGCAATATCGGCGATGTATCGGTATCGATGAGATTAAGGCCGATATTTCCGATATATTTACCTTTTTGATATGGTCCAGAATGTTTTGAAAGATAAGTTGGAATACTACTTTTTAATTTATTTTTTGTCTGGAGAGATCGTGAGCTACCCCTGCGAGAGAATAGGATTCACGTGTTTTTAGCTATTTATCAGCCAAACTAGCTCAACTAATTAATTTGGCTATTTCCGCTGTCAAATTTTTTTATTGACATTTTTAATATTACATAGTAATTATGAAAAAATATATCAACACAGCACATAACAAAAAGCAACTAGGTGCCCAGTTTTGAATCATACAGTGGAATGAATTGGGGTCCTTATTAACGGCACATGGACTTTTGGCACGGGTATAAATTCTGACTGTTTGTCGTCAAGGACGAGTGTCATTTAGTCCGTCGACATCGATAAACTAAATTCCGACACAATTATCCATCTACGCAGGTATTAATTTTAATTTTGTTTAACTACACAATTACTTTATAGATATATTGACATGACCGCCTAGCCCTAGACTGTCTCAAAATATATGATAGCAATTGTAAAATATTATAAAAGTAAAGTAAAAAACATCCTCGACGTTATAGGTAGGCCTTCTTCTTGTCGGTGCTGATTGATATTCTTCCATGTTGGCTTTGACTTATTGCGTCGACGATTACGATTAGCCACGAAATAAAATATTTGTGAAATGCTTTTAATTTGAACGTAGGCGCTAGAATGTGTGGGTGATATTCGATATTCTTTTAAACACGAATAACGATATTCGAAGGCCGCGATATTATTAACATTAAATTCAAATTGGACATTCCGGGTTATGAGTTTTCTAATTGAACACCGAGATTACTAGCGTTACTGTACAATGTATCTTAATCAGTTAAAGCAAACACCCAACATTAACTTCATATTATGTGATATATCTTTTTTTCGATCTGAAATAATGTGTACTATGACCAACGCTCGAAGACCGTTGTTTTAACCCGTCTGCCCTATACAGCACACCTAATTAAGTAATAATTACATAGTATCGGTATCGGAATATCGGCCTTTTTGTAGTATCGGCGTATCGGTATCGGCGTTTTTTGCTGGTATCGGATCGGTATCGGTGACAAAAGTGGTATCGGTACTTCTCTACATCCAATTACATTGTAATATCAATAAAATAGATCACACAACAAAATCAAATTACAAAACTTTGGAAAACATCTCTTCAAATTTTGTCTTACATTACTCTAATATTTTTTATTTTAAATAAGCTCTATTTTAAATAACTCTCAAGTAATGTAGCCAAAATGTAGACCAAAACATGAGTATAATACTATTAATGAAATATCTAATAAAAATACTTTATTTCCATAATGAAATTATGAATTTTCGCACGAATTGAACCCCCTCAAATATGGTTTTTTGCTTCATTCAAATATTCAATTTATTGCGAAATCTCTGGGTCTACATTATTTTATTTCAATTAAAAAAAAAATAAGATCAAGAAAACGTTCACTTACGTGTTACATAATTGCATGAATTCGGAAACTGAAAAAATATTTCAATTTTGATTAGATTGATGTATGCCAATATATATATGCCACCCAATGAGCAAGAAATAAGCCTTAAATGTGAATACCACACTTTATACATTCTTCATACCATACAACTGAATTAGGGTATTTTGTTTCAATACCAAGATTCTTATCAACAGTGAGACCTAATATGAATAAGTTATTGTGATCCACTTGTGTAGAATAGATTTATAAGAAGATACACAATGTACAAGATTCTTTTTCAGATTCTCAAATATAATACGAAGCTTCAATCAATATTACTGCCGGTATATCATAATGTAAAATATGTTGTCTGTTGAAATAGAAAACGAGAATAAAAAAATACCTCCACGCATCCAGGTTGTATTAAATAACAATTATGTTCTTCCTCTGTGAAATCCCCAAAACTGAACTAAAAATACAATTTGCACAATTCAAAACTTCGATGATACTATAATCAAAGAAACACCCATGTCAATAATAATAGATAGGTGAAATAAGTTTGGATTGTTAAATTGCGACTTACTTTATTAACTTGCAACAAACTGAATGCAGTCGAATCCATAGAATAGGATAGAGTTATAGAGATACCGTAATTTAAGGGCCATACGACACACTTTAAATCTTTTTTTTTCTTAAAAATTGATCATGAATTTTATCAGCCAATGTGCCTAATGTATGGATCATAGATATTAAAACCTGTAGCGCCTCATTGTCTGATGTGCCTTATGTATGAAAAAGTACCCAATCTAAGCAATTTATTGACAGTGCGCTTTATGATCTGTAAGATACGGACACAAACTCGATAATTATTTTCATACAAGAGCAAAAGTTTAAGCGAAAGAAGTGAAGCATACTTCTATCAAATGTTTTGCATTTGTGAATACTGTTTATACGACTGTCGCGTGGGATAAAAAAATTTCCCAAAAGAATTTTGTTTCAGATATTAAAAAAAATTTTGTCAATGACTTGTAAAACATTCAGACATCGAATCCAGCTTAGACTCTGATAACAAATTCTGATGACAAAAATTATGAAATCAACAAACAAGCTTTATTTAATAGACTGTTTTGAATGCTTAGTAAAGTCAATACATTTCGAGTTATAGTCGAAAGACTTCACTCATTTGATCACCATTGAAAGTCTGAAAATGGAACTCAGACTCAATCCAAATTCCAGGGAATTCATAATTTTGACGAGTTATAGAATGCGACTCTGTCTCCGACTCCAGAGAAAACATGTTAACCTTCGACCTCTCGACTCCAAAGGCCTGACTGTTGCAGTCACAGTCAACAGAATAGAGTACATCACAAATTCATGAACAATAAAATTATTATGCAATTACGGGTTACATTCATGAAGGACAATAATTTATGGTAAGTTTCAAATTAAAATATATAAATTCAACTTACTCGAGGTGCTGATGCCATGATCAGCAAGAATATGACGACTATCCTTTTCAACAATTTCCTTGCACCAAATATCTATCTATTCCCTTTACTCATTGTATCACAAAAATAATATCCACAGAAGCTATTATTTCTAAGAGGGAGAAAAGGTTAACAAGATATAACACGTTCCATAATTCAGGTCTCATGTAGAACATTGAATGATAGTCAGAGAGATAGAATACCAATTTCTATAATCCTTAAAAGAGTTTGATAGTATAGAAAACGAAGACCTTTCTCCTGGTTACAAAGCATGCCCATATTGGTCGTATTTATGATATTTGAAACAATACAGTAATTTTACGTATAATTGTATGACAATGCAATAATACACAAAAGACAATATCTCAGGATTGATAATCTTAGTTTTAAATCCCATGCCCCCCCCCCAACCCCACCTTACCCATGGGTGGTGAATTAAATTGTGTAGGCTATGTCGAACTGGGAGGATACCAGTACTATATAAAAATAACTCCTTACAAATCTTTAGATATCAGGGGCCTTATTTAGAGAAAAAGGAATGAAGACGCATCGTTTAAAAGATACCTCATTTTTTTGTTAGTCACAACTAAAATTGAATCCATCTCTCCACTTTAATAAATACTTGCATTGTACAATTATTTTCAGTCAAAAATTCTCTATTGTAAACGGTGAATACATTCATTACCACAGTAAGTAGTACAAATTTCACAAAAATATTTTTGCACATGCAGCATGCATAGTTATGAACTTATGATTTTGTCTGAGCAGAAAAAAGAACAATCTTTACAGCTTACAATGCAATAAATATAGTATGAACAATGAATGCGAACGGGCAGTGATGACTATCAGTCAGTCAGAAAGAAACCGGTAGACAATTTGAATTGCTTGGTCTAATGCTCATCCATGGTAGACGTTTGTCAACACTTGTGATACTGAGGTCTTTTTATAGCGCTCCAGAAGTTTGTGTACCAATATGGGGTAACTAGTTTTGCTTGCCTACTTTACATCATGTTGTGTAAATGGACTTAAACCTATGGGCAGGGAGTATATTCACTTGGCCAACACAGACAGTCCCCAAACTCGTAATAGAACTAAAATAAGGTAAATAGGAATAAAATTACAGCCTAACCCTAACCAGGCGCACACTAACGGCAGTACCCTTTTTATTACAAGCAAATATTAATAAATTGGGTACTCCGGAAGTATGTGTTTCAAGATGGCGGCCACCGGAATGTAGTATGTGTACCAGGTTAGGAATAGGCCATAATTCCAGATACAATTTTCTTTATTTAAGTTCTATTAGGAGTTCGAGGACTAGAAATCATGGCCTAACCCCAACCTGCTACATATACTACGTTCCGGTGTCCTCCATCTTGATTCACATACTTCAGGAGTACCATATTGTAGGCGTAGCAAATGCTGGATATGGCAAACATGTGAGATTATACGCTTATAATGGCACCAGGAGCAATAATTTAAAATTGGGTTCAGCCCCAGAGAAAACACGAATCTAATGAATACTAAATACTAATAAATTACATAAATATATGTTGTATGACATTGCAATGTTGGATTTTACTAAACATACTCAGTATGAAAATCACACAACAACAGCAACTCAAATTTAACAAAGTGGAATCATGCGTCCACACTCATGAATAAAGATTGATCCCCGAGCGAGGTTTCAGGAGACCAATAACGTGCCAAGAGCTACTGAGGCTATAGAGATGTATAGTATAGAATTGCGTGATGGCAAATACTGATGAAGTAGAACTTGAACCATGTCAAATAGATCGGGTTTCCAACCTTTAATACAGGAGGGCCAGATGGAAATAACTGGGCCGCACCTTTATTTAATATAGGTTTTCTAGTAGTTGGAGGCTTTTGGTTATTGATCTTGTGACATGCGTTGATCGCCGAGGGGGTAGAGAATTCCACCTAAATAAGTTCACCATCAAAATTAAATATGACATATTTTATCGATTTCGCATGAGGTGAAGTACAGGATATTTATTTCATCGCAACTTAAGGGAGATTTTTTTGGCTACTCAGAATAGAAGCTCTTTTTTTATAGATTTATGACTGGCACAGTGATACAGTGGTATACAGGGTTAGAACAATATAGATTCATTCTACAATCATTTACCAATATTCAACATATGATTGCACAATATTCTCATATTATACATAAATAATGCAAGCAGACACAGATAAAGAAGCTAAAGAATTAGTAGAAGTGGTAAATAGCTATCAGCAGCTGACAATCCATTTCATCCTTTCTATTTTACGACAGACGGACATCAGCAGGTGCAAAATTTGTGAAAAATGTTCAGAATTTATATGTTGAATATAGCAAATTATTAGGAATTGAGGTTTCCAATTATGATAAATCAGTTGCAAATATTACAAATTAAACTATTTAATTGAAATAGCTATGATTTATATTATGGCTTTATGCCTAATATATTGCAGTAAATTAAAATGATACAAATCAAATAATATGATTTGAAGGACGAATAACCGGTTGAAAAATGTTAAAAAACGATCTTGAATATCTGAATACTTGAACAAGGATAATTTTGGAAAAGGACGGAGAAAAGTTTTCGAACAACATCAGTAGCATGATTGCTTTTTTTTGTGTAAAAAAGATGGGAAATTAAATTAGCTGATTCAATCTCAGAACTAGTTGTAACTTGGACATGCTTTTGCATGTGTTAGCCAGTTATGTTATGGTTAGGTTATGATGATTGACTTCAATTTATCTGCATGGAGCAAAAACCCTGCTGACACAACTAACACTTTTACAGCAATAAAAATACAATGGCATGATGTAATTGCAAGTAAACTAAACAACACAGATTTAGTCGAATAGAATTATGACTGTCACTACCAACAACATCAAACATTTTATTCTTTGCAACAGGGGTGTGCAACATACGGCCCACAATGAAAAATTTCTGCGGCCTCACAGAAGTGCCAATTTTAAATCGTGTACGGCCTGCGAAACAAGTTTTTGATTCAGTTTAACAGTTTTTTTTTAGAAATTTATGCATCTTAATTAACTCATCATTTCTGCAATGCATAGGATCAATAACAGAAATGAAAAAATGTTTGTGCCTGCAACTATCAGAACGCCTCTGTTAAAAAAGGTGCGGCCCGTGGTTTCACCCAGTTATTTGCATCTGGCCTTTCTGTATTAAAAAAGATTGCACACTCCTGCGACCTGCTTTACAAGACCATATTCCACAAAAATATACCCCATAGCACCTTCTGATAATATATGATATAGTCACCCTCTACAATACCCAGAACCTATTTCAAAACACACAAATATATATATTAACATTATTGCATCTATTTGCTATACAGAACAGTAGAAAATAAAACGACTGCTGTACCTATAGTAAAAAATGGACCTGGATGAAATTCATTAAACATAAAATACGAAACTGCACTTGATATAACGATAGAAAGTGAAGCAGCAAAACTTTTAACAATATTGTCTGCATATTTGATAACATTAGAGACAAGGAGACCGCCAACAGCATGTAATATTACAACGAACCATGTTAAATGATCGTATCCTTGAAAAATTCCATCTTTTCTAATCTCTTCATAATTAGTAAAATACGCTGTAAGTCCACCAAAAATGGTGCCAAATAACGCCATTTGCACGTTTCTTATCCATAAACTTTGATTCGAACGCTTCAAAAGTTTTTCGAAGTAAACACCAGCGAAACCGCTACTGATACACGAACAAAAAATTGCAAACAAACCATACCAACGATAGGCAGGATCTTTTTCTTCGGAATTTTCAGGTGGGATTTGAACTAAAGCCACTCCCCCCATCAACAAAACCAAAGAAATCCATTTCAATCTGTTTAAACTTCGACCAAGCAAAAGAACAGAAAATATTGCACTGCTTAAAATCTTCAGTTGATATGTCACTTGATATGTTGGAGCGTCCAGATACGATAACGCTATAAATAATAAGTTATTCTGTATAGCATACATACCAGAAGGTATGGCAATTTTAAAAGTTTCAATTGGTCGACCGATGACTTCTCTTAATATTTCATCCACGGTAAATCGTAATGAATATCCTTTTGATTTCAAAATCATCAAAATACAGCATAATAGTTTCACCACCTCTGCTATAACCACAACAGTACTGTTAAGAAATCGTGGCCCTTCGACAGGTCTGGTTCTGGAGTAACGTAACGTCAAAACGAGAGTTGTTGTCTGTATGACGAGTAATACAAGTGCAATCAGCTTTTTTGAATTCATTTTTTTTTAACTATGATTACCTAGAATAGTGATTCAAATATAAAATAATATTACCAATACTTTATGCATCTGTGCAGTCTGTGTGTTATGGACAGATAAACAAAACGTCAACTGTTCAGCGAAATGAAATCAGGATTACATCTAATTTGATACAACATTCATTATTACAAAAGAAGGAAATATTTCAATTTGTTAAGCAAACAGCTACAAGCTAGTGAACTCAACATAACTGAAGTTCTTGAAAGAAAAACTTTTGGCATACATAGAATTTATTGTCTGGTAGGTATACAGACTGTAAACGAATTCAAGTTTACAGTCAACCAAGTTTGATGGCTGAAAACTTTCATGCTCGCAACACATTTTGACAGAAAATTTTCATTGTCACATTGCAAAAATTAAAAACCTAATGATTGTGATGTTTATCTATAATTAGGACTGGGAATTTTAAGGAAAAAACTTACGTCACTATAATATAATAGGGCCCTTCAAACAATACGAACTGTCATCCAAGACATGCAGACAATAACCCAAAATCGACAGGCTACTTCTCTAGTTTTCTCGTCGCAATGATCCCGATATGAGAGAGATCGCTGCCATGAGCTGCTCTTTATCGTCGGCGCATACCAGGCGATCGTATGTATAGACTACTTTGGCAAGCTCTATGACGTGATTGTGACGTTTTAATTATGTAATTTTTGGATGGCGTGGTCAGGTGAGGGATAGGATTGACATGTGCAAAATCAATTTTGTAACGACTTTTCGACCCACAGACTTTCCAAACTACAAGACGATTGAAGTTATGAGTTTGTTCTACATTCGTTTCAAGAGTTTCTTTAAATTATAATATATGACATGTCTGCATGTGGACAGGATAGGACACTTATGCAAGGTCATCGAGACATGTCGATACTGTGGTAAATTACTGTGCAAAAATGAATTTAAGAATATTTGCATATGTGTGTTTATATATTTTTAATTTGAATAAACTCAAAAGGAGACTGAAAGCAGTCGGCCATGTCTGCATGTAATTACAAGATGTGCCGAAATTTGGTTCCATGAATCAACACCCTACCGTATTTGTCTCTGAAACGAGAGCGTCTAGCATGACGGCACATTTGTCTGATAGTTTGAATCAATCCCCACGCCAAACTTTTTTTTCTTTTAGTAAATCATTTTTTTTTTTTGAGGAACCCAGTGGTGATTTTTTAGATTGCGCTTCCTTCTAGTTTATTGCAATATTGCGCAGTGCCATTCCTATACATTTGCAAAAAATGTGCGACCTATTGCTGCATTGTAATGCGATTACCAAAATCCTCTTTTTAACGGGAAATTCACTCTTCGTTCATATCGTAATATTGAATCAAGTCTAGCGGTGCTGGTATTCAACATCTAATGGTACCGGTACGGCGATAAGAGGAAGGCACGCACCTGGCAGATCTGACGACCACCTACCGGCACTGTGAATGGCGGGTACGTAAATTAGAAACTATGGAACCGGTACCCTAAATCCCCGACCCTTGACCCCATGAAATCTCTGACACTTATTGGACACGTAGTGGACATAACGATCGTTTCAATATTATGTTGTTGGACACGTAGTTGACATAACGATCGTTTCAATATTATGTTGTTGTTGTTGTTGTTGTTCTTGTTCTTGTTCTTTGACACGTTTTTAAAAAGTCGCTTTTCTCTTCGAATACTGGACCAATTGCTTTGAAATTTTCAGTGGTTAAAGATAAAAATTTTCTCCAGAAGGCTATTACTTTTTTTTTTCGCTATGACGTCATCAAAATTATGTGACTCTACGTGTCCATATATTTGAGCATAGCTCTCTTGTTTTGAGTGTTTTGAGTTGGCACATATAAACTGGTTTATTGAACACGTCAGTGGACATAACGATCGTTTTGCATTTTATGATGGCACTCACCTTGTTCTTGTTTTTTGACACGTTTCTAAAAAGTCTTTTTTCTCTTTGACTACTGGACCAATCTCTTTAAAATTTTCAGTGCTTGAAGATTGAATTTTTCGCTGGGAAGCTATTACTTTTATTAGTTTTAGATGTTCCGGTGAGCTGCATAGGATTCGTTTTTGTCTGCGCTGTGACGTCATACGAATTTGCAATTAGGTGGCGCTACGTGTCCATATATTTGAGTGTAGCTCTTTTGTATGTTCGTTCAGAAGCATTATTTTTGTAAAAAACAATTAGCCACCTGCCGCTTCGGGTATTGATATCTAATTTTATCCTAGTCTATTGCAGCTTTTTCGAGATTAATTTTTGAATATTGTAACCAAATTAAAGCTCCCTAGCGTCATGCTGACACTTCTGTTATTTGATTTACAACTAACACAATCACACAGCCGAAAACTGACGAATAACACGTAAAACCACGAAAACGAGGCAATGTTTACACCCACGCTTGAATATCTATCTGAGCTAATAAAGTGTCCATGGTCTGAGCGGTCGATTATTTTTAATTGTTGCGTCATTTTTGACTTATTGCTGATTTGTTATTGTTACGGAAATAAACAGGGAAATCGATGCTCTGAGAAACATCCGTACCATTACGTCTGTATTTATCAAATAAACAACTTCGAGAGTAGTTATCAGGAAGGGGAGTGCACCTGCGACCCGCGGGCCAAATGGGCATAAAAAATTGTGCGGCCCGCGGAGAAGTGCCCGTTTTGGATGATGCGAGGCACGCGGAACAAGTTTTTAATTTAGTTTAATCTGGTACATACTAGTAATTCCAGTCCATTTGTGTTGGAGAGCATATACCTGGGTCCAATTCATTATCTATGCCTAGCCCTAGGCAGTTACAATGCTACAATAGCTAGCATGTCATAATGATAATACTCAAAATTTTTGTCCTTGCAACTACTAGGAAGCCTTTGTTAAATAAAGGTGCGGCCAGTGGTTTCGCCCAGTTATTTGCATCTGATAAAGGTTGTACGGCAGTGTATGCTGACCCTTTGTGGTTGCACACTCCTGGTCCAGATCAAAAGTTCCTAATCGGAAAAGCATTGCAGCACACGTTTTTACATCTCCCAGGTTGTACAGCATAGATTTCGTAAAAGCCGTTGAGTCTTGAAGTTTTTGCGGAAATTTTCATGGACAAGCGCAAATCCTGGAAAATCAAAAAATGAGCTTCTAGTTTAGTTGCTGTAATCAAAAGATATTCAATTCCAGCAGACCATAGTGCCCGTCTTTATAATGTGGTAATATATTTTTGTATTTATCTGTAAGCTATTTATCAGATCTTTGATTAAGACAGTCTCGACCGGGTCTTGGACTCCGACCATCCATTACACTTCTCGTTTTCTTTCTTCGGTGGATCGGAGGTCGGCTGCGTTTCGTCGTGTTCTAGATATATTTGGCTGTTTTGGGTGCAATAAACAACCAAACGAGAATCTTTGAGTCTTCTGACTTATTGACAACCACAGTAGCAAAACCAAACTATGACAATATGCACTTATTCAACAATACACAATTTTTTTTTGTATGAGTTGTATTTTACCGACTGCAAATGGAACATTTAGAAAACGTCAAGATAAACAAAAAATATATTATACTGTACAGAAAATTAATTAACAGAAAAACATATGAAGTCTTTTACATCAAAAAAACAATGCTAACTTCGGTGAGCGCTCTCATTTAAAAAAAAACATTTCTAACGCCGCTGATGAACCTAACAACTTGAAAAAAATGATTTATTGATCATATCCTAATAATTATACTTTAGGGTAGATCGTAAATAAATTGGCTGCAAAGCGATTGGTCAATAAATAGAAATATAATCAAACTAGACTCAAAATATAGGAAAAAAAGTTGGTCATGGGTGTCACAAAAATGGTCCATGAAAAATTGAATTTTGGGTAAAAAATTCGTTACCGACGCGTTCCTAGTATAGAAAATAAAGTTGCGACAAAATCTGCATTTTAAATCCCGAATATATGTTAACTAGTTATTAAATATTAAACAATATTAATAGGTATCCAAAATTTCCCAGCTGTTGTTAGATGACAATGGCTAAATTCTAAAGCTAAATATTTAACCTATCATATATTTCATTCATGTCATTATTCGTAATGATCTTTTTTGTTATTTCACCAAAAAAATTGCTAAATTATATGACTGAAATGTACCACACGCCGTACACACACGATGAATTCCAACTGCATTTACGATTGGAGGAGCACTTTAAAATTGAAATTCCTTTTTTAAATCCCAAGTCATCTTTTCTGCGGTGAATGATTCTTCTTTGTTCCTATTTCGTTATTTTCTCTTCTTAGCGAACAATTAACTTGGTGCATAGCATCACGCGCAATTTTCATTCTCCTTCGAGTCTCAAGATCCAATTGACGACCACGTTCTGTGAGTCTAAGTGCGTCTCTACGTGCTTCTGATGAATACCAATCAAATGCTCGCATTCTCATATAAGACTGAAAAATTACATTAGGTTAATTTAAAAACATTGTTACATGCAGGGAACTATCAAAAAATCTAACCCATAAATTTTTTAATTACTTTTATCAAAATGAAGAAACTTTTCAACACTTGAACTTCTGTTTGTGTATGATTGTACCCAAAAGTTTCAGTAATCTATGATATTATGCACAGAAGATATATTCCCAATAAAATATGTTTTTAATGTCGTGGTTTTTGTTTTTTGGGTCATTCTATAATTGATTACGTGGTCGGTGTAAATTACTGATTTTTACGAATCAAAAAGTAGGAACCCATCCATATTCGAATTCAAAATACACAAATATCATTCATTTCTCCCTCATACCTGGGATTTATCACACTAACACACATTTTTTAAACACGCTCGGCGCTATCGCGAGTTAGTTAGTTTTACACACTGTGACAAATTACCTTGATAAGTTAAATTACCACATATAGTAATGTTAGTATATTGTGCGAATCAAGCTCACTAGGCCAAAAAAAAAAATGAGTGCTGCAATGTTCAAGCATGTTAATGTAATTGGAACTAGACTAAGATGATATACGTGTATCTAAAGTATTGGCTGCGGTTAATATGATTATCCCATTAAAGCAAATGATTTAGGTTGTTTTGTCATTGTATATCAAATATTACCCTTCGAGTTATTGTAGCCATGGCTCAAAACTTCACAATCCTGCAAACGCGGATTGAGTACCAGGCTGTCGATCCATATGTGCTTTTTACATATAGGGTCACTCACGCTATTTACACCCATAAACAAACACACATTCAATTGTTTATCCATAAATATTTTAATTTTTAAATCTTTTATAATACATTTGCAATGGTATTACATATAACGTTCATTTAACCATATGAATAAAAACATACCAGAAAACAGAATGCGAAAAACATAAAAGAAGGCAAAGTGAGAGAATAAGAAAAAACGAGAGAAGAGAAAATTGTGAGGTGAAAAAAGATTGGAAACAGCTTTAGCGATATTACCGTATCTTCTGCTTGCACAGACTTCTCTTCAGTCGAAGTTTCGCTTGACTTTGATTCCTTTTTGCGTCGAATTTCGTCACACTGTATAAAATAATGGCAAGAAGTTTAGTTACATCTCAAATAGACGTGGCATTACTGAGTGATAACTCATGTGAATGCTGCCCAAAGTATATTTAGTACGTACCTCATTTCGTAATCTCTCATTTTCTTCTTCTAATTCTCTTGCACGATCTTTCTCTCGCTTTACTTGTCTCGAATTTGTGTCGTCTGCTGACTTGCTTTCCCCTTCCGAGAGCAGTCTAGATATCTAAAGAAAATAGAAGTGAAGAAAATATTATATACATATATATATATATAGATACACAGAAATGTATAGCCACATTTATGAGGAGTATAAAAGGCAGAAAAATAAATCCCTAATCATGCATCCTGTTATTTGATACAAGTGCACCAAAATTAAAGCGGTAAAATCGCTGGAGAATAGTAAACGAATGAACAAAAATGTAGGTTACTTCTTTGTCATATTGTTCTGCTTGTGCTTCCTTCATTTCTTTGTTTACTTTTAGCTCATGATTTAAATATTGAACCTGAATTATAAAAATGAAAAAAAATAAGTCGATTTTCATATATAGAATACAAGAAGTTTTTTCTTTACAATACACGATTAATTTGCTTTTGTGATCTAGACTTTCAATTTTATCACACGTCACAAATACAAACAATTATATGATTGTTATTAGTCACCACACAATCATTACAATATATATACAGAATCATGTTAGTTTATAATTACATTGCACAGATCCCTGAAAGCCGGGTTGTCGATAAATAGAGAGAGAACAAGAAACATGTTTATTTTGTATAATTACAACTTATTGAAGTATTTAACAGTAATTGCTATTGGACACACATTAATTATGATTAAGTTTCAATTAAAGTATATTCGATCGGATCAAATAGATTGACCCTCTAGTCTAGACCAGTGCTTTTCAATTGGGGATTCACGGAATCCTAGGTTGTTGGGGCTTTAGGCGTTCTTTGTGTTTCTCTTTGAGTTAACTTTGTCAATTGTGTGTAAATTTCCCAATACTATTTGTGCGAAACAGTATTTTTTTGCTTCAACAAGTGAGCAATGCTCAAATATATGGACACGAAAACCAAAACGAACGCGGAACCGTCACAAGAGGCGCAATTTTCCACTTTGAACGTCATCGCACACAAAAACGAATCCCGGAGAGGGCACAAAAATTTTGAAAGGAATGAAAGTAGTAGCCTTCTAGCGACAATTGCAATCTTTAAACATTCAAATTTTAAAACAATTATATGTGCATAAATATTTCATTGAGCAACACGGAGACACGTCTTAAGTTTGTGAGAGTAATACAAGAGCAGAAGACTCATTTATGAAAGTTTCTGAATGATTGTCAATAGGGAACCATTGGGTTCCAGGCAGATATAAAGGCTGAAAAGCAGTAGCATAGGCCTAACATAACAGCAGAACGAAAGAATGTGTTAGTACGACATGCAAGCTATGCAGTGAGACAACATAAATCTTGACCTACCTGATCGATATAACATTTAGCCAAATCTTTGGACATCATCTGCTCGTGCGACAGAGCTTCTACTAATTCTCGCTTCTGATTGGTTGACGGACCAATAAAAACGAGCATGCAAGAAAAGAGAAAGAAGAAAATTTTAAGAGAAGAAAATAGGTTTTCAGGCATGCGCACATAAAAAAGATTGCAAGATCTTTTATATTTGGCTTAATCAAATATTTAAGCCTCGCAACGGCACAAAATTTTGACACAAGTTTGAGAAAATCACATAAAATTAATAATACACCTTGGTTAGTTTTTTCAGATGCCATAACGTCTGAAAAACAGCAACAATTCGAAAAGAATTAGTGAACAATCATTAATTTTGCCAAACTAAAATTTATGCAGATATCGGCAAAATTTTAATTGAAATTCACATATATAGTAAGATTGAATGTTTAAGTTCACGTTTACAACACACAAAAAACAATCATTTCTCTTGCAAATAATGATTTTCTCAACATAAAAGTCAAATTAAATCATATAATAAGGCCATCCCTCGGAGCTTAACAAGACCGGGGCTTTGAAAGACGAAAATATTTTTATCTTTCCTCTTTTTGAATTCAGTACACGACAATGATTTCGTTAGTTCCTCACCATTGCGAAATAAAGCTGCATTGTTAGTCAGAAGCAAATCAAGCTAAAGAGTCAATAATACGAACATATGTGGGAAAACTTATCACTTATAGTAAGTAATAAGGTTGCAAATATTCACTAAAAGTCTCACATCCCGGAACAATATGTTCGAACTTGAAGGTTGTTATTAGACCTTGGTTCAGTTTTGAACCCCAAGACCAGGAGTCGTGATTTTTGCTGTAATATTCTTGCATCTTAGAGTATGGAACACACTAACACACAAAGGTAGTGGGAATAGAAAATGTATCTATTTCTGCGCTGCTTTAACAATTACATTCAATCTATTTCCATTGCGTATATGAATCCCATTTGTAAAATTATTTGTCATTGCAATGCTTTCGCGGCAAAAATTAGCGGAGAAAAAGCGACTGACTGTAAGTTCGGAGAGCAATAAAATACTACTGCAGAAAAACGAGAGAAAATAAGTTAAACGACAGAAAAAAAGTAAAACGAGACAACAAACCTGGTCGTTAAGTTTTTGATTCTCTTCTTCTAGTTTTTCAATTTTGTTTTCCGCTTGTTCCAGTTCGGTTTCTAATTCGGCAGACTTTTCTTCTGCCGCAAATTTATCGTAAGAAGTCTTTTTCTCAAGATTTCTCTGTTGAGCTAATTTTCCTTCGAGTTCGTCGTTCTGGGAGTAAATATATTAAATAATAAATAACGAAAAATGTAACAATATATAAAAAAAATGAAAGAAAAGATCTCCAAGTATGTATTTTTTTATGGGGGATTTGAGACAACTCACTTGGATAAAGCAGTCAATCGCAATACGCCAGGAATACAACAATGAGATAGTGAATTACATATAACTGAAGTTCTTGGAGAGAAAACTTTGGGCATAAATTATTTTTGTCCGGTAGGTGCACTGACAGTAAACGGGTGAGAGTTTACAGACAACCAACCAAGTTTGACGAATGAAAAGTTTATTTGGACGAACAAAGTCCGGTAGTACAGAAAAACACATCCTATTATAATATCTGTAAAAAGATCACAGCAACGCAACTGACAAAGAAAATTGAAATTAAAAGTCTTGTGAGTGAGTAGTTACCAAAGTCTGCAATTTTTGTTTTGACCTTTGACCTTCTTCAGCGTTTTCTTCTAATTTGTGATTTGCTGAATTCAATTCGTCTTCTAATCTGGTATTTTCTTCTTGCAATCTCTTGTTGTGCTGTCTTTCGTGCATAAGTGCTAATGTTAAGTCGTGAATCTGAGCAAAGAAAACGTTTTGATAAACACAAATATATTACGACAATTAAAAAACGTGTTGCAAAAATTATCAGCAGATAATGTTTATATTTTTATGGGAAAGGCAGCCAAAATAGCAATCGTATCTTCTTGTAACTCTCATTTTAAATCTTTCCGACAAACTACGTGGCATGTGCATACATTATCCATTTGGTTTATAGAAAAAACTCACTCTTTGTTCCAGTTCTGCTTTCCCATCTGCAATCGCTTCATATTTTTGTTGCGAGGCAATCAATTGTCTTTGTAAATCTTCCACCTGTAATTGAGTGATGAACAAATAGGTTTTAATGAACAACAATTTTATCAAAATGTCTCTTACGCAATTCATTATAAAAGATTATATGAAACTCACTGTCCCGCTCATTCTCTCGTATCGCTCTCTCTCCTTTTCTAATTTTTTTTCCAATTCTTCCAGGCGTTTTTTCAGAATAGCTATTTCTTCATCCGACTCTCTAAAAACCAAAAGAGTCAAATCATAAGAATTGCAGATAACAATACATGATACATGTACATTTTAATATTGGTGAAGCTGCAGTATTCCGAGAGTATTCGTCAGATATTATAACCATGTTAATAATACAGTAACTGGTAAATTGAAACATTACGAGTATAGAAAAACAGAGATACTCCCGTAGTGTATGTACCAGGTTAGGGTTAGGCTGTAATTTTATTCCGATTTTCCTCATTTCAATTCTATTACGAATTTACGAGTTCGGGAACTGTCTGTGTTAGCCAAGTGAATATACCCCCTGTCCATAGGCTTCATTCCCTTTACACAATTTGATGTAAAGTAGGCGAACAAAATTAGTCACCTCCATAGTGGTACATACACACTTCTGGAGCGCCGAAACGGATACCAAAATGGCACCACAAAAACACCTAACCGACACTACATCCATCTAAGTCTTTAAGACGTTTACACTCACCACAACCAAGTACACAGTATTACGATTAACGGATCGATAAAATTTAATTTATACTTTCAGTCAAGGCATAAATCCATATATAATCTACTTGTTAGGTCACGGGTTCCTAATGAGGTGACAATTAACATCGATCGTTTATTAATGCCAAGAAACCCAAATGAACCGCATTGCATAAAAGTTTTATCGACTTTTAGGTGCTACTTTGGGTGTGCGATGTGTGGGTCTCAGCGATTTTAGTTGGTATTAGGAACTGAATTCTTTGTGAGAATGTCTTTCCAAAGTGGCATCGATTTTTTAAATCCCAACACGAAAAATCAAAACGCGAAAGCTAAGCAATAAAATAACATCGACAGATTGTGAATATAAAATACTAATATAAATATAAATTGATCAGTTGGAGGAAATGCATCTGTAACAAAGTTACTCATCAATATTGAATTTTATTGTTTGACTAGATTCCTCGAAGTAAAAACCTGACAAAACGCAAAGCTATTACTATTATGGTAACGCCAAATCAATAATTTGAACTTTTTTAAGCAATGAGTTTAAACAAGCGGAAGAGCTAGATAGGCCACTATCCAGTACGATTTTCTTGGGATAAATATTGGATGAACGAGGAATTTGGATATTGAATAATATACAAAACAGGCAGTTGAATTTAATTCAAGTGAAAACTCGAAAAACAGGATGACAGAGACAAAGAAGAAACGCCCCATTCCCAACCCAGACATTCAAAAAGACCCCATATACTTCAAAAGTTTGGCATAAACAAATTTTATCAAATATTTGTTGGAATTCAATTTTTCAGTCCGAAATTCCGCGAAATAATCCGAAGAGTTTAAAATTATCAACTCCGACAAACGAGAGTTGAAACTATTATAAAATTACTATATATATATCGTATACTCACTCAGATTTTTCTTTGAGTAATTTTTTCAAGCGATCCATTTCTTCTTCCACCCCCCCTTTCTCGCTTTCTCCAGTCACCAAATTTTTCTTCATACGATCAAGTCGAGCTTGTAAAACTGAAATTTTTCGATCTTTCTCGTCACGTTCCTGACGGGCTTCATCGAGTCCCGTTTTGAGAAGATCAGCTTTTCTCTGCGAAAAATATATTTAAAAAGATTTTGAATCAATTATCAAAATAGAGTTGATAGATAAATGATGAGAATAAAAACAAAACTAAGGATACTAGGAAAGCAATAAAAAAATATTTTATACGGTTGTTCCTGTTGGAGTCATAAGGGACGGGAATGTGCAAGAAACCGAGGCAGCACAAAGGCCAAAAATACAGCAAAGAAATGACTGGAAGCATCGAGCGCCCTCTAACGGTTCAAAACCAAAAAAGGCCAAAAGGCCAAGTCCCATGAGTCTACGTATAGTTTTGAGTGGTCCATCCATGAGCTTTGCTTGCATGGGGTTAAAATTAAATATTTGAAAGAAAATGCTGCCCATTCGCCATTGTGGACTAACTTGCAAAAGACGACAAAGAAGTGGCAACCCCATGAACAAGGTTACAGCATATGAAATCATATTAATATTAAAGATTTCTGTAGGCTTTTTCCTTCAAAATATTATTCATGTTGTAATTTATTCAAATTCAAAGCGACGACCTTCAGGCAAACTATCAAAAAAGTCCACAGCACTGAAAATATCTGTAACCACTTATTTATAGCATTACAATTTGCATAGATGGTGGAATTGGTAGTTTTTTAAATGATCTTTGCAAGGCTGTTGCTTGGATTAGCAAACTAATTGAAATCCTTTTAAATGAGCAAAATATAAAGCATATTTAAGTTGCTATAAAACACAATTTAATTGCTAAAATACCTTCATTTGTTTCAGCTTATCCTCAGCGTTTTTTTCTCTTTGTCTTGCGCCTGAGTCGAAATCACATTGTGTGCCTGCTGATGACGTCACCAGTCGCTGATGACGTGTTCTCAGTCCTCTTGGCGTATCCATATCGGAACAACTGGAACTTTCGGAATGCGTACTCGAATTATGGCGAATAGGCTGATTACTGCGCTGTCTTGGCTTAGGCTGAGTAATAACTTGTCGTACTTTTGGTCGAGCCCCGGTGTTAGGCTTTTGAACTGTGGCGATTATTTTTGTTTCGGTTTCATCGTTGCTTGGTTGTGGAAATTTATTTTGTCGAGCTTCCACTGAACGCGCTCTTCTTGCTGATGACGTATTTGTGTTTCGGCCACGCCCCTGCGTTGACCCAACGTTCATTCGTAGTTGAGACACGTGTCGTGCTCCATTCAAATCAGACACATTTGAAATACTTTTTGATCGTCGTCTGGCGTCAGTATCCAGACGACAGTACGCCGAAACAACTGCTTTACTTGGTGATGTCCTCGACGACGCAGGCAAGGATCTGAAATCTCTAGCGTGCTGATTATGATTAAATCCAGGATGCGATATCTCCTCTTCTTGTGAAGGATACCGGTGCAAATTTTCCACAGAATTACCACTAAGAAACCGTTCCCCGTCTATGCTATTTGGGCTTAAAATATTTCTACCATCCTGGACATACGCTGCTTGTCCAATATGATTTAAAATTGTATTGGCAGACGTGTCTCTTAAATCTAATACTGGTAACCGTCTAACATTTGCATCCGCCGCATTATTATTATTATTATTGTTGTTGTTATTATTAGAATTAAAATTCGGTCTCAGATTCCCAGTATCAAATCCTGCTGAACCTATCGAAGCTCCGCTGCTTGTGTGGGATGGATGGCTCACGCTTGGATCAGTGCTAAATTCAGATAAAGCGTCTATATATTGTTGGGCGTCCTGTTGGTCATCGTTTTCATTGATAGCAACTTCGAGTCTGCCTTCTTTTTCTTTTTGCAAGAGCGACAAGTATTTGTCCAAAGTTCCGGCCAAGTTCATAAGCTGCCTTTGCCACTAAAGAAAATGATTATAAAATATCACGTGACGTCAATAGAGTAGCAATACGGGTTAGAGACCTCGTATATGTTCATCACTTTTGTGTGACTAGATATTTTGAAGCATAGTGCGCTTAGTTAAGTATGATAGTTGAGTATGACCCACAATTTTTTTAACATACGATTCCATCATAGCTTTAACTTAAAGTAAACCACTAGCTCTAAGCACCCATTATATAGCATATATTATAATAGCATATTACCAAACGTAAGTCTATTGTCCCAATCATCTACATACCCTTTGCATATCGTACGGGTTATGAGGCTTGTTAGCGGCCATTTGTTTCATCCTTTGAATAGTTGTGTTACCGTCTCCAATGATTTCATCGTCATCTAAGCCAGAAGTACGAAGAGCAAGTGAAGATCTGTGGACTCGATAAGCAGATCGATCTTTTAGAAAAGATATCAAGTCCAGAGCAACGTCAAGAATCGTCGCCTTTTCGCGGATATTTGCTTCGTGGTCTTCAGGTTCTACGTATATAAAAATATTGGTTGGTTCGACTAACCACCAGTGAAACGTAGATCATCAACAATTGATGACCGACTCGATTATGCAACTTAGAATCGCGACTCGATCAAGTCTTGACTCGACTTGACTAGCAATTCGGGATTTTAGGGACGCAGCACTGGTATATGCATACAGTACTTCAACAGATGATGGCAAGTCAGAACTAAAAGTATCAGTTTGTTTCAAAATCAATTTCGTAATAGCATTTACAAAACGTTTAAAAAAAGTCAGATAATTCAACTAAAAGAATATGTTACCTCTTCTTCCTCCTCTTCTGCTTTCATTAAATAATGAAGCCTGTGATCAAGTTCTCCAATAAAAACTAATAACCATTCTTCGTCGTCTACTTCATCAATAATACGAGCAACATCTGCTATGTCTTTCAGCTAAACAGTGAATGAGAAAATGTTCATAAACAACCAGCAAGCGGTTCGTGTTAGTTTATTCCACGAATCCACCAATGCTTAGTGTTGATGAAGCGATTCAATATCATGTCTTGCAGTACAAATACATAGATCTATGACTTAATGGGAACTTTCCATTCAAAAGCCTCGAATGCTGTCAAACAAATTTACGGCTTAAGACGAGCGGTCTAAGGCGCTGCGTTCAGGTCGCAGCCTCCGGTGGAGGCGTGGGTTCGAATCCCAATTATGTCATACTGGTGACACACAAATCATTCTAAGTTGTGTGGAGTCTACAGTTGGTATTTAGCATTCACTAGATCCGGAACCGGAGTGATATTTTTAAACAATCCGGAGTCGGAGTCCGAATCAAAATTCTAAATTCCCCTGTTTCTGGCTTTTAATTATTGTCAAAAATTGAATTAATTTGAAGTTTGGAGCTGGAGCTTGAGTCGGAGTCGAAATTCTCAACATCTTGGAGAACAATTTTTCTCAGACTGGAATCATAGCTAACTTTTTCTCATACTCAAGAGTAGATTGTATAGTGTCGATCGAACTCGTCATGAGTTGTAAATTTGTAATGGTGACATATCTTTACGCAAATAATAAAAAAAAGATACGCGCTTTTAGAAAAAGCTTTGTAAAATTGTAGAGAAAATATTACCGCTGTTCAATATATTTTTCAACATGTAACTGTGTTATATGTTTCATAAGTACGCAATAACGAACTGCGGTGTTCAATTTTTCATTATAAACATACAAAGCGTTTGCGGTGGGCGTTAACCATTTTTAATGTTACTTGTATAAGTCAACTTACTGCATTAACGTATGATTAATAGGAGAAAAATAATAATAAACTGCAATATATGGCATTTTCTCATCATCAAATCTTTCAAAATATAGCCCCGGGGCGGCCTTAGCGGTTACCATGTAAACGTAAATGTTGTTTATAACCTCAACAGACGTTAGACGAAAGTCACAATTCCATTATAATGACATCTTTCGAGTTTTGTAGATCGCTATCAAATGTGGTCAAAATGCGCATTATGTAAAAGAGTTTATCCATTCCCCTTGTATTGCCAATCATAAACCGATGGTACCAAATTCAAATCGAGAAATCTGATGTCTCTGTCGTAATTAAGGCAGACGGATGCTTATCACCACAGAAATGTGTTTTAGCTCAATCTGATTACCTCCGGATATATTCGTTTTGATGTACGCGCGAATTGCGAGTGACAATTAAGATAAGGACTATCGAACAACTTCTTTTCAATATACACAGTCTTGCGTTAGAATATTTTAAAGTTAACAGACCCTCGATAAATATACTCGTATTTTGCTATATGTGACAAGCGAGGTTTCAATGCTTCCAAATTTCGTTTATTGTACCATTGTACCTTTATGAAATAAAACTCAATTTACTTCGAGATATGTTAAAAACAGCAACTATCTACAAACTGAACATTTGATTTTACGCGATCAAAAAACTTTGCTATACCGGTTAAACTTCTCACTAAATTACCACCCTTACTTTAAAACTAATGTAATGTTGAAAGATGGCGCAAGTTTTCCGATTCTTCAACAAGCATTCTTCCCACATATGCGTGCGAACTGAGCAAAACGTTTGTATTGTTGTGATAAATTATACCTTTAAATATCAGATCACTATTGGAATATTTAGCAAATGGCCTCCATCGATCGTATATGTTGTGTTAGAAATTAGAGTCGCGACGATGTACGGATAGCCACGTATGGCTACACATTTTTCGATTTGCTGTAATAACAAAGTATATTCAAACGCAACAGGTAGGGTATTGGGCGTAACCTGGAATTCCGTTTCAATTATCGCTTCCGATATTCTTATAAAATGGTTGGGGATTAGAATTTTAAGGTATGGGGTTCTTTTTTGCCCCAATTTGTGTATTCGTACCCTGTAATTTTTATATCGATATTTTCATAACTAACAGACTTGAAAAACTATAAATTCCGCTGAGATCAGTTAAGTCAATACCATTTATTATAATGCAGAAAATTGTCACACAAGTATTTACAGTGAAGTGAAATTTTGGTTAAATTGTTGATTTCTCGTCAATTTTCAACGAAAATACGAAAGATTTACCAGCCTTTTCTATAAAAGTTCAACTTTAGGATAAGGTAATCGTTGTTATGTATCCTCGAGGCTAATATCATTACATCTCTATGAAATGATAGGAATGCAAGCCATAAATAAATATTTTTATTTTCTGATGAATATTGTTATTAATATTGATAATCGTTAAAATATGACGAAATGTTAGGAACGTGGTACGTGCATAGCTTGATAACACTTGTTTTCAAATTGGCACCAAACAAGCCAAAATTGGTATTTTCTATCGTATGCCCTTATTATAACAATGAATATGTAAACACCGGTAACGACGTCGAAGGCATGTTGTTTATGACATTTTCTATTTGACAATCGCCAAGCCTAAATTCATAATTGTCATCGAGCGCAGGCATTTTAAACCACGCCTGTAATAAATCTCTCAGAAGATTACATAAAAACAGTTTTAATCCCATGTTAAGAATTTCTATAAATCTTTCCAGTTATTATTTACAAGATTCCCTATATTTAATTTTGAGACAACATGTAATTGTGAAGAATATGGCAATAAATAATAAAGCGACAGGTTGTCTGTCTTACAGGTTAGAAAACAAAAAGAGTCTTTAAATCGGGGTTGAATCATAAGAAACAAATACAGGGTATCCCAAAAAACAGAACCCAAAGGTTTCTTAAGTACTTCTATACGCCAATAACTGTCTCTAGATTATGTTTCAAATGGATTCTGTTTTCTTTTTTTGGATCGCATTGTAGAAGCATGCATTCTATTAAAAAGTTTCCGAAATTCACTATGCTTTTTACTTTCATTCCCAGTAATAATTTGCGTCGGATAAAGACAGGAGGGTGGTGTTCAATTTCTCCGTGTATTTGTAATGTGTAATTTAGAAACGACGAGAACGCTAGACGTATAGCCCATTATTTTATCAAATTGTGGGCAGAACTGATAGTACAATAAAGTGTTTCTCGCAAAAATACAAGCCTGAAAATTACATGTCATTCAAAATTTACATTCGTATTTTACTGTACCAAATCATTTAAAGATGAAACAAATGGTCGAAATATTTAATAAACTTTATTTAACTTATACTAGAAATGAAGACGATTTCTACGTTCGAAAGCGCACGTACCGTGAGAATATATCACAATTGCCTCAACAAACAAACATAATAGTAGCTGCAGGGTATGCATAACTGTTACGAGAAAGGGTTCACAAATTACAACAATACAATACGAGAAGGACAACGATCAAAAAAACAATATTTGAAAACCTTACTGGAAAATCGACGCGCACAACACCTCTCGTACTGTCCTAATCGCAACAATAAAATGAAGTGAATTTGCCAGAATAATATAGTCGGAGGGAGGATAAACATATCCTTTTTGATTTTATGACGCCGTACTGCGATTAGCTGTACTAAGCATTAACCGCCAGTCTGTAGTACAGAAAAGAAAAACCACCAAAACAGCGACCAGGTCACGCGAAACATAGGCTATTGAGAATAAATTTATTTTGCAAAGCGTCTTAGATTACTAAAACTCGTGGGCACAATCATACACAAACAGAAGTTCAAGTGTTATGGATTCATTTTTGGGGGTCATCCAGTACTTATATTCTAACTAACTCATCTATCTCAAAGCGGACAACGCCAAACGAACTTTCACAACTCTTCATATATTGCGTGATCGGTATGTACACAACCTCAATGGTTCGCCGTGTTTACGCAAAATAATTCCACATCTTTCGTACATAAGAAACAGAAATATCAAGCACCCAACGATAACATATTTTTACCTAATGATTACTTATGCTTCTCTTAGAATACTGTTGCTATTATTTAACGCCTCTGGGCCGAAAGTTGTAAATATTGATATCATTTACATGCATTACATCGAATATTATCTACGGTAGCTCAAGTTACTTCTCATCTAACAATATATACTATTACCACAGTGATATGAAATTAAAATTCCTCAAAGTTGCTATCAGGCCTAGATTGGTATAAATATCCCTGTAACTCTACCTCAACTTGTCATTTATATTACTTTTACACGATAAATACCGAATACTATAGTTATAAATATATATATTATACCTCTCTCATTGCTGATATCAATTTCATTGTGAATTCGTCCTCCCGAATTTTTGCCAATCTCATGATAGAATCGTGATCTGTCGTGAGCAAAACATAAAGTAAGCCCACATCACTCAAACGGTAGCTTAGATACCATTCTTCAGAATTTTAAGAATGTAGTAAAGTAATTAAAACCGTTTTATAAGCCGTATTTGGTAACCTATGGTCGTTACTGTCACATAATTAAAGTTTTTTCGACAAGGCTTCGTTACAAACAGCATGTAGACTAGATACAATTAGAAAAGTGGTAATTTATGGGATATACAGAAGAATGCCGTTTCCCGTCAATGCGATGGTAATTAGAAATGCAAACCTCTTATTATTTAGCACTAGCTCTAATCGGTAATGAGTGATAGCCGGATGCCTAAGACATTGAGAAAGGGTCATCAATATTTTCTTTATAAAGATAAGTTTGGTAATGCCAATAAACGTTAAAGTCATAATAATCGTTTCATATTGTACAATCATAAATAGTTGCGGAAATAATAAAGCAGTCATTTATAGTTTCAAAAATTACCTTCATGAAGGGCGATATCCAGAGCCGATTGTCTTCCAGAAGATTCATGTTGACTTGTCTGCATCGTAGCTTCGTTTGACTGCGTATTTTGAACGAGATCTGGCATATGCGGTCTGGGCGCTACATCTGAATTCTCGACATCCGAGGGTACCAGACGCTCGTTATTTGATGACCCAACGGAGCATGTAGTGACGTCACGTTCTCGAAGCCAATCGGGCGGAAGAGAAGGTGGCGGATTGTTGTTATTCCGGTGGTCTTTCGTTTGACGAACACGACCGTTTTTGTCTAAGTAAAATCCTGTAGGTTCGGACCACTCTTTAGGTTTGTCCCGGGCTGGTTCTACGCCATGTAAAGAACTAGTGCTCCATTGATCAGAATCTTGCGATATATTCCCTATAACACTTCTAGAACGCGGTGGGAGAGAAGAAAAACTGCTTCCCCTCTCCGATAACTGTCCAACGCTTTGTATGGTATCATTGAATTTATCACTTGCCCTTTTTCGCACACGACGTCGATCTATCGTATCCGCGGTCATCCTGTCTAAGCTACCCCTACTGTCACTCGGGCTAAGGAGTCCGTTAGGGGTAGGGCTGAAACAAAACGCACGCCCTCGCTGTGACGTAATATCCGGGGTCATAGAACGATGTGTGGGGTGAGAACGCAACATATTGGTACTGGATGAATTCAAAAACACAGGTGCCGATTTTCGATTTTTGCTAGGTTTATCTAAAGTTTGGCAAGAGTTTGACTTTTGACGGTAGAGTTCGTTGTTGAATCGTTTTGGTAATGCCGAATGTTTTATTACTGAACTGCTGACTTCAAGAAGATCAGATGACGTCACGGCTGAATCTGATGTAAGAATATTATTTAGTTCTTCATCATTATTTGAAGTTCCTACACTAGATGTGCTCAACGCTCGTATTCTGGATATTCCGAGATTAGAATTCGAACTTTCTTCTAAATTTGTTGAGCTCGATTCAGGAGTAGAAGTTTGTCTTTTATATCCAACAGATTTAGAAGTTGGTACATTAAGATAGTCGGTACTGTAAAAACGGGAACACTGAATTTAGCAGGGTAGAATGAAAAAATGTATTGAATAGATGAAATACATACCTGCCAATGTTATTTTTCTGCTTTAATCTGGCAACAGTGTGTTGCGAACTATATATTCGTCTTCTTGTTGGATGGAAAGAAGAACTGCGAGTTGGGATTTGCTTGATACGAGATCTTCCTCTGTTTGTATTGGTAGATAGCGTATCGTTTTTATCCCGTTTATCAAAATGAGAAACTAGTTGGTCAAATAGATCATTTTTTTGTTCAATAATAGAAGAGAATGCAGATAAATCACAAGTTAAATCTGATTCTTCCTGTGTGGTTGGTGTCGCGTCTAATGATAGAGAAACTGAATTGTCTTCTGATTTTAGCGAATGATTATTTCCAATCCCAATTGCAGAATCTTGTTCAGCATCTTTAACTGATTCTTCCTTTTCTAATTGAGCTGATATATTGGATAAAAATAAAAACAAGAATTATTTACTACGAACCGTCTAAACCAGTGGTTCTCAAACGGTGGCGCGCGCCTCACATAATGGACGAGACATTTTTTGAGGGGGTGTGAAACTAATTAAAAATAGAAATATTTTAATTAGATTTGATCTTTCCCGCCTTATTTTGGGTATTTACATTTTAAAACTGTTCATTTATTTCATTATTTATAGGTTCCATCCACGTATTTTTGAATAAAACATACTTTTGCTTCACGATCTGTTATTTGTAGCTTATTGTTAGCTAGATATTTTTGAGGTGGGGCGCGAGACAAATTCTAAAATGGGGGCACGGCTTGAAACGTGTAGGTACCCCTGTCCTAAACTAAAGATAACTGAAATGCATAAAGAACGAACCACAGACTGCAACTGAAAATTAAGTAGACAGCATAGAATGTTAAAATACATAAAAAATAGTAATTATATACTTGGCTATTTTCAATGTCCTTTCAACGGAAGAAAACAATATATTGTCATAATAACTAATGAGCGAGCGACAACAAGCAAAGTTAAAATGAGTCACTGAAACCTTGGAAGTGAAGAATATAAGAAATATATAAAACGTAAACTTGAAAGTTGTTTTGGTATATTTCCTGGTTTCTTGCCATGTGGTTTGTTGGCTGTTTAGAAACATAAGTTTCCCGTATATCTCTAGAGAAACTCTGACTCAATATAGGGTTCCTATATCAGCTAAAATACCTCTTTCTCTTGCCTTTTGTAGCCTGCAACCTTATATTTAATTAATTTTTCAAACGGCACGCTTTTTTACGTGTATATATTAATGAGAAACCAATATATACAAGCGACATTATTTCAAGATTAGCTAGAAAAAATTTCAAGAATTATTTATATCGTATTTTAATCGGCTTTTGTGAGCTCGGAATTCTAATCCAATCATGAATATCACTTGAGCGGTACAATTTTATTTCACACAAAACGGGTATCCATTCTTTTATCATTCTCTTTTCCGTCATTAGTAACTATTTCTTGCCATTTCTATAATAACTCGAAATTCTATTTTAGGCCAATACTGGCCATTAATTAAGTTATCTGGTAGGTTGCCTGACGTATAAGTGAAATCTTAAATATTTAAAATAATTCTTATTTCCCCAAAAGTCTCAAGTAATGCTTATTTCGAAGGTGATGAATATCAGTTAATCAAGTAGTTCGAAATTTCGCAAAATCAATTTTCAACTTGAATTTGATTTAAAACTGCAAAAAAAAAAAAAATCTTTTACAGTGATCGGAGTGGACACAAAACTTTTTTGGACAGGAATTGGTCCTATGGATCGTACCGGTACTTCGTTTTGATTTTCTTTTCGATATAGTCGAGCATTGCAGCTTTTGTTTATTCGGGATGTGTCTATCACCTGTAGCCTCTGCGCTATTCTGCGTTTGGCAACCGATTGAGGTCTGTCGCTGGAAATTAGTTATGGGCGTTCGAATAACCAATAGCAATAGAATATAATATGTTCTCTTTTGCTTTGACAGTTGAGCCTTATCACAGAAACAATTTATATAATCACACTCATACTTAATTGCACTCCATACATATTATACATCTATAGAGCTCGTTTACATTTTAAAAATGAAAATGCCATGAGAATATAGCGTTCGTAACACTGTAACTTCTATGCAGACTTATAAGAATTCGTTTTTAAAATATGCATGGGTAATGAGCAACTAGAAACCCGAGAATTTAGAAAACATCTTCAAGCTCAAGTGAAGTCCGCAATTAGTTTGGAGAATATTTTATAAGGATAATCTTGCAATATTATATTATAGAACACTTAACATATATATTACATACAATTCATCACGCAAAACTTGACTCTCCTATACTGACTTGATTCTTTCCTGCTACCAATCCGACGTAATTCTGACTCTGTGCGAGCGATGTGTTGCTCTCATGTACCGTTAAATTGAGATTTTACCGCGCCCCAGGGTGTAAACTACAGGTTGCTAACTAAGCGAAAATTCTTTTGTAAATTTTTATGATTTGTTGTTCAATATAAATAAAACAAACAAGTCTGCCCATCGAAAGTTATCAATGGCCAAGTCTTACTCATAAAAAAACATACAAATAGCGAGTTACGTAAGAATAATACTTGGCCGCAAAGATTTGATAGGCTTTGTTCCAGTTTTATTCATACTCGAACAGCAATTACTAATCCCAACTAATGATACCGACTACTTTTCATCCTCTGTTCACTTGTCATAAGCTAGTATTAATATTATTTCTACACTAATTAATCTGGAATTCCATTTGAGGTCATGCAGGTTCATTTAACTCAGATACTGCGGTCAACTGAGATTCGAACTGTTTCAATATGGCGAAGGTTTTATGACAAAAAATGTTTTATTACCTGCTGATATTGTTTGTTGGAGCTAAATTAAATTCTCTTCCCAGCAAATGTATATTACCCTTTTCGCCATCTGATCTATAACATATCAGTACTATTTTCGACCGTCGAATTCAACGTTTTATGTACCTCGCTCTGATCTGAAACTCTACTCTAAATCTTGTGAAAATAAAAACGACTCGGGACAATACGACGACTCCTTCACAGACGCTAAAACTCCCGGTATTGACAGACGCGATCACCTGCTGGTGACCTACAATAACAAGATCCCGCCCACTTTTGACGGTTATTGTTATTGAATTTCATTGAGACAAAATTTTATTTGACAAATTAAATCGCGGAGATTCCATTGACGTGAAGCCAAGACGACTAACCTATGTGACAATATTCGTTGAGAAATAATCAGCGTAAATATAAAATTTGCCCGTTTTTAAATTATATAAGAGTCGTAGGCTCGTAGCTCGTAGGGTTGATTTGAAGTCCAAATTTCGGTACTCACGAAGTATGTGAACCAAGAGGGCGACCACCGGGACGTAGTATGTATACCAGGTTAGGGTTACGCCATAATTTGAGTAAAAAATCCAACGAAAGTCACCGAGTCGTGGCTAGTCCCCGAACTCGCAATAGAACTAAAATAAGGAAAATTGGAATAAAATTATGGCCTAACCCTAACCTGGTACACATACTACGTTCCGGTGTCCGCCATCTTGGTTCACACTTCACATACTTCGGGAGTACCCAAATTTCGAGTACAACTCTGACAACAAATAGGAAAACTAGAACACAATTTTGAAGCTACCAAGTGGTATTGCACTAAAAATAATAGTATTTTGTTTGTAGTAATTTTGAATTGTTGAATTTCTCCACCAATCCAACTATATTCATATACAAAAGAAAGTTTTATCCTACACAGAAGAATTGGACTGAACTTGTTATGGAAGATATATACAATTACGATGATAAGAATTAAGAAGCCGACAAGCGATTAACGTACAACATATGCAGATCTGTTTACATAATTCCGGGCCGAATAAGAGGCAGATGACGCATCCGTTCCAGTTATTTCTCGTTTCTTGCTGGATAAACGAAATGATAAGAATTCGTCTAAATAATTAACAACTGACACTATCCCTGCGTTTCTTGAATTATAAGACTCGAATGGCTACGTTACTTTGTTGAATTAACTAAAATAATGAACTTGAATGAAGCTAGATTTGTGAGTCATAAAATTGTCGAACGACATTATATATTACACCAGGCTACGCGGAATTATGTCCTCTATTTGCCTCAGTTACAAGTTAAAGTAAATAGTTACTCCGTGAAATATTTGGCGTGCGTGATTTGTTTGTCGAACGCCGTTTAAGCCAACAAGGTGGCTGAATACTCGATGACAACTCAAATATGCTGGTTCAGCGCTCGTTAATTGCGTGATATAACTACGCCCGATAAGATTTTTGAAGAATTTATGGCTCGTATTGCACCGATATAGCACAATCAACATGCGTATTTGAATGTCATGGATATACTGTGTTGATCCAGAAATAAAGATATTCTCGAATGACATTTGACCGGAATGCGATATTGACGAGAAGCAAATAAACCTTGCTTGTTTAATAGTTGATTGATAAATAAAATGCTTACATTCTTCTTAAAGGTAATACCAGATAAATATAGAATCTTTTATATGCTTATTTGTATGTTAGTAATATTCTTTTAAACACCAAAGAGATGATACAAAAATGTTTTCAAAAGGTATAGGTACGTTACAAAACGATTAATATGATTTATTTGCACAACAATTCCCACCCCTTACTTTCTATGCAATTTGTTTACTAAGTAGTAAATTTTGTGTTTCGCGGTGCTCAAATGGTAGCATACTTTAATCTATATCAACCACAGTTCAGCACCACAGCTTAATCGCCCTTTACCACCTTCGCAAAAACGTTTCGGGCGAACAGCCGATCGGGGCGTAGCCTAGTGGTCCTTGTAGGTTAATAGGATTTTATTTCTCAGTTAAGATAAGTATGGCGAATCAGGTGAATAGTTATGAGACTAAAAAATAGCAAGCGGGATTCTTTGCACAAATCGTGGTTGGTTCATAAGGTGTTCTTTCAGAATGCACCAGATGACGATAGATTATTGCGTAGTATAGTATATTGCACATTCACGCTCACAAACATCGATATCTTACGCTATTCACAGATAAACAGCCTTGCAACAAACGGGGGTGGGCAAAATCGATATTTATTGAATTCATCAGTATATCATTTTACTATGCTACTCAGGAAAGCTTATCGCTTGATATCTCTTATATTTTTACAATTAGTAAAACATTGGTTTCTATAGTGAAATAAATTGAAGTACAGTAAAACGAAAATTGCTCTTGAAACTTTATTTAATATTGTGGCCAACGCAGGCGAGAAACGGATCAATTAATCATAAGCACCCCTGGCTGTGTGGCAATTCGTGGCTACCTCTGCACTCGACAAATTTCGGAATATTCCTTCGTACTAAATCTAAAATTGTACTTTTTCTGTACATAAAGTATTACGGTATAAACTTTTAACCAAAAGTTATTGCATGGCTTCCGAAAATGTTTAAAGATAGTAAAAAACCACGATGTAACTTACGTTCTTCCATAATAGTTTCCTCGATAGTTCGTCTTAATCTGGAAGGCTGTGAACAGCTTCTTCGTACTGGTCTTATTTTCACACAAATACCGTAAGTCCTGCTAAAATCTTCTTCACAGTCGATGTTACAACAGCTGGTAGTCGTTCCGCACTTTTCTATTCGCGCGCTTTCCGCAACTCCGCCGGTTGCATGTACTTCTATCTCCATGTTACTGAAAAACGAGAATATTACGTCATAAAAAACAAACGGCCGTGAGATTTGTAGTGTACATTGGCGCTGTGATGTGCATTAATATTTAAACGCTTACCGACGGGGTTCTAAGGTGCCGTACGCTCAATTGTTTAAATACTAAATTCTTCACTCGATATGCATACAATGCTAAATTTAAATTTGGTCATCTGAGGATCCATACATGACTGATGAAATGAGTGTCTTAATCGTGATGGTATTCCGGAGCCTTAAGACCCGTTAATCGATAGACTAAGTGGAATCTTGATTCTTGACCGGCCATCAGGGAAATACATGGGAAAATAAGAAACCTCGGCGGCATCGAGATCAATAACCTAGTGCGTTGAGACTCTCTGAACTGCCCGACGTCATGAATTTTGCAAAGGAAGCCTGCGTAATGTCACACGTAGACGACTTACTTTGGAATTACTTTACAACTGATACCAAGCGTGACAAATCGTTGAAGTGGTACAAAAGAAGGGGTGTGGTATGTTCAAGTACGTTTATTCGAAAACTGGTTCAGTTAAATGTAGTTAAGACCTTCTCACCGTGATTGAACAGCATCTCAAATGATTTTTGTCCAACCAATGTTTTTGTCAAACCACAAACTAGCGCTTATGGCGAAGCCAACGAAAAAAAGTTTTTTTATGCGAAGATGCAGAAAAGTGCGTTAAGTGGACAAAAAATACACCAAAATTTCTATTCTACGTACTAACTCCCATGTAGGCTGTGACAAAAATATGCAGTAGAACATATCACGATAACTTTGGAATAAATTTAATGACACATTCACTAGATCTGGACGAATCAACAGATTTTTTTTCTTATATACCGAACTCGACATTTCCCGACTTCCTTTTTTTAATATATATTATATATTTTCATATTACACATAAAATCATTATAGTACAGATTTGCTAGAAGTGATATTATGATTAACATGCCAATGTAGTTATTTTCGAATCGATCAAAACCGTGAAATTTTTATACTGTTGTAGGCTACTTAGAGATACTGAAAAAGCGCGAACTCATTGCTGTAATCCGATTAAACAAGCAAAGTACGGATATGTTACCTGAAATCTAAATGGTCTCTTCCTTTGCATTTTCTAATTCTTCTCATCTTCGCATAACACGTGAAAATAGTATATATATATATATTAGGTTTAAAGTTATAAAGCTGATATATTATATTCTTTGCAAGTGCAACATTGTGAAAAAGAAAAACAGAATTCTTAATGAGAGGCCATCTATTATAACCAAAACTAAATAATGTCAAAAAGATAATATACAGCGCGAGAAATATATGTATTTTTCCTAATGCCCTCTGGTTGGTAAGCACTCACTTGACGACTAATATTTCCTCCCCTTTCTTATTATCAAACGGACAGTGGCACCATTTCTGTTTACATAACCGCTCTTCCCAATCTGTTCTTTTGCTTTAAAGCCGCATTTGCCAAACATCATTTCTTTCAATTTCATTGATTGATTATCAGCTAATTAATTAAGTAATGATAAGGCTATTTAATCACGAAGTGCACCGAGTGCAATGCTGGCTAATATTTGTGGAGTTTCGTTTTTTGACGTTATATATGAGAGGTCCGAAAATTGCCAGATTGGATAGATAGAGAATTAATGTAAATCTTGAAATACTTTGCAGTTGCTGAAGATTGTTTTCTACTTGTCAAATTAATAACATTGTTATTGGACACGAAGTGGACATAACGATCGTTTCAATATTATGTTGTTGTTGTTGTTCTTTGACACATTTTTAAAAAGTCGCTTTTCTCTTCGAATACTGGACCAATTGCTTTGAATTTTTCAGTGGTTAAAGATTAATTTTTTCGCTAGAAGGCTATTACTTTTATTTATTTCAAAATTTTGCGTGAATTCTATGAAATTTGATATTTCGTCTAAAATTTTTCTGTATTATTTTTTATCCACGGGAACACGGATTTTAGTCAGTGTCATGACTGGCTGTACGGTTTGATTCTGCAAAATTCTTGCTACTGGAAATTCAGAACTTTTTTGAGGGTACCGGTAGCGTCAAAGGTACCGGTAAGGACTGATTCGCTCTGGTCTAACGTGTCCATATATTTGTGCGTAGCTCTCTTGTCTTTTATTGGCATCGCTTCATTCGGAGAATTAGTAGTTATAGGTAAATGGTTTTCAAATCGTCTAACCAACCATATATATGCGTAACTAATATGGAGACTATTAGATTTGATGTGTGACCAACGGCCATGACATAATATACCTCCCTCCTTAGCAGTGTTTCAATACGTAGGCTATATCGCCCCTAGTGGCAGAAAAGAGAGCTTGCGAAACTTAAAGCAACATCAATTAGACTTTTGTTACGACATTGCTAGTGATATCGGATTTAGAGGGTTTTGAGTGAAAGTAACGTTTTTTATCAATTCCTACTACGAGAGATTTTCATTCTGAATTGGGCACAGACAAACATCTACATATCCGTAAACTCATATTATTCTTGAAGGTATCGGTATTGCTTCGGCTCGGGGCGCCGCGTTATAAACAATGGTGACCGTACATTTGAACCCATGTGTATATCCGCGGGTTCAATCTATATGCGGGTGCTAAAACCCATGGGTTATTGTTAAAATGGGTTCAAATATCCGCAAAAAAATCTATAGATGCAATAGTATGCAGGTGCAGTTGTCGTGGATTCAAATGTACGTGGGTTCAAATGTACGGGAACCATACATAATACCCATATGTGATTGTTGAAATCAGTATAAATACCTAAATGCCTGCAGATTCTGCAATGAAGAGTTTGGTAATGATTAGTATATTTGAGTGGCCTATACCACCTTTCATAAGATGATTTTTATTACCTAATCTAAATTAACAACAAATTCTCCGGCTACGCGAAAGTAGGAAGTTTTTTGGCGGTACCGATACTGTAAAAGGTAAGGTAGACAACTGCTTCGCTTTGGTCTTTGTGTCCATATATTTAAGCATTGCTCTCTTGTTCTCAAAATACAGAAAGGTAACTACTTGCAATGTTTGTACAAAGCCTTATTCAAGGTAAAATTCATCTAGAAAGCAAGATATGAAAAGTAGTTATCTGAACTTGTACCTACTTAAACTCTTGGTCTGATTCGAATAGTCGCAGTGTTGTCAAGCGATCGAAGTACGCAATTTGGTTTCTGTCGGAAGATTAAGGCTAATGATGAGTGCCGTATAAGAATTCAGTGTCAGTGCCGCATAACCAAATTTGGATCCCCGCGCGCGGCCTTCCTTCACTAGTATTTTTCTCTTGGTCTGTCTGTGAGTAACGAACTTGTCTCAACCAAGAAAATGAATTGGTATCTGAAGCGCCTTGACTATAAGGTCAGATCAAAATATACTTGGGAAGTTTGCTGTTGCCGTCAAGTCATGGAATGTCGACAACGTCTACGTTGCCACAAATACATATTATGCGGAAGAAGCCTAGTATAAGCAGTTTACGTCATTCAAATATTTATTTTATTAAGTATAGCAGTAACAATAATTACATATTTTGTGATTAATATTATAGGATTGCACTCAAACTAGTTAGCACATCAATCACTTTTTTTTCAAAATGCACATTTAGAAAATCTCAGAGTGAAGTGTCTTCTCCAGATCCAACAGTGGAAAGAACCTCTTTTGTCCACCAATCAGCATTAAGATCTGGTCCGCTCCCACCAAGAAAAAATGGTAGATGAACAGGGTCAACTTTGTCATGCAGTGTTTTGACGTTCGATCCATGAACTGTCAACTAAATAAACAGTGGAAAATTCATTTTACCTGTGTATTCTATGAATATATATTGCTACAAAAACACATACCCTGTTCTTTAGTTTCTCTCCTATAAAGGTGCTTATGACAGTCCACAGAATGTCAAACACCAGTGCCTCGTTAATGAAATTAAAACTTTTTAATCGTACAGGCATAGCCTCCTGTAAAACAAGAAGTGTTTAACTTTGATTGCCATAGCTAGTATACAATCTGAAACCAACTAAACAAACTCATTTCTTTGCATGTTTCATACTTATTGGACACGAAAAGTAGGCTACATATGGATCATTTTTGGACACGATTGTACATATTGATCGTTTTGTTGTTATGTTGTTGTGCCTCATCTTTTTCTCCTTGTGGCGGTTCCGCTTTTGCGTTAGTGGTCGGGCGAAGTCGTGAAATTGCGGTACCGGTTACCGCAGTGGTGGGATTCAAAATTTTTGTCAGCCGGTTCCATCATACAAATGTCATATTTTCAGGCGGTTCTGTTACAAAAAGTCATGTAATGCTAACCGGTTCGCTGATCTCATAAAATTCCGTGAGACGGTTCTATTGAACCGGTGCCAACCGGCTGAATCCCACTACTGGGTTACCGGTAGTGTACTGTGACAGATTGCATACCCGTACTACTTTGTTTTGGTTTTCGTGTCATCATATTTGAGCATCGCTCTTTTGATATTATTATATATATACGTGATTAATTGTTTTCATAGCTATCACTACATAAATTATGGCTACGCCTCATCATTGTTATTGACGGTTACCTATAAACAGTTTCATGGCTTCATTCTTGGCTTGAAATGATACGTTGTTTTCATAGATTGTCTATTTCTAATGCGATGAAAAATATTCTATTAATTACTTTATGCCTTCATGTTGTAAGTACTAAACACAGACCTTCAGAAGTATGTGCACCGAGATGGCGCACAGCCTGAAGATAGCATGTGTACCAGATTAGGGTTCAGGTTGTGCGCCATCTTGGTGCACATATTTCAGGAGCGCCCTAAACACAGTCCATGGTATTGCAATTTGAATCAAAATTAAGCTTCAACGCAAAATTTAGAAGTAAAATTTAAAATGAATCATTATAGTTGTACTTATAATATTTTAGATATAACTATGGAATCATTATTATCATGCGTCCTCAGAAAATATTGTTTAAAAATAGGCGTATTCACTTGAACATCTTCAAGTTTCAGTGACCTCCGCAACCTTTTTTCAAGGTTAGTCTTTTTTAATATGAGTGAGAGGTTTGCTTTAGAGAGAATTCTTTACAGCAATTAGTGTATAATAGAATAATGAACATGTTTACCCACTCGCATTATACTGGAGAAGCGTTTTGCATACGACGCCATCTGCATTGCTGTTTGTAAACCCATATTTGACATGTCGTCGATGATAGTTACGCCATATATCTGGAAATTATACTTGTATTTTTATTTGTTTTGTTTTGAAATAAGAATGATTGAACAGAAAATTAATTAGTGGAAGCACTGATAAACTCGTTTGGGATGATCCAGATTACCAACTTACTATTTCAGTGTTTTGTGATTTTTTTCTAGATGTATGATTTGTGCCAAAATATGGCATAATGTTTGGACAATATATCTTACAATTTTCATTCACTGCAATAATTTATTTCTTGTCTATGAGGGCACTTTTGTTTATGTTACCGGTATAGGAAGAACGTATTTGGGTATAAATTGTCTAATTGTATTTCATATCAATTTTACCATATCCATCCAGTCTATTAAATTCGAATGACAATGGAAAACGGAAAATTTTTTTTGACTCACTTGAAATTCTTCTTTTTCCAATTGCTTCTCAATCGATAATAGTATAATTGCAAGAAATTTTAACATGTCGTCACTCTCAACAAATCCAAGACCTAAAGTATATATACATATAAAGTGTGATAATGTTTACGTAAAATGTGTTGAGCCCGAGTGAATGGGACAAATAAACTCTCACAAGAACAATATCGTATAGGTAGGCCTATGTCGAATACGCAATTAAAGGAAACGTGATTAAAATGACTACGAATGTTCTGCTACATTGCGGTTAGGGGTGGGCATTTTGAATCGAATATTCGAATCGAATAGTAAATTATTCAAATCAGTTCAGAGCAAAATTTCGAATCGCCGCCATCTTGTTTTTTTATTGATGCCATATTTCTTCAAGGCAATTCTGACATATGACTCTTTTCTGTAGTGAGTTATTGATGAAAACGTGTTTTTTATTGTGCGTGAACGTTCAGCAATCTATCTGAGTGATGTATTTCACGTTTCAGGTGATTTATGTGTCTGGAGGACCAAATACAAGGAGAAAGTTACATACAATTATATCTCCCAAGTATTCGAGATTCGATTCGAAAAAATATTCAATTCGATTCTGAAATCAACAGGTATTCGAAAATGCCCAGCCCTAATTGTGGTACTATATCTGGCTACTTCTCACAACACCAACGGACTGATTTACGATTAAGTAAGTTGTATTGCAAAACCTGTACTTGTTGATCAAAACAGTCTAATTCATTTGCATTAAATCATCTTTCTCAAAAATACCTGGTCGTCCGACAAAAACAAAAGTTCCATCCTTTGCTCTGGCATCCTTTAAAGGCAGGAGTGGACCAGCAGACATAAGACGTTCACAGTCTTTTGGATTGTCGATCTGAGAATATAATAAGAATTACATTTGAAACATTTTCTGACTTGTTATTTGCAATATGATTTATCATAGCCTACCAGATCGTATAACTCCTTCCATTCTGTTCTATGCTTATGGTAATTCACGAGAGTCGTCAATGCTCTGTCTTCGTTAAATTTTCTAACTCGAAGAAATCTGAAATAAAGATTGTAAAAAAATCGCGAATTTAGTTTATTTTTATTATTTAAAAACTATATAGTTACCTCAAGAGAAAAGCATCGTCAGAACGAATCAATTCACATCCATCATTTTCTTTTTGAAATCTTGCTCTCAATTTATCGATTGCAGCCAATCTTTCTGTATTATCTTCAGGTTCGTTCAATTCATCAATTGCCTTTTTCAGCGTTTCTGGAGATAACTTACATTCATATCTTTTCATGATTTATTTCTTGTATTTTTTGAACTATATAACCGTATAAAATATTCTGGAAGTTTAAGAAAATTAGACATGGGAAAAATCCAGTTCGCTGTGTAGAACTACAACCCTTGTTGATGCGATGGAATTGCCATGGCAGATTACGTAGCCTGCTTCTCAAGCAAGTGTACCAAACAAATTGAATGAAGTTTCCAGGTTTTGATGTCTCCGAACCATATGACTAGGGCGGGCATTTCGAATCAAATATTCGCATCGAATTGTAAATTATTCGAATCGGTTCAGAGCAAAATTTCGAATCGCCGCTATCTTCTTTTTTTTCCGCCAATGGTCGAGGTGAATTTTTTTTCATCGAAGCAATTTTTTTGTCAACGACATTCTGACATTTGCCTATTTCCTATAGTGATTTATTGACAAAAACGCGTTTTTTTTATTGTGTGTGAACGCTCAGCAATCTGCCTGAGTGATGTATTATATGTTTTCGGTAATGCGTTGGCAGCACCAATTACAATGAATAAGTCGCATACAATTGCATATTTCTCATTGTTTCCCAAGTATTCGAGACTCGATTCGAAAAAACATTCGATTCTGAAATCATCAGGTATTCGAAAATGCCCAGCCCTACCTATGACTTGTTCCTTGAGTGGTTGATTATACAAATCTCTGATAGGAGCAAAGATGACAAATTTAACTGCGTCCGTATAATGCCAATTATACGTGTCGCGTGCCGACCACCGACACGACTTCAGGAAAGATACATGCTTACAGAACTACCTGCCAAAACGAAAATTAACGTGGCAGTTCCACCAGAATTTGCTTCATTGCTCGTTTTCACATTCTTAGCGTCTCATGCATTGACGGTGTGCTTACGACTAGAAAGCTAATTATTATCTCTAAATCTTCGATTGCACAAATTAACCAATGCATCTTTGATAGAAAGCTAGCTAGCTTGATAAATTAACATGTCGGTACTTGAATACCTCAATCAAAAAGACTTATTGTATAGCCAACGACTTAACGAAGTGCAAGCTTTTTTATTCAGATAAATGATGCAATTCTGGGCCTAAAGCAAGCTGAAACAATCAGGTCTTCTGCAAATAGACTTGTTTGCATCTTCAAGAAGTTCAAACAGTGGAGCAAAAATGAATTTTTAATAATTGTATATGCTTGATTTGAAAAAAAAATACTAATAGATTTCGAAAAGAAAGCATAATTATCGCAGGATCCCAGATTTCATGACAATTACGGTGAAAAATAGTATTAAACAATCATAGTTTATCTTAAACTAAATCAAAAATTCAAATAATGATTATTTCAAAACGAATTGAACGGAACATTAAAAAAGGAAAATGCTTGAATTATTAAATTTTATCAATATTTCATGCTTGCCAACCACACTATTTCATTATAATAGATAGAGCCTAAACAATGAAAATAAGAAAAAATCAATTTTGGCATCTCTAAAATTTTAACAACTATAGAAAAAATACATAAGGTAGATTTTAGTTGATGAAGCTGTCATCAATGTTGCAATGTACCATACAGAAAACAGTCTAATAATATTAAATAGGGCTGTGGAGTTTTAGAGGTTTTCACGGTAGTCAGAGTTGCATTTCCAAACTATTTGAAGTTAGAATATTCTCAATTCACTGGAGTCCGGAATTTTAGACTTCCATTGGAAATATAAAAAGACAAAATTGTTAAGGTTTTATTTCATTGGAGTTTGGAAAATTTTTACCACCCGTATTTAGGAGACGGGTTGAAATTTTTCTTAACCAGATTTGAGAGACAAAATTGTTTTCAGCTTGTTTTAAGGATAGGATTTACTTATTTATCCAGTTAGTGGAGAAAATCGAAAAGACGACTTAATAATATGGCACACCACGGCCTGTCGTCCGGTCACCACAGCCCTGGTTCTGGAAGACATTTCCATCACAGGGAAAGTGAAACACGAAAATTAAGGTTATACAGGTAGTTACATAGGTAAATAAAAAAATGTGCTATATTGGTATATAATATTAATATAATGAACTCTACTAAGTACTCAGTGTAATGGGAATATTATTTTATCTACCGGAAATTGTGCTACAATATACGAATAAATACGAATGGATGCTTTGAGGCAGTGGTTTACAACCTTTCTGGTGGTTCCCAATTAAACATTCCAGAGGATCGAGGAACCCCTGCGCAATAGTTTAATTGTTCTTTATTGTCTGAATGGAATAAATAAATATAGAAGAAAACTTTATACTGACAAAATGAAATTTTGCAAGTTTAATGATAGTGGCAAACATAATAGATATTTGACTATATTAAAACAATATACATTTACTAATCTATACTCTCGCATCCTAATGGGTACTTGTGGGACCCCTGGACTGTTCTGATGGAACCCTGGTTGAAAACCACTGCTCAGAGTTTACAAAAGAGTTAGATAAAAAAAATTATAATGGGAGAAAATAAAAATAAAATCTGTTACAGTACATGCCTTTTCCAAGTTTACTTTATTTTATTTTCATTTGTTGCATATGAATTCGACATCGCAGTTATTATAAAGCCCTATAGCAAACACATATGTATTATTATATTGAAATGGCTCAATAAATTTAAATCTTTGGTGAACTCGACCCAGCATAAAAATTAATTAAAAAATTAAGCCAGGAACATAATTGGATGAAAAACATGATTTGCAGTATTTCTCTCAAAATCAAAATAAATTTACAAGATTTTATGTCTGGAACTCAATCGCAAAATTTGGCAAATAAATCTAAGAGGTGCATAAGAAAATGAGGTTTATATAAGAAAAAGTGATACACAGTAATACAAAGATACAGATTCATACTTCAGAACATAAAAGGTTCAATCTAACTGATATTAGCGAACTTATAATAGGATGTACCATATTTGAAGCCTATTTCAACAGATTTAAGTTGCTGATAGGATAGCAATTTCATATTTATCCATGTAGACAGGTAAGCTGATACAATGACTTAATTATATGACTTAACCAGAGCATCTTATCTGGCTACCATGTCAGGTATGAGAATTAGTTGAACAAGATATTCGTTTCAGATGCATGAACCTGATTGCTAATATTATGAAAAACTATAGATCAGTGGTTTTCAAACGGTGGGGCACGGCCCACAAAGGGGGCGTAGACAATTTTATAACGGGGCGTGAAGCCTTTAGACGCGGCTTAAAAAGTTTGAGAACCACTGCTCCAGATTATATTATCAGATTCAATTTTAAAATAACAGGATAGAATGATAAATGAACAAAAAAACTTATGGCTTTAATTTGAAGAAATTAGAAAATGTAACAGTGAAACACAATTTGTTTAACTTATTACATAAGGAATTTGGTCAGGATAGGGATCAGTAAAGGAAGTATGGCCACAGCAGTAACAAAATCGATTTTTCGATTGAAGTTCGACAGTTGCATATTCAAACAGGAAACAGCAGGTGAATATTTATTGTGCAAAAGTACTATAGATTCAATTCTAAACGGAACGGAAACATTGTGCAAAAATTCTACCAAAAATAATCAAGAATACAATTGCTTATAAGAATAACTAAACAATAAGTAAATTATAATATGAGATATGTCCTAGCATGAATACAGACCTATTTTAAAAAAGCACAACTTCCAAACCACTCATTTCTTGGACCTTCAGAAGTATGCGCACCAAGATGGCGCACCACCTGAACATAGTATGTATGTACCGGTTAGGATTCAGGCTGTGCGACATCTTGGTGCGCATACTTCTGGAGCACCCATTTCCTAATCCAAACCCACAATCTTAGCAAAAGAAAAAATTCCAAAAAAGTCCATAATGAACTGTAAAGATTCTGATTTTGAAGTAATTAGCTTCACTTACCCCAATAGCTGCTTGAAATTACGATAAGTACCGGTAAACATATGTCCGAGATAATATCGCACAAATACCAATTATTTATACAATTGATGGGTCTACACCAGGTGTGTGCAACATTTTTTTGTCGGTGGGCCATGTAATCAACTTCAGACATATCCCTGGGCCACACAAAAAATTACCGTAGTTTTTCCATTTATACAACGCCGTGAGAAAGGCTAAAAAAGAGCTATCACTCAGCTTTACAGTAAAAAAGACGCCTGGCAAAGCGGCGAAAGATATAATTCAGAAAAATCTGAGCGTTGACTAGGGCCACACTAAATGTCTTGGTGGGTCTGGTTTTGGCCCACGGGCCGGCATGTTGCACACGCCTGATCTACAGCAATTGATCAAATTACAAAGCTGTGTCCTCTCCAGTTCCACAAGATGACAAAATTTCATTTGTCCACCAGTCTGTATTCAGATCTGGTCCTGTTCCACCAAGAAAGAATGGTAGATATGCCGGATCGATTTTATCGTGAAGAGTTTTGAAGTTTGATCCATGAAGCATCAGCTAAGTAAAAGGAATAGGATTTACATATTTATCCCAGGAAAGAAAAAAGCCGATATGAAGACTTGATCATATTAACTATTAACTAACTATTAATATTAACTGCTTTAACTAATATATGAATGAAATTTTCAGTGTTGGGGTCTCTATAATTTGACTCGACTCTAGTTAGAACGGATTCACCAATTGTCAAAGATCTTTAGTGACATGAGCCATCTAAATTGAAAGTGAGTGTTAACTCAGAGATCGCCTTGACTCTTGACTTCAAGGAGTTTTATCCAACACTGGTAATTAATAATAATTAAGGGGAAAATCCGAAATTATATAATATCTTAATTGGTGTATTAAAAATGGGGTAACAGTAAGCAATGCTAAACTTGAAAAAATTCCGATCGCTTGTTAAAATTGAAGTTTTAACCCCTTGTTGTCCATCTCATTTGATGTGTAACAAAGGAGAAATCAATGTGAAACTCGAAAAATTCTGACCACTGGTTAAAATCTGAAGTTTTAACCCCTTGTCCCCCCCATCTCATTCAGTGTGTAAAAATGGGGGAGAAATGGATGCGGAACTCAACAAATTTTGATGGCTGGTCAACATTTGAAATATTAACCCCTTGTCTCCCACCTCATTCAGTGTATAATAAATGGGAGAAATTAATGCAGAACTCAAAAAATTCCGATGGCTGGTTAACATCTAAAATATTAACCCCTTGTCCCCCCTTATTCAGTGTGTAAAAAAAGGAAAAGCAATGCTAAACTCAAAAGATTCAGACCGCTGGTTAAAATCTGAAGTTTTAACCCCTTGTCCCACATCTTATCAGTGTGTAAAAATGGGGTAAAACAATGCTAAACTCAATAGATTCAGATTGCTGGTTAAAATCTGAAGCTTCAACCCCTTGTCCCACATCTTATCAGTGTGTTATTAAGGGGTAAGCAATGCTGAACTGAATAACTGATCATTATGTTGCAGTGGTGACTTATCTAGAAGAGCCTACACCAGAGAAAAAGGTGAAAAATAAGAAGTAAGAAATTACCCCAGCATTGCTTACCCCTTAACCTCTTAAGAAATTACGTTATAGTCAATAATATTTTATTAATAACGAAGATTATTAGTATAGTTTGGTCTCCATGAATATTTTAAACTTTGCTCCAAAGAAAAATTTAAGAAAAAAAGCATTAAAAAAGATACAACAAATTGTTTATCAAGCTTTCTATCACCTACCCTTTCCTTCATTTTTTCTTTCATGAAAGCACTGATGACTGCATATATAGTATCGAACACAAGACCTTCATTGACCATATTTAAGCTTTTAACTCGAATAGGCATAGCCTCCTGTATAGTAGAAAATACAGTTGAAAAGTTTTCATAGTATACCTTATACCTTAAATAATACATGGTTAAAAAAAAACAAAATTCACAAAGTAATCGTTGATCGAATATGATTTTAAATTTTCATTTGTATATATAACTTCAAGTTTAAGAACGAATAAGGGAATTCAAATCTGTAGAAATAGGTAATGGCATCAGATAAACATGCTTTTGTGTATCAAATCCCTTGATTTTTGCAACTTTGTTTATTTATGAAATCTGAAAATAAGCATCTTCAATATGATTTCATTACAGTAAATTACAAAAAAAATGTGACTTTTCTCTTTAATTTTGCAAAAAACACACAAAAATCAATTTACTACAAAGTACCACTTTCAAATGCATTTCGAACCTGAACAATATGAAGCATCCTTTTGCCCACAGATGCCATTTGCAATGCCATTGTCAGTCCAAAATGTGTCATGTCCTCTATTACAGTCATACCATGAATCTGGATATATAGCAAAGATTAAAGAAGACGCAGGCCCAATTTTGCTTTTCATTCAATGTCAGTGTCAAAAATGCTTAATCAACCCATAGCAAAATATACATAGTGTTCATGAGGTTTTGTATTAAATTGGGTAAAATAGTGGGCACATAAAGGTGTACTCTAAAAAAAAGTAGGAAAAACTTGAACAAACAATGAATAAAATAAAACAACCTGTTCAAAATATATTAACAACTGAATTCCTCCTATCACGAAAGAAGCATGAAACTTTAGCACTTAACTAGGTTGGTGATATCGGTTGAAGATTTCAGGTATAAACCCCTTCAGTAGGAATAGGATAAAATAGATAAGCAATGTCGAACTAAAAGTTTTTTAATTTTTCAAGTGCCTTATATTCAAGTACTTGCTTGGGATTATTACTTATCGATCTTGATTTGTTTGTTTGTCTGTTAGATACATGTGATATCTCACGAAAGCAAGGTTGAATCTGCTTCAAATTTTGCATGTGCATTCATCATATGTCGTACCAGAAGCCTATTGATTTTGGATGAATTAGGTCGTATAATTAGTGAGTTATCAATTAATTAATGAAGAAGAGATCTAGATTTTTGCAAAGTTAGAGAGCGCGTATGACCTAGATTTTTAGGCAAGAGCGCGAATGCCCTGAGTGTGTGTGTGCAATGCGCAAGTTTCCACGCTATTGAGTCAGACCGAAGGATACATGCTGCTATATCGATAAGATCTCGTTTTATTGTTGTGAAATTTCTAAGAGCAAGATTGTAAGATAAATAGTACCTGGAATTCTTCTTGCTCTAGTAATTTATCGAGTGATAAAATCAGTATAGCGATGAACTTCAGCATATCGTCCTTGCTCTGAAAACCATATCCTTAAAATAAAAGAGAATTTTATTAAGAGATGATCTGGTCTACTGCATTAGTATAGCATTTAACGATGTTCTGCATTCACCTAGCATTCAACATGTTTCTTATTGCAGTATTGAGGTTATTCTTTTTAAAATATCAATTTGGGGGCTTTCTTATAACAAACAATCTCGCCTCCTGGGGTAGTTCATGCAGAGTTTTGAAAGTGATGAGAAAGTCACCTGGTCTCACAATCATGACAAAAGTACCATCTTTTGCTCTGCCGTTTCTCAAAGGAAGCAATGGTCCAGCCGATATCAAGTCTTTGAAAGGTGTAGGGTCATCAACCTAATTTGAATAGAAGTAATAATAATTGATACTATAAATATAAAAATAGTCATAACATAACCCTGGAAACGCAAACTACTTGCACACTTCAGTACCAGAAAAAACGTTAAGTAACAGTTTGATTAAATCCCGATATGGCTTTTAAATTTTCACTAGAGTTGTAGCAACCAGTATGCCCCAGATTTTTTCTGTTTGTCCAAAGTCAGAATAAAGAAGCGACATGTGAACATTTCATAGTTAATATTTAACTATCTTGGAAATTGACTGCCCATTGAGCTACACTTTCCTATCTGGTGGAATTTGACAGTCCCAGTAATAATATGTTGTGCCAAACTTGTTGAAAAAATATAATATTTATTGGAATAACAAATAAGTTTCAGTTATATTGTATATTATTTCAATGATAGAATCCTTTTTTTATTACGGTAGAAATAATTTCTTACATAATCAAAAAGTTCTTTCCATTCATTTCTCTGTTTATGATAGTTCACAAGAGTCTCCATGGCTCGATCCTCATCAAACTTTTTCACTCTGAGAAACCTGAACAAAAGTTTTTTTATAAATAGATTTAGTTCCTATGACTGGTATTTCTTCAAATGAATAATGATTTAAGTACGGTACATGAAAGGGGGTGAGAAAGGAGAAGTAGTCTTCACAAAAAACTTAGTGATTCTAAAATATCTTTGTTAGAAAATCAAATGAATCATACAGAGTAAACCAGACTTATTTTAAGACATAATATATTGAAGAAGACCCAAGCGCCTTGAACATGTCCTATATACAATGCAACAGTAATGATCAGAAAATTATCCCCCCTAAAAAAAACAGAACCCAAACTTTCCCACTCCTGTATACCTGAGTAAAAAATCATCATCAGACCGAATTAATTCCAATCCATTATCTTCTTCTTCAAATCTTGTTCTCAGCTTATCAATTGCAGCCAATCTCTTATCATTATCTTCAGGTTCGTTTAATTCCGCAACAGCTTTTTTCATCAATTCTGGTGATAATTTACATTCATATCTTCCAGACATTTTTATTGTTTTATTTTTGAGACTAATACCTGATACAGTGTATAGGATAATATTGTTATAAACGAATAGAACATACTTTTCTAATACATCACAATATGCACAATTATCTTATGTCATTGTTTAAAAGGATAGAATGAAATTGAACACAGCTAGGTCAAAGAGTAGTTCACCATTTACACCACATGCACTATAAAGTACTGATTGGTACACATAAGTAAATTGACAAAGATTGTCTTGCACATTTCACAATCTCATGTCATCCCTTATTTCACCAATTGTACCACATTCACCAAATGCACTATAAAGTATAGATTGGTGCACATGAGTAAATATGAAAAAGTTGTCTCACACATTTCATGATCTCATGAGTCCCTTATTTCACCACTTGTACCATGTGTACCAGATGCACTTCATATTGCAAATTAGTTCACATGAGTGAATCTGTAAAGATTGTCCCATGCATTTCACCATCTCATGTCAAAATTGTAAGGCATCAGCCACAAAGATATTTTTCAGGAATAAGTTAACAATTTTTAACAAAATAATTTCAAAACTATTAGGTACGCTTAATTACAACCAGTTTTATAATTGTTGTTTTCCATTCATTGATTGTTATTATAAATAAATTTCTCAGTAATAAATAATAACAGAAAAAAACAATAACACCGGATATATACATGTTAGAAAGTGTAATATTGACAACATACCACATCAACAAAAAAAAAACATTTTCCCTACCCAAAAATGTGTGAATTTTGAAATTTTTCTCTGACATAACATAAAAAATATAGACCAAAAAGCAGTCTTAAAAATTGTGTTTTCATCAGTGTATTCAACGATTTATAAGTAGTCAGGGAAAAATAACGGAAAGGCAATAACTGGCAAATTGAGGTAGTTTTATCTAATAAAACTATGATTAAGTACACTTTAAATCAAGTTGGGGCTAAACTGATCAAGTTTTCACAACACAAATGATTGAATTCTATACATTATGTTGAAAAATTTACCTCAAAAAAGGAGGTAGGGTTATATAGACAGCAAAAGTGATGCAAACAAACAACTGAGCAATGCTCAAATATATTGAGATCATACATTAGTAGGTCATGGATCATAGGTCATGCATTGGTACATGTACATTAAGGCCTGAGAGAGAGAATTTTTTTCCGTGAAATATAGGATTCAGGCAAAATTTGAAAACAATGGAAGCAATAGCCTTGTAGTGACCATCTATATCTAAATACTGGAAATTTGAAATTGATTGGTCCATCAGTAGTCATATAAAGAGAATTTTCTTGACAACAGCAATAAGTTAAAATACAACAAACAACAACCAAAACTCTGCAAAACGATTCATGTGTATACTTTATGTCCATATATATATATATATATACATCACAAGATATTTCAGAGTATTATATCCTAGTTTGAGAAGAATTGAAACTAATGTTAGTGGCAAATGAATATTCAATTTTAGTTAGTAATGATTTTGAAACTTATTTTTTAAGAGGCAAGGAAATGCATATATACCTATGGAACTAGAAGAGTAGCAGCATAAATGACTTTTGAAACATGTAAAACAGAGAACAATCAATTGAAAAATTTAATTGAGACAAAGAATAGGATATCAGTAGATCAGCAGTATATCATTGTAAAATCGTTTTTTGTATTTCGAATTGCAAGCTGAAGACAGTGACAATTTTTTAATATTGCTATGTTGAACGTTATCGAGAACTTTATTAAGTGTTAAATTGCACAAATAGTCATAAAAATATATTATCAACCTAAGAAAATTTTCCTACGACAGTGAACACAAAAAATATTTAACGAGTAATACACAATACTAAAACAAGTAGTATATACAAAACAACATTAAAAAGTATGCAGGCTAAAATGGTTGAAAATAACAGATATATACATATTCAATTGGTGAATAAAAGGATTTTAGAAAATACGTTTAAAAGATATCTGATAGATTTCAGTTAAATTAAAATCAACTTGTAACAGGGAAATTCCAACGAGTACTGATTGATCTAACTTCATTATTATAGATATTATACTAAAGTGCATTCATTTTGGTTATTCAAAATAGAAATGAATCGCACGGTACAGGATTTCGGCTCACAAAAAAAATTTAAGAGGGGAAATACATACACTTTATAAGCTTATGCTACGAAATTCCTCAATTAATCTGATCTAGAGAACATATCTAATATGAAGTAGGTGACATGAATATAAATATCAATAAAGAGTGTGCTGTCTGCTGTGTATGATTTCAGTCAGTTAAAAAACAATTTAAAAAAATCCAAAACAGACATAAAAACATTGAATAAAATCAACGTTTCTCTTTCACACACCGAAATATAGATATTATGAATTTAAATATTTAAAAAAGAAAATTGAAGTAACAGTCGCATCTTCGGTTGCGATTTTAATCAATTACAGTCAAGTACACCAACTAATAATTTGTCTATCTCTACAATCCTGGATTGAAAGACTTCTTTTTCAAAAGTGAATTTCATGTATTCTATATTCAAACACTTTCATCAGATGGTATTATTTCACTAGACCACCATTCAGCATCCAAATCAGGCCCACTTCCACCAAAGATTGAAGGAAGAAATGAAGGCTCAATTACCTCATGAAGTTTTTCAAAATTGCTACCATGGAGCTGCAACTGAAAATGAAAAAAAGGATACATTCTACTGTGGAGACATTTATGATATCTTCTATATTATATGAAGGGCTTAATTCTGAAAATTTGTTCGATCTAAACGACTGAAGTCAAGTCAAGTTCGCTTCGAGTCTGAGTCATAGTAGATTTTATTAATCAGGAAATTTTTCCCAAGTATAATGATACCTCGGTAGTCGAATGATTGATACCCTAAAATTCCACTCAAAAAGAAATTTGGTGCTCAATCACCTGAATGCGCCGCCGAGTGAGATGACGTCATCCATACCGCACATCTCGGCTGCCTCTTGAACATACAACAAGAGGGCGATGCTCAAATATGTGGACACAAAGGCCAAAACAAAGTAGTGTGGGTATGGGTATGCAATCTGTCACAGTAGATCACTGGTACGGCAATCCTCTCGACTAGTGGGAAAGCGAAACCGCAATTTTGATAATATCATTACACAAAAAAAAAAATCCCATAGAGCCCACAGAAATTTTCTCAAACGTACAGAAACTGATTTTCCATAATTTTATCTTTATTAGGTATACATTTAATTGATTATTGTTGTTTAGGTACAAGTTTTGTTAATATTTTGGGTATTTTGAAATGCGCACGAAAAAAATTAAAATAATTACCATTTTTTATTATGGCAAAAAAAAGTTTCAGTACTCGAACAAATCGGTAGTCGAACAGATAACACTAATCATGAACAAATTATGTTCGACTACCAAGGTATCACAGTATAACAACATATACAATAAAAAACTGTCTTCATAGCAAAGTTATCATATGGCCAAGAACTTTCTGACATTCATGAAAAAAACAGTAAATTTAACTAGAATAAAACTATTATACAAACCCTTCTCTTCATTTTCTCTTTCAAAAATTTATTGATGATCATATAAATCATGTCAAAAACGACAGGTTCGTTAACAATGTTCAAACTTTTCACTCGAACAGGCATAGCGTCCTAGAAATATAAAATTATTTGATTCTTATTAATTTATATCACAGAAATATTTTAGTCGAATAACAAATAGGTAAGTTAATTAAATGATTAGACATGATGAAACATAACTGACTACATCATAATATACCGTAGTTACTTCATCAGTGTCAGTGTTGTGGAAAATTTACAGCGGACTCAAAATCTTAACTTTGGAAATATTAAATAACAACTCTCTCGCCGACTCCTGGTTAACAATAATTCTCCTGCTGGCTACAACTAATCCCATGCCATACCCATCATGAACCGTTAACCGGATGCGAGGCCTCGGTTTGGCTATATTATGATCAATGAGCCGTATTATCAGCTTTCCTATCCACAGGATATATATGTAAATCCTATCTTAAAATAAAAGGAAATGAGCAAAAATTTCATTTCATTTAAATAAAACAAATTTCCATGAAATATTACCTGTAATAACCCAAGCATTCTTCTGCCAATACCAGGCATTTGGGTCGCAATTGAAAATCCAACATCATATAGATTTTGAATGACACATAACCCACAAATCTAAATACAAGCAGACTCCTTATTAATAAATAATCATAATATTATATCTGGCAGATAAAAGCATGTCTATGCATTGGATACAGCTAGTTCAAGAGTAGGCAAGGGGCCAAAAATGTTGCCCACCTAGACTTGCGGGCCATGTAATCTGACTATCAATCTTCACAAATTAGGGTGCAGAAAAGGAATCAGCGACAGATTATCAGAAACCATCCGAAAACGATAGATTAAATTACAAGGCAAGAATGCGTAAGCTGTGAACAAAAATGAGCGATATGGGGATTTTAACAAAACTTTGTGGGCAGTACTGGGCACTAAATTAAAACTCTAGGCTGTGCGTGACGGCACACCGCAATGGCACAAGGCGAAGGTAAGAGGGTGTGCAATGTACGCCGTCAAATCGAGTGAGCGAGAAAACGTAAATTTAGGGCAGGCTTGGCAGCATCCGGTGATCCAGATTGTGCACCCCAACGGAGGTAGTTTACCTATGCCAGAGTTAGTTGAATAAATAACAGAGTTCATCATTAAAAAATACGTAGCGAACACTCCTGCATTCATGGCTGAGGGGTCAGCAAAATTTACAATCGACCAACTCAAAAATTTTGATTAAAACTCCGAGAGAAATGTTCACTCCGAATCGAGGTATGAACTTTATTAACAAAATCAAATCTTGATATGAGAAACCCTGGCATAAGCATGCATGCATATGATATTAATATAGAATTATCACGGTGATAGGAACAACAACCCAAAATAATGTACCTGAAGTTCTTCTTGTTCTAGTAATTTTTCGAGTGTTACAATAAGCAGTGCCACAAATCTCAACATATCGTCAGATTTTTTGAAACCATAACCTGAAATTTAATTCATATTTATCTTTATAGAGTTCATAACCATAAATACAATATTAAGTTGAGGTTGTACCAAGCTTTCATATACCTTGATTGGGCATCATCAACTTATACACTGATATTTATGAAACAATATTACATTTGAATGGTACAAGATCAGCGTAATGATTTCGAGGTTGTCAAATGTTACATTAAAGGTGGAAAAATTTAAGCATATAAAGAGAAAAATTGTGAATTATAGATTTAGTCATCTTCAATGATTTTTTTCTATCACTTACCAGGTCGACCAATTATAATAAATTCCCCATTTTTACTTTTCTTATCTTGCAAAGGAACAACGGCACCTGCAGTTGCGAGATGCTCTAATTTCTTGGGATTACTAACCTAAATAAAAAAGATATCAATCATTTTTTTGAATATTAAAAAAAATGTGTCAATTGAAACACAATTCGAAAAGACCTTGATTTGATAGATAGGATTTTCAAATATAATCCCGAGGAGAAGAAAGCTGATAAGACGGCTTAAATATAAGTCATACCATGGCCTCTCATCCAGCTATTGCGGGATTAGGGATCTATGGCATTAGTTTGCCAGTATTGCACGAATTGGTGATGGAGCTGTAACCAATCGGCGGTTATGTCAACCACCCTATGACAGCGAAGAGGTCAGCAACCCTCTTGCATATAATTATCAACCCATAGGATTTGAACCATCGAACCCACGCAGGATAATCAGAGGTCCAGTGGCAAGTGTATTCCTAACACTCAGCACAATGTGCCATAACGCCAATGCTAAAAGTTTCTGCACATTTTAATGTTTTCCATGCCCTCCTATCCCCATATATATTGACTATTATAATATAAATTAACAGTAACAATGTTATAAACTTGGAAGCTGGAAATATATATAAATATGTACTATGTGGGGACGATGCTCTATTGCAGTGAGTCTCAACTGTTTTTTTTTAACAAAGATCAGATCATAAAACTTCAAAATTACCATGGTCTCGTCAGTTATTTCAAATGCAACCTCAAATAAATTATATACCAATATGCATGAAGTGGTTTTATGATTCTTTTTTAATGGAAATTATTACATATTCTCTTTCTTGTCAATTGTCTTAACTAGTTTCAAGGAAGGGAGATATTCTCTAAAAATGATTTTTATGATAGGAAATATTTCAATGTCAAAAAATTATACCACATAACAAGTGAAAAAAAAAACTCACAAAATTGAACAATTCTTTCCATTCTATTCTTTGTTTGTGATAATTTAACAGAGTCAAAAATGCACGATCTTCATCAAATTTTCGTACTCTCAAAAATCTGCAGCAAAAAGAATTAATATACTTTTATAAATATGGAAACAGGAAGGACATAATTATACGGTTAAGTCAAATTGAATTTTAATATTTATAATCCTCGTAGAACCTATAATAGTATAGTTAGCCTCTTTTAGAACACATTCTAGAATTAGGCGTTTCATATAGGCTATTCAAATAATTTTTATTCTAATACATGCAATATTTGAATCTGCATTTGTAATGAACAGGCTTATAAGTTCAAGCACAAGTATAAATGAACATTATATGACAAGGAAAAGATGGATCGACTACAAGGCCACGAATATTTATTAAAAAAAAGTTAATAAAAAACAAAATACGACATAGAAATCATCGCACATTCAAACAATATCTATTTCAGTAGACACAAAAATCATTGTGTTAAAAATACCCATCAAAATTGATATTACATACATGGTAATCCCTCCCAATGAAAAAAAAATTCTAAATGACTTCTCTGAAAATGAAAATTCATTAAACACTTCAACTTCTGTTTGTGTATGATTATACCTAAAGGTTTTAGTAATCTGAGACGCGCTTTGCACAAAAGTTATCTCTCTAGAAAACATTCCAAATCACCTGGGTTCCAGATTTTTTGGGGTAATCCTGTGTGACAATAAAGATTGGGATATTCAAGATGGCTCTCTGACAAATTAGCAAAAAAACACACAACATTTATGTGTAATAAACATAAAATTTCATCTTACCTCAACAAAAAAGCATCATCAGATCGAATTAATTCTAATCCATTACTTTCTTCATGAAATCTAGTTTTCAATTTATCAATCGCAGCCAATCTCTTATCATTATCTTCAGGTTCGTTTAATTCCGCCACAGCTTTGTTCAATAGTTCCGAAGACAATGTACATTCATATCTTTCACACATTATTTAAATTAGAAAGTAATGGATAACTAAAGCAAAAATTGTTAATAAGCATAATATTAGATTATTAAACTAATAACACGATATGGAATAATATCCATTTTACTATTTTAGCATAGAAATGTTCAAGACCAAAAAATTCAGTTCAAATAAATTCATCGAAAAAAGTATTCTTGAAAATTCAGGAAATCATCATAATCAACCATTTTTTTGTAAAACTCATATTTGCAGCTAAATCTTGATGCAAGTCAGATTACATATCATTTGGCATATTTGGCGCTTCCTACCCCAAGCAAAACAAAAAAATTCTGAATAATAACCAATAAACACTTACGGTAGTAATTTCATCATTATATATAATAATAGAAATACATTATGCTATAGATCCAAGTGATAATATAGAAAAAAAAATATGGCTTCGCAAATGAACAATTATCTGTTTTTATTAGCTAAGTATTAGGCAATGCATTGTGGTGAGTACCGGTAATTTATTATGATATTATATATGAATATAGAGCAGGGTGGTCCAAATCCAGGCCCGCGGGCCACATGTGGCCCGCCACATCATTATCTGTGGCCCGCATCGCATTCGGAGAAGAATCAAAAAATGGCATTTCGTGTTGTTTTGTCATAAAATTAACCAAAAAATCTTTTGATATATTGTTGCATCACTATTGTCACTGAATTGACTAGTGTTATGGCTTGCTGAGGCAACTAGCGAAGTTAAACGAGCAGAGTTCTTGGCACTATTGTGGCCCGCAAACAATGCAAAAGTAATTTTGTGGCCCGCGGAGCTGCCAATCTTGGACCCCCTGATATAGAGTATAATATATTTATGGGAATATAACAACCACAGTAAATTAAAACATGTTTAAAGATATATGGATTGAATATAAAATCGCAAACTTAACAGGGGCAAGTATTGATAGTTGATTTTATAAAATACTTATTAGATTAGTTTAAAGTAAGATCCAAAGCCTGCAACTAAAATTGGAAAATACAGGTAAAAAATCAGGAAGATAGTCGAGGCACGGCAAGAATATGAAATGATTAATGATAAGAAGCTTCCAATAACATATGAAATGATTATTACAAACAAATTTATCAAGAAAATGAATAGAATGGAAAAAAGGTATCTGGTTTTAGTAAAGATGTTCATAAATGTCGATAATATGTAATATGATCACCAAAATGATTATAACATTTTTCAGAAAGAGAAATATAAATTTAGTTGTAGTAATATATCACCCACCAAATATTGTATTAAAAAGTCCTGGAATAACTAAAAATGAAATGTTGGAAGACATAAAATGATGAATTTCCGGCATAGGCATAGCATAATAGACATAAATGTCTTAGAAAAAGCATGTTTAACAAACATTTCTGGGGAGTACACTATTAATTTAAATATAATTATCAGTCATTTGATTGTTAAAATAGTGGAAAATTATTTTAATATTATTACCAATTTCTCAAAGATTTGATTTAATATGATTCTTTAAAATGGTATGAGTTGTCAGATTATAGTAATTGAGCTGTCAAAAGATAAGTTGGGGAAAAGTTTTCAATCTGGAATATATAAAAATCTGTATAAATACATTAAATGTGAAAAAAAAATTCCCAAATTTGAAATGCTAAAATTGAATTTTGTTATTACTTTTTATTCAATGGCCTCCGATGATGAATCTTTATATTTTATAATTTTGTTTAAAATCAAAAAATACTGAGAGAAGAGTTGCGAGTTACTAATGATGCGCTAAGACTTAAGAGCTTTATATGGTTTCATCTTTGCGACAAACGTGTAAGTAGATAGTGAATGACGGATTATTCATATCTTATCAAGCATATGTAATGAAGCAATGTAGGTACATATGGAAATGGGAAATTTTGTAAATATCATGGGCTATTAGTAAAACATTCTCTGTGATTACGCACGATATATTTACCATTTAATGGTAGCAAAGGAAAAAAACTTTACTCAGACACTTGATGATTTAATACTAGCAAAGACACATATAAATAAGACACATTTGCACAGATATAATTGCTTCCCGGATGACTTTGAAATTAAGATAATATTAAAATTGGATGGTCAATTAGTACATCACAGCTTTTAAGTATAAACAGAATCTATAACGTATGCATAAAGGGAAGTACATTGCATAAAGTAGTTGATTGTCAAATGGCTTAATGTGATCAAGTAGAATTAAGGACATACCTAATCCAGTAACTGAAATACAGTTCAAATACAAACTTAATATCCACAATAGATAGAGTCTATCAGGAAAGACAAAACACTATATCAATTAATGTTGATATCTGATCAGTTACCAGAAAAAGAAATTAAAAAAAAACTTTGATTGTTGTTCTATAACATTTCGAAAATTTAAATTCAGGAGTTACTGGATTATGTGGAAATGGAATTGAAGGCAAAATAAGTGTATAGAGTGCATGCCTACGAGCTACTTCAATACAGCAAATCCAGGTGGCTAAGTAACTGAGAAAATCTAATAAAAACCACACTTTTCTATCTCAAATAACATGCAAACTTCACCATGTTGTAAACTAGATATCTATAATTGTTAGCAACACCATAATATACTAAACCAAAAACCACCAGAAAAAAACTTCAAATGTGCAGAACCCTTGCTCTTTGGTAAAACATGTTTTTATGATATTATCAGTACTATACTATAATGATTGTTTATAATTCTCTGGTTTACTATCACACTGTGGTCTATGTTTTAAAAAACTTGTCCTTATCTTAACTCATAGTAATAATAATGAAATTTTAAAAGTAATGGACCCAAACTGGAACCTTGTGTTACGCTTCACCATCATTACACATTGTAATAAAAATTAACTAAAAAAACAAACGGACGGTTAAACAAACTGAAAGCAAAAAGCATACAACACCAAAACCATTAAGGGATGCATCAAACTGGAACAAGTAGGTTAGAAATAGCTCAAATAAAGTTTTGAAAATCATTCAAACCATAAAGAGCGAGAACACAGGCATAGGTAACGAAAAACGCAGAATTGAAAAAAAAAGGTAAAATACACATAATTTTATTGTACTACAGAAATGGCCAATGATATCTTTGTCTGACCTTGTCAGATAATACTCAAGCATTGGGTACTATTATAATAATGATTAACTCAGCAACAAGAGCAAGGTACAATCACCTTTGGCATAATTTGGATTTGAAAAAAGAATAAGTGCAATTTCTTAATCTCAGCAAGCATGTGTACATACATAATCATTGTTTATCAGTAAAAAACAATTTGTGTTGAAAAATCACGAAATTACATCCAATTCTACTACATAAGAAAAAATTCAAAACCTCCAAAAAAAACATATTTGAGAGCACAAAGTACTATGTATATAGCTAGAATTTATACACAGCCACGTATACATAGAAAACAGCCCTTTTACAATGTCACATTTATACATATGTCAGGTTGATCCAGGCCTATCTTTACAATGCAGTGTCTTCACCCTGTCCTACATCAGCTAAAATCTGTCTTGTCCACCAATCAGGATTCAAGTCTGGGCCAGAACCGCCCAAAGAAAAAGGCAGATTTGCAGGATCGATTTTTTCATGAAGCTTATCGAACTTGTCCCCATGAAGAGTAAGCTGTATAACAATATGCAAACAAACTTCAGAATGTTATTGACACAATCATCATCAAGGTGACTCAGACAACAAAAAGCGTACAAAGATGTGTTGCAATTGCAGATGAATAAACAGATATGCCTATAAGTGTAAAATAATGGTATAATACTCTAAAATGCTTCCCCCTAAAATCACTTTCAGAGACTTTCAGCTAAAAGAATAGTTGAAAATTAGATATTGAAGTTAAACTGCAGAGTTTGCGTCCTTTATGAATTATTTGAGTTCTGGATTATTTTAAAATCAATTCTAGGCATGTTCTTGAACATGGTCTGAACCTGAATTTGTTAAGAACCCCATAAAAAATAGATAACTTCAGAAGAAATTTAACACATTGATATAGATATTGGATAGTATCCGAATTGGGAACAGTGTTGTGTGGGTTCTCAAAATGTTCCCCAGGGCTCCGTGGGATAAACCTAGGGCTCAGCGAGCTATTCGTTTACTTATCAAAATACTGACTTGGCTAATTTGGTAACTGTCCAAAGAAGCAAAAAATACATCCGAGTCATTAAATAAAGTAGTTTTAATGAACTTAGGGACAGTAATCAGCAAGTAACAATGTTTCAATTATAAAAATTCAGAATTTCCCAGCTTACATAACTAAACTGAGGAGAAATCTTGGTGACTTTTAATTTAAATCAATCTCCAAGAGATCTATGCGTCATACAGGATAAGAAAAACCTGGCATACCCGATTTTTCATCTTCTCTTTCATGAAACTACTGATGATAGAGTAGATAACATCAAATACTAATGCTTCATGAATCATGTTAACACTTTTCACTCTGACAGGCATAGCATCCTGCAATGAAAATAAATTTTGAAATGTCTCTGCACTTCGAACAATTACAGTAACGTATAAATTGCACTAACCATTTGCACGTCAATTAGAACTGTTTTGAAACGGAAACATTGCATAAGTCTTGAATCTACTGTTATCAATAACCTAAAAGTTTATTACATCATATTTTGTAGAAGAGTATTGAGTATCACTGACAACTTTCTTGTGAAATAATTTTCAGCATCACAAAGAAAACCCGTGTAAGAGCAATTTTGCCATCAAACAATTTGCATCAAAATCACAACCTTAAAATCAAATTTAAAGAATTTTCATCACCAGCAGACATCCAAGAATATTCATGCTCACATTCTGGCTTCTTAGAATTGCGACTTTTTAAAAAAAAGAAAAGAAGAAAAAGAATGTTGATTTTTTTAATAATACATACTTCTAAAAATTTATAATATACCTGTATAATATGTAAAAATTTACTTCCAAGCGATGGCATCTGCATAGCTAAATAGAGTCCAAAATCCGCCATATCTTCGATAATCGTGAGGCCATATATCTGAATAAAAGTCAAGACTTGAAGTTAGAATACACTGATGCAGGTTTACCTCAAAGTAGACTCAATTCCGTTACCCACACGAAGGTGAAAAAACATCAGATTGATAATGTCTGTCTATAAGAAGTTATTTTAAAAATTATATCGAGAGGGAGCCCAACTAACTTATTTGAGACATGATGAATGAGATATGAACAATGATAGGAACATCAGTTAAATTTCAGATTCAAATTTCAAGCCCAAAATTTGTAGGCAATTCCGAACCGGGAAAATTCTGGTTCCTTACAAAATAAAGTACGGTAGGTCCTGCACATCAGTGGCTGATAGTGTAGGTAGAGCCTTGTTTGAAGTAGAAGGTGTATAAAACATCATTGAAAAATTTAGAGATGAAAGTTTGCTCAAAGCGGGATCGCAAACTCTCACATAAAGCAAACAGAAAAAGCATCCACTGGCAATGAGTGATGAATCATAACCACACACCATAAATAATATTTTATTTTATTCACTACTAGATTGACTGTTCAAAAAACAGATGCAAAAAGCTTAGCTACTGTGCTAAGCAAAGTTAAACCTTTTCTTCAGCTTCTTCATCTGATGCAATATTTCAATAACAAATTCTACCTGAAATTCTTCATTTTCCAACAATTTTTCCAAAGTTAAAACAAGGACAGCAATAAAATGAACCATTGTTGTGTTATCATCAAATCCAAGGCCTAAAATTGTATTAACAAACTTATGAAGCCTTCATCAACAAAAAGGAAAAGAGCCTTGTTTGAAGCAAGAGGCATATAAGCATTTTGTATAAAGTTTAGAAGTTTCGATTTTAAACACATCCAAATCATAGAAACAGCAGAGAGAAAATATGTTCCACAGAGCCAATATTCGAGGAAATTTTTTTAGCATAGTAATTTAAATGACACAACAAAATGATACATCATGCTAAATGCTAGGAATACGCTTGACACAGTACTGATTACCCTGCCCGAGTTCACTGGTCCTATAGGGGGATATCTATATGCAAAAGGATTGCTGGACTCCTCGTCATTGTAGGGTGGTTCACAGAATTTCTAGTTGGTTATGGCTTCCTCCACCATCTAGTTCATGCATCTGAAACTAATACCTCACTAACTAATCCCATACTCGACATGGTCCCCTAACCGGTGAGAGGCTGTGGTATGCCAAAAACTCTTTTTAACGACTTTCCTCGCCCCAGAATAAATAGGAAAATCCAACCCTATCTAAATGAAATTACAAAAGATACTATGAAAAATATCTCCCAGTAAATACTCATAAACAACAAACCTGGCCTGCCAATAGTGATAAATGTACCATCCTTAGCTCTACGATCATACAAAGGAACTACAGCCCCACATCTAAGAAGATGATCAACTTTAGATGGATCATCCACCTGACAAAAAGAGAATCAAGAAAATTGACAAATTAAAAAGCTTGTGGAAAAATTTATCAAAACGTGGCAGGCTCTCAGTCTAAACCCAAAAAACACAATCTATTACTCGGGCTTCCCAAACTTAGAGCTGCGACCACCCAGGGGGGCGCAAAACGAAATACTACAACCACTGTTTTAGACTGTTGATGCAAAACACAATTATCCAAACTAGTGAAAAACATAAATCTCACAATTTTGAGAAAATAAATAGGATCAGAAAAGTGGCACGTGTCGACTTTGATTGACTTAACATGGGTCACAGGAAATTTTAATATACTGGAAAGGGTTGCGAGATTAAGTTTGGGAAGTCCCGACTCATATCATTCAAACCTATCACCAGTGAAGTAAAATTGGTTTACAATTGCTATCATGAGGATTAAATTGAATCAAGATCATTTGATAAGTAATAATAGTACTCATCAATGCAATCATAAAAGTCAGTTAGAGACAGAATTTAATCAACTTTAAATATTTGAGAGTGTTTGGCTCACCAAATCAAAAAGTTCCCTCCATTCCTTTCTTTGTTTATGGTAATTGAAGAGCATTGTGTAAGCACGATCCTGATCAAACTTTCGAACGCGAAGAAATCTGAAGAATGATAATCGGACTTTATTAAATTCTGAGTTTTCGGACAATGATAAGATGTCAATGTTCGATAGGTGTAGCGAAATAATCGGTCAATGTCAGAGTGTTGCTCAATCCATCAATATACTGATATATCAATTCCGCAATCAGTCTACCTAAAGACCTCACATTGACAAAAGGCATCGACTGCAGACCAAGACCTAATAATAAAGCCATATCCAATTTGCAGACTTTATTCGAATATGCAAACAAATGCATGGCTGCATGGTGATTAGTAATTCAAGAATTCAGTTGAACTAGTTTCAAACATGTATCCAACTTCTGAACTTAGCAGCAAATGCGAGCATTTCAGATTTAGCATGTCAGATTTATATATTTCCAATATTTTATTTTTATAACTCAGGAATATGCAGAAATGTGGTATAACTCATACTGTCATATGGTATTATACTATAGTCATTTCAGCATTTAATTGTTTCAGATGCATAGACAGATGGCAGGATGAACTTGCAGGTGAACTCTTCGCCACCGTAGGGTGGTTCACGCAACCGACCCGTGGTAAACCACTCTATGACGGCGGCAGTTCAGCAATCCTCTCGTACATTCGAAACTGCAAACCCACGCAGGGTGTAATCAGAGGTGCGGTGAGAGCATATTCCTGTATTCCCAACCTTACAGCTTTAGCAGATGCACAACAATGCACACATTTTTGGGTCATAATAACATACAGACATATGCAAAATTCGTTATGCTACGCCCACTGGAAGTAGGCTACTTGTGGTACTAAACTATACTAGACCCAAATATTTTTCATTTAATCATTATACCTTACCTCAATAAAAAAGCATCATCAGATCGAATTAATTCCAATCCATTATCTTCTTCTTCAAATCTTGTTCTCAGCTTATCAATTGCAGCCAATCTCTTATCATTATCTTCCGGTTCATTTAATTCCTCAATTGCCTTTTTTAACAACTCAGGAGATAATGTGCATTTGTACCTTTCGCCCATTTTTGCTGATTCTGATTTACCGATGCAATGAAAATATATACCGATGTCACTAAAAGAGCGAATTCCAAGCTGGAAAAAGGAATTTCAGTTTACAGGCTTTGACTCGGGACAGTGGCTGGTAGGAGCTGTCCACATTGATATTCGCTAGGGAGCGCTACATGTAAACCTAATGCCCTCATTTTTTCATTCACGATAAAATCATTAAAAAGGCTGACTATTTTATCATTATTTCTTTAGCTGGCATTGATTTTTTATTCCGGAAAATATACAATCCACGTTTAGCGCGCTGCCCTTTCTGATCTGAGACATTGTTCAGATTCATGGACATTTTTTTTTGGTTCCATTATCTTTGCATCCACATTGGCTAACTAAATACACCCAGGGAGATTTTTACTCGTGGACACTTGCATTGATAATTGCACTCACGGTCATTTTCAACCGGCTAGCAATTATACCGCATAAAAACTGGCCACAAATGTAAGCATCCCGTCAGTAATCAGTAGTTAATTTTTTCACAATGAAGCCTAGTTTTCTTTGCAGTGCAAAAGGTGATAGTACCACCAAATTAACCCAGGTGATCCAAAATTGAAATGAAAGTTTGTTTTGAGACAAAAATATTCGTGGGTGTAAATGACCTTGGATTCAACTGTCTGTGGGTGCAAATGTGCGCGAGTACAAATGTCCATGAGTGCAATTGACCGCGGGCGCAAATATACATGGGTTTACATATCCGTGGGTGTAGATCAGCGCCGGATTAACCATTAAACAATAAGCACGTGCTTAGGGCACCAAGCAAAGAAGGGCACCACAGAAATTTTTAGAGCAGAATTTTATATAGTTCATCGGTGTTTATTAAAATATTACGAGTTCGCCAGACGACTGAAACTTCAAAATGTTCGCTTATTTTTCGTCTTCAAGTTTATTGGATTGAATCAAGTTTGATATTTATTGGACACGAAATGGGCATATGAGTCGTTTTCTTAAATTGTCGATGCTTTTCTTCTTAGTATTCTCCTTGTTGCTGCTTTTTCGTTTTAAAAAAATTTCTTCTTCCTTCTAGAAATGGGACGAGGTCGGCATTACAGAGATTCGACGAATCCGAGTAATAGGTCAAGGACTCGAATCGAATCCTCCGAGTCCGTGACGTCGCAATGTAAAAGTAGAAAACACGTTTTTGACCATACTACAGCATCGCGTGCTCACAAGCATACGTCGTAGCTCATATTTTTTCTCAAATGGTTCCGCAGATAGCTTTGAATGAATTTAAAAATTTGACTACAATGCTTTCCCATAATTCCAGATATTCCTAGCCTCAAATTTGCTATGTCGCGTGCGCAAATGGTAGAGAGATGCCACTCGTCGTCAATACAATGCTTGCAATTTAGTAGTTCATGTAAACGTTCCAAAACGCTCCATGCTTTCCATTGCTCCCTGCTTAGAGGATTGAACGTAATAAACTTGATTTAAAAGAGGTATTGATGAGATTCCCACTTGGGTTGATCCTGCGCATGTTTCATATTTATTTACTCGAATCGAAAACCCAAAAATATTGCGCTAACACATATTTTATTGTGTACCACATGTATACCAAAAAGGATAGATAGTTTAAACGCGTTTGGCGCATCATTGTTATAAGCTATCAATAGTTTTTAACTTGCGTTATATTATTTGGATATATATATATCTGTCGTCGTTTTTATTAGGAGTGTTTATAATACACACGAGTGATATTGTTTCATAACCTTGAATTTCAACTAGTTATGGTATGTAGTGAGATTTTTAGGAGTAAAGTACAAACATAGGCGTAAATTAGTAAAAACAGAATTGATAGACTCCGTAAAAACGACGTGGACTCGAAATCGAATCCGAGTCCAAAAAATGCCTGGATTCGACTCGAATCCGAGTCCCGGCCCATCCCCACTATTTCAACGATCTAGTGGTCAGCGAAGTCGGGAGATTTTTGATAAGGTAGAACAGGATGGTCTAAAGTCTAAACCCTGTCATGCGGATACATTTCGTGCGCACACGGAACAATTTTAGCGTATATCTGTATCTAATAGCAGATTTTGAGTTTTTTAGCTATTCCAAATGTGGTTGAGATCCCGAGATTCAAAGTCTTTTTTCTAACGTTTTGTGCATTTATTTTAGTAAAAACACTCCTCTGTTTTCAAGCGTGGGCCATGTGACAGTAGTGACGAAACGCAAAGCCGATATAACGCCGCGCAATCCAGTTTTTTTTTAGCTAGGTCCCAAAATACCAACTTAGACGGACTTGCGGCCCGCGAGACCTCCTCAAAAGTTTTTGCGGTCCTTCAACCTAGCAACCTTGGACCACCCCGAGGTAGACTACTAGGTACCGGTGAAATTTCAAACTACAGTTGTGACTTGTATCCTTTGGTATTTCGATTCACGTTGAGACTGGACGAATGAATCTTCGTCACACTCCCCCAGGATTAGAGCTCAAGTGATATTTCGCGTTTGCCGATATATCATATCGGCGGTAACGGCCGATATATATCGATTATATATAACAGTTGAAAAAACTAAAAATGTTCGTAAAAATTGTTCAATTTACTGTTGGTTGTGATTAATTTTAATGGACAATACACTTATGTGGTTTGTTGTTTTTATAATTTAAATTACACATAAGGGGGCACCAAAGTCTTCAGTGCTTAGGGCATAATCTGCCCTGGTGTAGATGTTCATGGGTGGAATCTGTATGTGGTTTACGGGTGCAATTGTATTAACAAAGACATGTTGGAGGGAAAAAACCCATCACCAGAAAAATAGTGTCACATTCGTCATCAAACCTTCGAAAAACGTGTGAAAGTTTACTGTCAAGTCATAGTGCACGAGCGTTGGAATAATTATTATATCGCACTGAAAAAAGCTCAACATTTTCAATTATTTTTTCCTGATTATTCGCCACATTCGACCTTATTTGCAAATTTTCTTGAAGATATGTAATAATCTTGTTTACACTACAAAGAGGCCACTGCCGTTGGAAGTTTCATATGCAATAAATTGGCTGTCATGACAATGGACTCACTTTAGAGTCTTCAGACATTCGGCGAGAAATTCTGTAGCCCTGGTGCGTCTATTGTAAAGGCGCCAAAAAATAATAATAAAGTTATGAATCAGGCCTATGTGTAATAAAATAATATACATGAACATCATTATGTTATGAATCAGGCATATATGTAATAAAATATTATACATGAACATATGTTGTGAAATTTTTAACCAAGAGGTTAAAAATTAGGAAAGAAGACAATGAAAAGGTGTTTGAAAGTTTAAACAAAATTTTCAATATGACCACGAAAAGAGGATCTTAATGAATATCTCTGTTGACAATTTTCTTAAGTTAGGCAAGATTGTAGACATCTTTTCGTGAACCTGTTCAATGCCAAATAGCAAACTTTATCGTGATTAACATTAACTGTGCTATCAGTAACAAACAAGCAATCTTATCACTCGACGGCCATCTATGTCAATATTTGAGTAACAACACATGCACCGGTTTGATTATTTAGGCCGACGAATCACCAACAAGTTATTGTGAAACATTCAGCATGTAGCTATCGGTTGCGACGTGTAGTATTTTTCAAGAAGTGTATGTAAGGATCAGGAGTTCCCAGTCACAGATTTATATTGTGCTGCAAAAAGTATGAAGTGTATGAAATCATATGTATGAAAATTACGTTTGATAGTCAAATGATCAAATCGCACTGGCGTATAAAATTTATTGTCATGTGGTGAAGTGCTCAACTGAAGTAGTCAACCGCTAAATTTATACAGTGCAACGGCAATTCAGGTTAGGGATATGTACTATATATATATATGTAAATTTGTACAGTATGTACAAGAGATCGAATGGGAGTCACCAGACTACGTTTATCGTAATTGCGCCGGTGATGGTTGATGTCAGCAGTGTAGTCATGTAGTGAAAAGATTTTGTTCAGTGAAGTTCTGTAAAAAATCACAATATTCTTTATGTTGCCTACTTCCAATATCCAAAGACATTAATGAAGTGAGGACATATAATATATGTATATTTTGAAATTTAACTATATATACCGGTATGTATTATTGGCAATTCGAATGAATGCGGCTGGTATCGTATAAGAATTTTTTCAGTGCAAATCTATAATCGATTGTATTCTCAGACAATTGTCATATACCAAATATTAGACGAGAATATCGGTCGGAGACCGAAAACTTATCGATCGAAACTGCGGTTTCGATTCATGACTCTATCTATAGTGACATCGCGTGTCCCATCACTAATTAATTATTAACTCGCTAATTATACGACAGAATTCATTCAAAATCAATAGGCTTCTGGTTCGAGATATGATGAATGCACATGCAAAATTTGGAGCAGATTCAACCACGCTTTCGTGGTTATCGTGAGATATCGCGTGCATCTAACAGACAGACAGACAAATACCTATCAACATACTTACCGATCTAAAGATCGATAAGTAAAAACTTAATCTGATTACTAGGGACGGTAAAACAATTTAATCGTTAACCGGGTAAAATCAACCGGTTAACCACAGCGTGGCATTCGACGTAAAAAGTTATAATTCCAGCTTGAAAAGCTCTATTGGTTTCAAAGCAATTTCGCGTGATCCTATTCCGGTAGCGCTCAAAATTATTCACAGGTTGAGATAGTTCCATGTCCGCTGCACGGCAAGATATGTAGCCTACAGCGTAGCCTACTTCGGAAATATTGAATTTTTATTTTCAAAATCGCAACCCAATCATCTTCATTAATACAAATTACGGCGCATTTAAAAGGAAATTGGACTTCATTACCGTGCTTTTTACCGTACTCATTAACGTAATATTTTTTAAATTTTTTGTGCCTACCAATACAGTTAGTGATATGCTTTTGAATTAAACGCAACGGGAGGTAAATTTGGGGAAAACTTCGGTCAAAATGAATTGTAACCGTTAGCCATCTAAAATGGATTAACCGGTTTACCATTCCCAGCCCTACTGATCCCTTGTTTTAGAATTTTCGATTGCGAAATTGCATCTCAAACAAACTACTTATTTAATATCCTTTATTAACCAATATAAATTCACAAACACTAATGCGGTTATGCGCGATCCGCAAGCTGAACGCGAGTGGAAGATTATAAAGTATTGTAGTGCCCATTGTCAAAATACAAGAAATGAAATCTATGAGATTTGATGAGTAGCGGAAGGTATTTTGTAATATAGACTAAATGAGGTTATTCCCGTTGCAAAATAGGCGGATATGCATAGCCGCAAAATGTGCCACACTGAAAGCCAGTGAGTGATGTGTGTGTATGGCGACTTGCGTTATATGCATAAAACGTTTCATTTAAATATTGTGCTTTTTTTCCAAATTACTTGCTTGCTTCATTGCTGGATTTATTATTGATTTGTAGATCGACATCTTTGTTATTTACACTATTTTGCTAAAAAAAATGGATTCGGCAAAGTCGCTGGGACGTTTAGCGGGAAAATCTGCTCTTGTTACAGGAGGAGGTCGTGGAATTGGTCGCGCTATCTGTCAAGTTTTTGCCAAAGAAGGTGCCAGTGTTGCAGTACTGGATGTAAATTCGAAGACGATTGAAGAAACTTTGAAACTTCTGGATTCATCTCATGGCAACAAACATTGTGCAATTGTGTCCGATGTTACTTCTGCTGAAGAGGCAAAGAAATCGTTTGAAACCGCAAAGAGAGAAACTTGGCATTGAAGCCACTATTCTAGTTAACAATGCTGGAATAGAAAAGGGAGCATTTCTGGATGATTTGACAGAACAAGATTATGACGACGTGATGGGGGTTAACGCTAAAGGTACATTTCTAATGTCGAAGGAATTTCTGCTGTCAGTAAAAGATGGAAGCGATGGCGATGGAAGCCCCCGTGGAGTAATAGTAAATATGTCTAGCATGGCAGGAAAACGTGGATTCCCCGAGAAGTCGAATTACTCTGCGTCAAAATTTGCAATTGTTGGCCTGACTAAAACTACAGCGATGGAATATGGAAAGCATAAGGTCCGCTGCAACGCTGTTTTGCCGAGTTTCATTAACACCCCGATGATACTGAGTCTTGACGAGCAAACTAGCAATATTCTTAAGCAACAAATCCTATGGGACGATTTGGTGAACCGGAAGAAGTTGCTAACGTGTGTTTGTTCCTCGCTTCAGATGAAAGTTCATACGTTAATGGTGCCTGCTTAGAAATATGCGGTGGGTTTGGCGTGTAATGGACCTTGTTGTTCAGGGCAACATGGCCCCCGAAATGCATTGGAAATTTGGTTCAATTTTAATCTTTATTTTTCGTAATTTATTATATATACAGATTATTTGATAAAATATTATGTAGTAATATTGCCAGAGTAGGCAGAATTCTTGCTTGCTCGATCGGTGCAAATTAGGTTCGAATTGTTATTCTCCGAAGGGCAAATATTTACATGTTGATACCATGTATCAATATCATATTCAGGATTTTCCGTCTCATTGCCGTTCATAGAGTCAAAAACTTAGTATTTTATTATTCGATGTTGTGTTATAAGTTATAACCTTAACATGTACATACCTTACATAATAAATAGCAATACCAAAAGGTAATAATCTTGATAATTAAGATATTGGTTCATTTTGTACATGCAATTAAAGATTCATGATATCTGCTAACAACAATTTTATGAGACAATAAAAATTTTGAACTGAAAACTTTATCGTTTTTATTAGTTGATAAAAAATTGGTTCAAAATTTGCTGTTGTCGTTTTGCTGGAAGCACTTACATCAGAATATTCTAGTAAAAAACCTAATGCGACACACAGTTTTACCGGGTTTGATAACCACTCAACTTTCGAAAAATCAAAATTGGGCTGAACGTTTCCTCAAGCAAAATACTATGGGAGGATTTAGCGCCTTAGGTTTCTAATGCATGATTGTTTTGGGCCCCAGCAAAGAGTTCATGCGTCAATAAAGCTTGTTTGAATTCGTCAATTTGGTCATGATATCTAGTCCAACTTTAAGAAATATGTTTGCATACTGGCAGTAGAGCGAAAACCCATATTTGGTTGACCCATTAGATCGCGTAGACTGTAGAGCAGGGTCGTCCAACCCGTGGCCCGATGAGGAGTTTCGAGTTTTCGGAATTAAATAAAAAAAAATTTGAGTAAAACTTCTATTTTTCGAGTGATGTAGTTAATATGAAGAACAATTTGTAAACAAATTCATTTTCCTGATATGCGCTCTGCCGTAAATATATATTATACTACTAGACTCTGCTAGCCCTTTCAAACGAGCCATGAGTGCCATCACCAACTGGAAGATATCGATACATAAATAGTAGCTCACACACTTGGGCAGAATGGCAGTTTTAAAGACCACATTATTTGGCAGCACGTACTCGTACAAGCAAGTTGTTTTCGCAGATGAACCATGTCAAATCCCCTGTGAGATCACTAATTTCTAACAGTCATATGGAAAATTCGCTTCGCATTGGTACATCGACCATTTCAGCAAATATTGACAAACTTAGCGAAAAACAGTGCCAAACTTCATGCTAAAATATCTATGTGTAGAAAAAACTTTGTTGACTTTACTGTATCTTCGTTTTTTTTTATTGTTCTTATTATTGAGAAAGTTTGGTGCAAGGTTTTTTTTTTTTTTTTCATTAACTTTTAGTGTAGCAAAACTAGAACATAATTATAATGTTAAGTGGCCCGCGCAATTAATAGTAAACTAAATGTGGCCCGTCGGCCAAAAAGGTTGGTCGACCCTGCTGTAGAGTAATAAACAATTGGATTGCCAATTAAATTTTGGAATCCGCATTGAATCACATAGTCTACTTGGGGTTACAACAATAATAATCACACAAAATTATGTCCATTTCGTGTCCAATAACATTATTGTTCGTGGTTTTAGGAGAATTTGCATATTGTTTTTTCAATTGAATTCAGCGGTTCACCATATTTAAAAAACCAACGGTATTGCAATTCCTATTATTCGAGACACCGTGTTTAATCAGAATATTCGTTTAAAACGGTGATCATCTGTCACAATATGCAATGGAACCATCACACTAAAAAATATTGCTGTCAGAGGTTCCGCGGTTTAATTTGAATTTGCATATTTTTTTCTACAAAATTCAGCGGTACATGGGTATATACCAGAAATAGTTATGTACGCGGCATTCATAAGCTTGAGGAACACTGTGGTAAAGGATTTATCGACTATACAATATCATGCAGCTACTTGCGGTTTAATGGTTCATGTAAAAATTCTAGAGTCAGTCATTTTCTTCGAGTTATCTTTGTTCTGAATAAACAATATCACATATTTATTGCGCCAACACATATTTTGTTAGTTCATCTGCTAAGAGCGCATGTGGTTCGCAATTCGCAAGCGCAATTTCGAAAAATGTTATTTTGTTCTGCGCTCGACGACGACAGAACTGAATGAGTCGTTAACAATGGCATGGACTCGATATCGAATCCGGCTCATAAAATGTGTTGATTCTACTCGAATTCAAGTTCACATCGATCTCTAGTAGGGCGTGTATCAGCGGTCGGCAACCTACGGAGTAATATAATCCTCCCCGCGACGCTTCACTGACTTATAGTAACAAAATATATACTATATTCTTTACGTACCAGGATTTATTGTGAGTCACGTGTAGACAAAATTATATTATAACCTGACAAGTATATATTTAACAATTACTCGTTTAATGATCCTATAATTTAATTATAAGTAGACACATGGCAACAAAACGCAGAAAAGTTTATGCCAAGTGCAAAGCAATCAATGGCACCGGAAATATTCAAATAAAATTTTTGAGATGCAATGTAATGAGGAAATAAATCTATATTCTATTCGAGAGAAGTATCACTGCATGGTTTTTAGTATAAAAAATATCATCCGTTCGGTTTTCTAAACTTTCTAAAAATATGTGCAGACCGCAAATGACTTGCAACCAGTAGTGGGATTCAGCCGGTTCTATAGAACCACCTCACAGAATTTTATGAAATCCGCGAACCGGTTGGCATTACTGAAAAAAACATGACTTGTCGTAACAGAACCGGCTGAAAAATATGACATTTGTGTGATGGAACCGGCTGACAAAAAATTTGAATCTCACCACTGCTTGCAACCCTTAATTTTGGCCCGCGAGCGACAAAAGGTTGCCGACCCCTGGCCTACATCATCTACATGGTACCGCTCTCTTGTCCGGCACATTTCCGTTGCGCTACACCGTCGGCAAATCATATTCCTTTCCATAAGAGGGGCTAATTCGATCCAACGTGTAATCCTTCAGATAAATTTGTTTAGTGCGCATGGGAGGTCAGTATACTACTGCTTGATGACCTCAGCGCTCAGTAGTAATAACCTTATAAACATCAAGCTATCTCAGTTCTGTACATTTTACATTTGAATCGTATTGGGGTTTTTGTCAGACACGAAGCGAACCTACGGATCGTTTCGTTATCAATATTATGTTGTTGTTGTTGTTCATATTCTTCTCAAACACAAAGTGGACATACAGATCGTTTTGTTAATATGTTGTTGTTATTAGAATTCTTGTTGTAAAAAATTACGTTTTCTTCAACCACTTCACCAATTGCTTTTAGTGGTTAAAGAAGACTAGGAGCAATGCTGGATTAACCATTAAGCAATATAAGCACGTTCCTAGGGCACCAGGTAAAAGGGGGGCACCACAGAAATTCCCATAGACGATTATTCAATGGTACGCAGTTTTAATAAAACAATTCGGGTTAGTAAGACGACACAGAAGTGGCGCGGTTGAAAAAAATTCTAAATCATCATCTTAAATCTTTCTTTCAATGTTTACAAGTATGAGATTTGTTCTAAAAACATGCGAATTGATCGTGACTTTGCCCTCTATATGTAATGAATACGGAAACTTATTTATTTAATTAAAGACAACATAAAACATCAGTTTCATAATTATAATATTTTTGTGTATAGGTAACCAAAATCCTAATTGCTTCTTATGGCCTCCGAAAGGCATGGTCCGTCCTTAGCACTACCAACACACGGCCCCGTCATTCTGCAGACACAAACAAGCGTGATAAACTATCAAATTAGATCTAATTTTGATTAGGATTTTTCCCATCTTCTTCAATCGTCAAATTTGATCTGTTATTGTAACATTGATTCCGCACTTTTACAATCGATCGATTATTTTCAATATCGCTGTTGAAAAAACATCGTCAAACATCAGGCCCGGTATGAGGTTGGGTTCGAACCCCACATAATAGACCGAGTTGCAGAGAAGACCCGGCTAACCACAAGACAGGTAGTGTAAGAAGGAAGAAAGGGAGACGGCGGGCAGTGACAGGCAGGAAGGGAAATAAAGACGGGGGCGGAGTGGAAAAAATACTTGAAGCAGGCACCACAGTGACAGGGGCAGACACTAGCCTGCAAATAAAGTTCAGTAGTACACAGATGGAGGAGCAGCAAAGGAGATAAGGACGGAGTCTAGTGACGGGACAGGCTGGAGGGAGGAAAGGGCAGCAAAGGAAATAATAAAGACGGACGGAGTGGGAAAGGGAAATCTTGAAGCAGGAACGAACCACAGTGACGAGAACAGGCTAGCCTGGAAATCAGCAAAGAAGAAAACGAGACGTTAGCACTGCAAAAAATAAAAATAGAAACACAAAAAAGTGCGCACGCCGTCAAGTGAGGGAGAATTCGGGAGAGTTGTGAGGAACGAGGAAAACAAATAAAAACAGATTGCATACCAGCACCCGTGGTCTATCATTTTGTTTACCTCCATGTGATATATTTGAGCATCGATTTCTTGTTAGTATTTCTTTTCTTCATAATGTGGAAAAAATCACTTTTCTCTTTAACTGCTGGACCAATGGACCTTCCCCCGACCTTTGACCCCCGGATAATTCTTCCTATACTTTACCATTGCAAAATTTTCGGGGTTATTTTAAGAGTGCTTTTGCGAGTTGGCGCCTGTAAAATGGGGTATGTGTTACAAACCATCATTATGATTCATCGCATACAACAATCTTTTTTTTAAAAGTACCGGTAAAGAATTCCAGGCTAGTCTATCACAGCTATTTCTACACTAATTTTTATTACTGCAATCAAATTAAAACTCCTAGGAAGACAGAGTGATCATTGAATTGTCTGATTTATATTTAAGTTTCCGAAACACAACTGAAAACTAACGAATAGAGTTTAAAAACGCGAAAACGAGGTAATGTTTACAACCACACTTGAAAATCTGTCTGAGTGAGAAAAGTGTCTGAGCGGATGCGAAAAGGAGGCATTGTTACGTCACTTTTTGCATCTTGCTGATTAGCCAATGTCACGAAGTAAACAAGGAAAACGATGCTCGGGGAAAGGTCCATTGGTATGGAATTTTTAGTGGTTACAGGAATTTGTTGCCATTACATGTTAGTTAGTTCATCGGAAAATGTTTTAAAGCAAATACGGTTACTATCGTTTAAACTCTAAGAATTTTCATTGAATCTCTACTCCGATATTGCTCCAAATTATACGTAAAGCTACTAACGTTTCGTAGTATTCAGGGGGTGTATGCTGGTTCTGTTTTTGCTGCTGCTGATTTTGCGGACCCGAGCAGCAAAAATGCGAACAAAACCGTAGGCTTATATCGTATTTATACCGTTAGATCTTACGGTTAGATCGTAGTAGTATATATTTACGGTTAGATAGGGGTTTTTGAAGACTTTGGAATATATACAAGTTGAAATCGCATTTGAATTTGAAAAAATTAAAACTCTATAATCAGTCCAGCAAGCGATCAAATGTTTTATAAAAGCAAACATTTCGTTACTGAGATTCTAGGATTATATATAATTAAACAGGAACAAGAAAAATACGTTCCAATCTCGAGATATCGGGATCGTTAGGGGAAAACCCAAATCTATTCATAAATCTGGAGACAGATTGGCTAATTCCGCTTGCGGCAGTGCTGTGCTTTGGTATCTCGTAGCGTTGCTGCAGTGAGTGGGAGTGTGTCTTCGAATCTTGAACGACCCAGCAAGGAGGAAATAATGGAGGAGGTTGACAATATCATTGTCAATTCGTTGCGAGAATGTGGATGGTAAGAGTAGATTTAATGTTAATTATGGTACAATTGTTCAATATTTCAATGATGTAGAATTGGACATTTAGGCTGCAGTCCTGCAGATTTTGGAACAAGATGAAACATATTCCTGTATTTTGATAAGATTATTAGTGATAACAGAATATTATGCATTCTTTCCAAATCGACATATATCATTATGAAATACTAGAGACGAAAGCGAAAAAAACGCATAGGCTATTACTGTATTACCCAGGGTCCCCGACTACTTTCAAATTTTTGCTCATTATCACTCCTTTATGGTATTTTTTGACATACTTCTTCAATTTGTCGCGATCGGAAAGTGGGTAAACCATCTTAAAAATATGAATAATTCTGTGAGGTAATATTTGAATATTAGAATTTCAATGATTTGTCCTTTATTCATTCTGTTTTCAATTTACAGTGATTTTGTGGATGATGTTAGCAGCATTGCAGAATTCTCCACTGAAAATGTTGTGGAAGCAACTGTTCGTTGTTTAAAAATGATCAATCCAGATTTGAAACTATCTCATAGTCTACCTCCAGGTATAGACACAATTTTTATACTAACTGTAATATTTTTAGTGACCAAAAATGTGTATTGATTATGGAATTTCGTTAATTGTTGAAGAGCTTTACGCTTAGACTTAAATTGTCCTATAGCAGTAGTTCCCAACCGGGGGGGTTATTGGAGGGGGGGGGGGGCACAATGCTGAGTGCGAAACTGATTTTGCTTTTCCCTTAACAAGAAAACTCCCCGTTCTTCCCAGTTTCATTACTTGATAAGGTTATTTCACAAAGTGTTTTCACTTTGTTGAGCATGAATTGTTTGAACCGAGTGGGATTTGAAATATACTCATCGAAATAACACTATAAATACCACGGGAATGATGAACAGGAGGGCCATGGGTGCAGAAACCTCCAGAGGGGGGGCCGCGAGTCTTAAATAATAAAAGTTGGGAACCACTGATATATATAGTGTAGCCTACTTCAAACAAGTTACTGTTTCGTGCTGTAAATGAATTAGGAAGAATTGAGTTTGAATGAAATTTTCAAGTAGGTTTCGTATTAAATGTTTATTTTATTCAAGAAGTTGTCTTTTTCAAAGTGAACTCATGATTTAAATATGCCAAAATTGGAAATTTATTTACCGTAGTACCATATTACGTGAAATTTTTCATACTCTTTAAACACAACCAAGTCACAATAGCCTACTTTATAGTTATTGTTCTCTGCAATTGCATTAAAAACTACGCTTTTTAATTTATGTAAATATATTTTTGGGTTCATAGGAATGTCTGCAAGATTTCGTATCGGATCGACGCTAGCACAGGCATGTCAATCGGCTGGTTACCGTAGCGATATTGGATACCAAACCTTCTTGTATTCGAATGAAGCAGATATACGCAGATTATTTATGTTTCTTGTTGAAAAACTACCAAGAAAAAAAGATGAATCAGTGGAGCAAACAACAGGTAAAAATAAAAAAAAAAGTATTGTTTGTTATTCATTCATATTGATTTGACTCCACGGTATGTGCATTGTGCCAAGCGTTAGGGCTACACGTTCAAGGTTTCAATCTTGTGGAGTATGATTATATGCGAGAGTATTGCTGGACTCTCATCGGTGTAGGGTGGTTCACGTAACTGAAGGTCGGTTACGCTTTGCTCCAACTTTAATTCCAGTTCCAACTTTAATTTAATTGGAGGTCGTGGTTCACCAAATGATTAAGCCGTCCTAAAGGCATTCTTCTCTCCCATGGTTAATTTGAAATTTCAATCCCAGATTTCCCGATTTCTGGTTGCTGGGCCGTGAGTGTTTTAATTTTATATGTATACCAAATATATATACCTAATTGCATCAACAAAAACAGGATGGAGTACCTCATAACAAAATTTGAATTCACTAAAACATATTAAAGAAGAATATGATTATCATAGAAGTTTGTCTCACGCTGTGACACTAATTTGGATGTAGGCTATATATGAAGTAGTCATAGAGAACCATACTGTTAATCTAATACTCTATCTCACAGTTGCCTTATCATATTTTATTTTCATTTTAGATAAAGATTCAACTCTGCATCGTAATGTTTCTAGAGTTCTAAAAACACAACTAACAAGCATTTGGTTGCCTCCATATTGTAAAAGACAAGGTCTAAGATGGTCTGGAAATTCGTACTCTATTGAAGGTGCTAAAGGAACGACGTCTTTTATCACTGATCAACTTACTGTGCCACAAGGTGTAGGCAATAAAGATAAACCAATTAGCAAAGGTACTCAGTTAATACTTTTCCGGGCTCCTGAAGTACACGCCCACAGGTACTAGTTGGCCTGGCTCAACAATATTTGCATTTGTCATTACTAACCCCCACCTGACTACGTCATCTGAAAAATATGTCGCTGTGACTTCGCATACGACTCTCCACAAAGTATACGGATGGTCGTCTAAAACGCACAGGTGTTCATACAATATTGAGCAAGTTATTTCAATCGTTTTTTCATCGCAACAATACCGATAAAAGAGAGATCGCTGGCGTTAGTGGGTTCATTACAGTCGGCACAGATGCCATTTTGGACGTTCATAGTAGAGCTCGACCGATATCACTTTTTGGCACCGATACCGATATATCGGCCAACTAGTGACCGATAACCGATATCGACATACCGATATCTACAACCTGAACACGCGATAAATACAAATAGAAGGAAAAATTCAGTTTCAGTCAATCAAAAGTTTATTTTGAAAAATAAAGCAGTCCTACACAGTGCTTGCATCATTGATAAAAGTTTCACAGCAATTTATAAGAACACACATTAATGCACAAAACAGAAGGCAAAGTTTGAAAAAACCAAGCACAAAAGAAAAAGGGCAATCAGTAAAAAGCTTATAGAAGTCCATTTTGATCCATACAGTAGTAGGTGGGGACTAGGCTTGCACGTAATTTAGGGAATTAACGTAATTATTTCGAGTTACGGAAGGGAAGTTACAAATCACGTAAAGTCGCCACCCTGTTTGAGCGTTTGGTTTTACGATCAAAACGATATTATTATGAGCGTTATCACCGTAACGCAATTAACACCGACAGACTTTTTTGTCTTCACGATTTGGGTATCTTTTTTATTCGGCGCTGATAACGATAAATAAGAATGCGTGATAGTTGATTGTAATTTTGGAAGGCGTATTTTTCTTTCTCTCCGTGAAACAGACATGAAACGAATTTTACCACCGCTATGGAGCAAAGGGAGAGAAGGCTACTTTCTTTTCCCGACTCAATCACTTTTATTAGTACAAATTACAGCACATTAAAAAGCAAAATAGAATTTATTAGCATTAATTTACAACGAGTTACGGGTAAGAATTTACCGCCGGCTACATAATTAATATGTGATCTAAATTTATCGCAAATAATGTTATAACATTTAGGCCGCGAAATGATTTGTTATAAAATGAAGCTTGGTAATCGGAATATCGTCAATAATTCAGCATCAATAATTATTGCAAAATGCTAACTAGGTAGCAAAGTCGGATAATGTAAAAAACGGAGCAATAACAAGTCTTCGTCGCGAGGCAAGCGCAGGTATAATCAAACGAAAGAATACGCTCGTAGTTGATTAATAACTTGGAAACACGACATTTTTATTCAATACGAAAGTCGATTTAAAAAAAAGGCAACTATTGTTTCATAAATATCCGTATACCAGTGTTGGTAATGATAAAATTGATCGCATAAAATTGGGACGGTTAATTTGCTAAGGTGATAAAGGAAAATCAAATCAACACAAAAGATAAAAATCAGAATAAATACAATTTGAATTCACTCCTTGGTATTTGTCTTTAACATCTGTCGCCGGCGTGTAGTACTGTCGGTGATATGAAAACCAAATTTCGATGTCCCAATCGGAAAAGAAGTGGATTCAAATGGTTTTTATGATGGGTTTGAATGCGTGAAAAAATTGATTTTTGTCGATTACGTGCAAGTCTAGTGGGGACGCAAGATATTCGAAGGCGAGGATTTTGCGCCGCACGAAGAGATAAAAGAGAGAAATATAGAAGAGAACTCGCTGTTGAGAGAGAGACAGAGTGAGAGAAGCGAAAAAAGAAAACGCTCAGCCGCAGATATTTCCCGGGGAAAAGACTCATTTTTTAGAACGTAAAAAAGCGACTAAAGCTGATATATATCGGCCAGGTATATCGGCCGTTTGGGCCGATATGATATATCGGCAAACACGCAATATCGGCCCGATATATCGGTTGGTCGATATAACGGCTGAGCTCTAGTTCATAGTGACGTAATTATTGGACGACATAATCAGGTGGGGCTTAGGAATGACATATGCAAAAATCTTTAGCTACACCCACTAGAAGTACTTGGGGCACGTACTTCGGGAGACCCACTTTTCCTTTGTGGATAATCTAATTCTTAATAATTTTTTATATATATACCGGTACAACAATTTTGACTTTCAGAATTGAATATGCTAATTGATTGCTAATTTCTCGTTCAGAGTTACACGACTATTATCGAGATAAACTACCTTCCGTTATGGATCAATTATCAAATCATAGCAATCTTATACCATCACTGATAGAAAGAAATATTTCCGAGTTGTCTAGGCAACAAGATTGGGAAGATGATCTAAACGCAGGAACAATGAGATCTAAATTATCTCCAGAGGTAGGAGTCTAGTTCTTATTACAAATTCAATGATAAACAAAACTCCTCTCAAACTTTTTAAGCTCCCTTTTTTAGAATTTATCAAGTCTCGTGCACCGGAGATCCGGCAATAACTAGCTTAATATCTCTTCAATGAAGTTGAACTCCTAAACATACTCCACGCTAGGGATAATAAAGATACAAGTACAAGGGCTCTGTGCAATATCCAAAAACAATAAAAAAATGTAAATATCCCAAATAAGGCAGTCAAGATCAAATCTAACAAATGTTTTTATTTTTAATTAGATTCGCACCCCTCGAAAATTTTTTACGTGCCCCTTGTGGGGTTCGCGCTCCTTCGTATGAGAACCACTGGTTTAACATTTCGTTCTGTAACAGAATTATTTGTTTCTTATGTTTCAAAACAACACAAGAATTTCATTGTAATTTATTTCCCGAAATTTCAGCAATATAGACTAAAAGAACTCGAGAGGTTGGAAAGATCTATACAAAATGGTGATTTTCAACTTAATCATAAAAAGAGAAAGGCTGATAAAAATGATGAAACAACCATTGCTGGTATTTCATTGAACTCCTCTTTTTCTGAGGTAATTTTTTAGATGGAATTTTGACAAGAATGTCAAACTTAATATATGAGTAATCAAGGATATACATGTGAAACATATAACTAGTTAACTCTTCCCATACCTAATGTGGACTGGTAGCAGGACCAGGGCGCTCAAGAAGTGTGTGTACCAGTATGGTATGGAGTAACTAATTTTGTTCTCCTACTTTACATCATGGGACTGAAACCTATTGGCAGGAAGTATATTCACTTGGCTAACACAGACAGTCCCCGAACTCCTAATAGAACTAAAATGAGGAAAATTGGAATAAAATTGTGGCCTAACCCTAACCTGGTACACACACAACACACTACGGTGGTACCGATTAAAGGCCATGGTTTGCCATATGATTGAGACGTCTCCCCATCCGAATGATACTATGCCATTTCTATCCTTGATTTATTTTATATAACAACATTTATATAAAAATGGAGCGAATTGCTACTCGGTGGAGTGCTCATTATATTATCAGAAATATTTCTTTGTTTTTTCATGAGTATGTGTATGTGCATGGGGATAGGTGTGTTGTATGTGTATGTATAGAGGAGTGTGGAGGGGGTAATTATGCAAAACTGCGCCAACATATTTAATGACGAATCTAATGAATATCTACAACTACTAACTGAAATTTTACAGAGTAACTGTAAAAAATTGTGAATTGAAATTGTTTTAATTCAGTTTAGACCTTTTACCAGACTTTTCGGATTTTGGTAAGCTTGAAGGTATTGTTAGGCATGAACATGGTACGGTAGTTATTTGAGCTATTCTATTTATGCCAGATGCATGCAACATAAATCACCTACAGGACTATTTGTAACAGTACCATCTGTGTTTTTAGCGTTGTGTCATAGCACTGAGCATTTCAATGAAAAGACTGAGACAAAATTCTAAAATCAGCGTCGAGTTGCTAAGAATAAACGTATTGTTCGATGGTCTGGCACTCAGCGGCATCATAATTGTACATTTTGTCGCACGGCACAGTCGCACACTCCTGGTTTAAGCTCTTACATTAATCTAGATTTTATCTCCTATTATCCAAATTTTAATTCTATTTCTCAGGTAATTAACTTAATTTCGAGTCAATCAACAAATCTTGGATCCCCAGAAATGACTGTTGATATTAGTATGGATGAAACAACGAAATCATTTAAGGTGATTTTTCGAACCAATATTTCTATAACAGCGTAATTGTTATTTGAATTTAATCATTTTTGTATCTTATAAAGATTATCGATAAAAAATCTGACGGTTTATTGAAAAATAACAAAAAAATTACATCGGATAAATTGTCAGCAGAAGATGACAGTGAAGATATGATCGTAGGTGAGTTATATTTAAATTATACGCATTAAATCAGGGGTGGACAATCACTTTCCTGAGTGGGCCAGTTACAGATAAAGAATTTGTTACTGGGCCAAAGGCTTAAAACTCGATATGAAAAACTATGAATAAAAAAGTTTATTTACAACAGCTAGGTTTAACGTTTATATATTAATAAGAAGCGCAATGTCACAATTGGGGTCATTATGACATTATTTTAATTATTCGATATTATCAACGAAAATTTATATCCATAAAAACTATAGTCATAATTTCAGCAGACACAAGTGGGCCGGATGAAACACTTCGGTGGCCAGGATTCGGCCCGTGGGCCCTAATTTGCCACCCCTCTGCATCAAATAAAGCCTAAATGTGTTTTTTTCAATTTTTTGCAATTTCGAAATTTTTTGATTTCATTGTTGTGTGACTTTTTCGAGTTGACCACATATTTTGCTTGGAAGAATTTCAATTATGAATTTTTATCTATTCGAATGACATCTCCACTCAGAACAAGGGCCCTATATAAGCTGTTACTGCTGTGTTAGGAACTACAATTTTCAAAAGTACCACAATCTGTATGCATTTTTGAATACCATTGTTGAGCCACCCTATCTTTTGAATGTTATTAGCCTTGATAGTGGTTTATATAGAGTTCTTTAATAATTTTCCCGTTTTAAAAATAAATAGAAAACCATGTCGGAGAAGACACACTTATTGAGGAAACTCCTCAAGAAACTGAGTCGGAAATGATCGAAAGGGTTGGAAAAGAATTGAAAACGGAATTGAAAGACGTTGTAGAAAAAATGGAACGAATGGAAATGGAAGTTCATAAGTTTCAAGAGAGTATAATAAAGGTATTCATTTAATAATACAATGTGCTGTGTAAATTTCTATGCATTTGGTTGTATCCAAACAGTATTATCAAAGTAGGCTATGTTCTTTAAATCAATCACAACAAAGGTAGACACAATAATTGATACTAGCGCAAAAAATGAATCTCACAATTTTAAGAGAATACATAGGATCAGTGAATTGCGATCTCAAAAGTTTGGGAAGCCCTGCCCCACCGGTCCATACTGATGCTTCCTTTCGACACTACAATCATTTTTAAGTTAATTTTACAAGATATCTAAAGTAGATGCCATGGCATAGTTTGCTTTGCTTGGCTTGTTAGCTTAGCATTTCCATTCTTCCAGTTTGAGATTCAATTGGGACCTCTGCTCAATCATTTACTACCTAAACTCAGAGTGCAGAGTTTTTTTTCTCTGTCGGGTTATCAGAAAATTGTTAGATCTTGTATTACTATAGTTACCATTTCTCTAATAATATGATTGCCAGTAGTATGATTATCTGAGATTCTGATAAGTAAAATTTCTGCTTCGTAAAATAAAGATTTATTCAAGTATAAGTATTGTTAGTGTTTGATCATCCGAAATATACAAATCCATTTAATTCTTTTTCCAGGCAAAAGAAGATTTGATTTATTGCGAAGAATCAAATAAAAGTGTTCAAGAAAAAGTAAAGTTACAAAAGAAAACTTTGCAATTATTACCTGACGCTGAAGAAAATATAGCAAAGCTAGAGGTAATTTTTTGTTTGTGGTATTCAGATTTATCGGGGATTCCTAACTCAATGTTCACCTGTATATAGACTTGCTATATTGATTCTAAAAATGCTTGATCACATAGTTTATGCATTGCGTTAGGGTAAAATCAAGTCAATTTAGTTTTTGAAACAAGAGAGCAATGCTCAAATATACAAGAACGGAGGTCCGAAGCTAACTCCTGTATCAGTATCTATGTGACTCACTGGAATGATGCGGGGGCATAGAGTTTATGAAATAGAATTCGACTGTGACATAGGTTGTTATTCTCGGATGCATGAAAACAGTGTATCTGTGAATTAAAATAGCGATGTTTTTGGGTGAGATGTCGTTCTTCATAAGAGTCGAGGGATTTGGAATTATGCAGAATAGCTTTCTGGTGGCTTCTTAATTGATTACTGAAAATATAAAATCAAGATGAAACTTATTTGTATGAAAAGTCGCTCCAACTGCAACAACAAAACTAACAACAATGACTTAGCAAAATGTATAGGCTACTTTGTGACATGTTAGTTTGCTAATCTGATAAATGGATGAGAATATGAGATTGACTTTTCTAATCGGTTCCTTATCGGCTCCACACTTCATGGTCTATAATAATTTGTAGTAGGTAATCGTTGTATGTGAATTTAAAGCTCGATTGTAAAATGCAGCTCATTGCATTTTTTTCTAGGCAATGGTCGAGGCCAACAAGCAGAAGATGATCAACCTTGGACAACAGTGGGATAAACATAGGATACCTCTGCTTGATAAATATGAGGAATTAAAAGAAAAGTCTTCACAAAGAGAGGTTTGAAATATTCTCGATGTAGTTTTTCAAAAATCTTATTTGAAAATGGTGTTTAATTCTTGAGTGCGTCTCCATCTGTTCAATTCACTTGCCCCATCTTTAGTTAGTTTAGTTGTTTTGTAGGTTGTCTATAAGTCGAGATCAGTGTTCGGCAATCATGGGCCGCTGAGCATTTCTTAGTGGGAAGACTTACGTTTTGTTATGCATATACATTACACACATCATTAAAAAATAACCCTTTTTGGAATTATTTCCTGGCTTGGTTTGTATTCATGGCATTCGAAATGTTCGTTTACAAATTTATTATGTGGTTAAATTTAACATTTCTAACGAAATCTTTGCCGAAGCGAGCTAGGTTGTTCCCAACATGTAATGGTTGTTGGGCCTACAATTTGGGCGACACATAAAAAACTTTGCAGACTTCTCGCAAACTGTATGCAGCTTACTTTGGTCTCTTTCACAGCACACCAGAACGCTTTGTGCCTATAATACTGATTAAAGTTACATATTGTAATTTGTAAGTCTTCCTGACCAAAATATTTTTGGTTCAGCATTTCGTACCCAATTTATTACACCCTGAATTAGGAGGAGATGGGCATGGGATTCGAACCCAAGATTCATAACTCTCTTGGAGATAGATATGAAAATTGTACTCTGTTTTGTAGACTCAATCAGAAAGAAAGATGAAAGAAGTGAAACTGGTGCGACAACGTATCAAGGAAAACACGGAGGAAATGAAACGGAAAGAGCAACTAGAGAAAGAACTGACTACGCAATATGGGGATATGACACGAGATGTTTCCCGAAAGTCCTATACGAAACGAATTTTCGAAATTGTAGCGAATATTCGAAAACAAAAACAAGAGATTGAAAAAGTTCTCGCTGACATGAGGTCTTTACAAAAAGAAATCAACCAGCTTGAAGGAAGAGTTGAACGTACATTTACTGCTGCTGATGAAGCTATCTTCAAGGTTTGTAATAGTTGTTTATAGTTCTCTATGAATGCAAGACATTTTATTCTTGCATCTAGTAACCGGCTCATTAATAAATTTCCCAGATCTTTGTGTAACAATTCACATCTTTTTCTCGTTATAAAACAAAATTGATTTGAGTATATTACTTCCAAGTTTTACTTTATGTCCCTTATTATCTACAGGACGCCAAAAAAGATGATTCTGTAAGGCAGGCCTATAAATATCTGGCATCCCTAAACATCAACTGTTCTCAACTTTTGCAAACTGTGGATAAAACTGGAGAAGTTATGAGGGAAATAAGAGATTTGGAGGAACAGGTTTGATCATTTATTTGGTCTAGTCTAGAGATGAAATTGTTGAACTTAACTGTGTAGGCATCACAGGTACTCATTTCGGCGTCAAATCACATACCTGTAAGCTGCCACCTTACCAAGGGTGTAAAAAATTGGGTAGACAATGCCGAGTGAGAAAGAATCTGGCACTCACAAAAATAGTAGCTCATTACATATTGCTAAATATCAATGGCTGTTGTACCAGACTTAATTGGAGAGGACAGTGAGGATGATGTTTTGGAAGATGGCTTCGGCATAGTAATTAGCGTGTTGTTTGTAGCTATTTACTAAACATGAGAGCGATGCTCGAATATATATGGACACGAAGTGGTACGGGTATGCAATCTGTCACTGTAGCCTGCCGGTACCGTATCGCAGCTGAGCAGCAGATTTGAACTTACAAGAAACCGCCACAAAAAGAGCATTTTTTAATTTTGATGACATCATCACACACAAAAAACGAATCTAATAGATGCCACAAAAATTTTTAAAATAAATAAAAGTATTGGGAAATAGCTTTCTAGTGAAAAGTAAAATCTTTAACTACTGAAAATTCAAAGCAATTGGTCCGGTAGTTAATGAGAAAAGCAATTATTTCGATGGAGAAATTTACACCTGGTTGAGAACTTCCAAATTAGAGCATTGGTGGACAGTTGTTAGCCAATTTCATAGTACTTGTTATTGTAATTTTTTCTTCGTATCTTTCTAGATCGCCAATGAGAGCAAAAAGAACACTGCAAGCAATTTGGATAAAATAACTGACGATTTCAAAGAAATGAAGAAAGAAAATAGCGAGATGATAAAAAAATTAAAATCAATGACGTCGTCGTCACCAAAACCTCGGAAAAAGAAATCTTAAAATTGATTTTCTTGATTACTATATATAATTTTATCCTTATTTTCTCCTAATTTTATAAAATCAAAAACAGTGTTATTGTATACTGTTTATGATTTTGCGAATCCAGTAAATCCTCTTTAGCTTGTAATCACCTCAGTTATTGTCAACACCTATATCATCCGTTTATTATTTTTCAGATCAAAGCTTACATACTTGCTTTGATTAAACTTCTGTAAAAAAATTATATTTCATAATCGAACTACGCTTACAACTCCAAAATTTTGCATCTATTTTGAATATTTTATTGTTACTGATCTTGCTATTACACTTTCACCATTTTGCTGTAAAATTATTATAATTCTCAATAAGAAAATTTATTGTTATGATTATTAATGACAATAGGCGGTGTTATGACTAGATTACTAACAAATTTGAGTAGGTAGTATAAGTTGTCACCATGGTTACAAAAGTTTGTACTCTGGTATATGTATACTATTAAACCAGTTTCATATTCAATCCGAACATTGCAATTATTGGTTTGTACTAGTGTTCTTCTAACTTTGTCCTTCACGACTTAACTTTTTTACAACCCTCAGGATATTAGGTAATCTGATAATATGGGAAGTATTGAGAAAAGAAATTGACAATCTCTTTATTGAGACCAATTTGCTTGCATATTCTCACACTAAAAATCGAATCTAACTCTATTCCAGTGATGGTGGATCTCTCAGTTCTGTTTCCAAATTTGATCAATATTTTGTTTTGACATGAGTTGGTGTCGAAAAAGATTTCACCGCGACTACAATTAAACCCCTTTTGTGACCTACCGTCGGGCCGGGACCCCCAGTTTAAAGAGCCCTGGTTTATACAATGCTTTTGGGAAGACCTATTTTTTTTCTCCGAATATTTTCTCAATTTAAACATCTATATTTCACTTTGCATTTTACTCATCAATAAGTGAATACTATTTATTTATATTTATTACCCAAAATCCAGTCTGTCGCAGTAAATGAACAAGAATAAAATAAATAATCATCAAGATGTGTTAATTTGAAAACGAATTATAAAATTTTATTTATTCATATCTATGCCCATGGGATCCAATTTTGCTGCTTTTTTCTATACAAGAAGAGGCTTGAAATTGGCTTTCATGTATTTCTCGTTCTTGTTCCCCTCTACATTTTATCACTGCTTATATCAAGTACTATAAATTCCATGCATCTTCGAATAACAGTAACAGTGAATATCTGTTTATATTTGATCTGAGTAAAAACAATGATCTTTGAAATGAAATATATATTTACCTTACGGAAGAATTGTCCAGTGTAGCATTGCTAAAACCTGTTCAATATTCTTTCACTATTTGATTTTTTTTTTCCAAAAGCAAGCAACAACTACTGTAATTTTACAGTAAATGCAAATTTGTTTGTTTAAAGCAAATTTGCCTGGGTTTTTGTGTAGTCCTTTAGAAGATAGATGCATGAATTCGAATGGAAACTATGATTGCAGCGGTTTCTGTTCTGGACAAGAGCGGAGGATCAAACGCAGTTATACATTATCCGTCAACGGGTCAGTGCCAGTGTTGTGATAACAGTCATTTGCCCTGTATTTACAAGAGATTTCTAATGTGCAATAGCTTGTTCAGAACATCGATTTTTATTATGTCTGACATTTGATTATTATATGGTATATAAAAAGGGCAATTCTACAAGATTGTATGTTGTTAATTTTGGACTCTGGACAGGGGGTAGCCAGGAATTTTCAAATGGGGAGGGGGGGGGGGCGTAACGGCTAGCGCAGTGGTTCTCGACCTTTTTTCGTTCGTGGCCCACTTTTTGTTGCGCGAAAGTTCTGTGGCCTACTAAGTTTTTTATTATAGAAAAGAGTTTTCTGAATGGATTTTTATTCAACTGACTATTAGTGGGTTATCTGCTGCTGAACATTATAAAACGAATACATTAATTTTTGGTGGGTTCTGAGCCTTTGTTTTGATTTGCATCAATATGGAAAAACCCTGCTTTCAGATAAAGTTTGAATTTTGATGGTCTCAATGAATGATGTCCAAGAAGTTTATAGCATAAAACACACTGTCCTTTTACTTCACAGTTTTCAGGAGAAGATGGAATCTATATTGAATGTAATTTTTGATGAACTTTCGTTTTGCCATTCAACTGATGTCTGATTCCCATGTTTCGATATACGCTACTATTGAAATTGCTATTCCCCTTCTACAGTCATCATGCCGTAGAATGTGTTTGTTGAGTCACAATGCGTTTTAACGGCGAAGCATGTTTTGCAAATAGATATCTTGTTTTTACAAAACGTGTGAAGCTGATTTTGTAAACGAATCAATTAATCCAATCAACAACCCTTGCGATTTATAATTGGTCTGTGGCCCACCTCAAAATGTCTCCATGGCTCACCAGTGGGCCATGACTGGAAAGACTGAAAGACGGTTCAGCAATTTGGCCCTTTCTGTATCTTGTGCTGACTGACCGTCTAATCCAGTGATTCCTAACCTTTGTGAGCCTGTCGAACCCCTACAGTTTTCTGTGAGCTCCCGTCGAACCACACCGTACAAAGCGGTTAAAACCAGGAGCGCATTAGGAACTTTATAAAGGGGAAGCAATACTATGCAAGGTTTTAGAATATTACCATTGTGGTGTGACTTTCATTGTTGTGTAACAATGGTGTATCCCGAATGAGAAGCATGTGTTTCTCGTTATATAGAGCAGTGGTTCTCAACCGCCGGTCCGCGGACCGATGCCGGCAGGCCATATTGGCTTTTTTAACGCCAAATTTGCCATTTTTGGCTTTTTTCAAACGCGTTTGGCGTCAGAATTTCCGTTTGGCTTTTTGGCGTTTTTTTGGCTTTTTTCAAGTCTATTCTGGTGTCTATTAATAAAATCATATGAAATACAATATTTAGTGTGTAACAACTGAACAATAGCCTATTACCTGTAGCCTACTTAGCTACTTAACATTAGGATTTCCTGGAGCATCTATTTCCTTGTGTAATGAATGAGAAATATAGTACCTTGATATAAGGCTTTATTCAACTTAAATTTAAAGAGTTATGCAAATGTTATTAAACAAGAAAACAAATACGTATCGAATTGCTGATGCTAACAGTAAGCGGCTCAATAGTTAAATGAATAAAGTTGAAAGAATTAACACACTACATCTACAGCAATGATTGGTGTCTGATTTGAAACGCCACAGCAATCATCGCTTGACTGCAGCTGTATAAACAAATAGATACATTGAGTTGCATTTCCAAGTTATCACATTCACCGCCACTTTAGAGATTTAGTCTGTCTACGGTTCGGCGTTCCCTGGTTGATCTCCTTAGAACTGGAGGCGATGGAGATCTAGAAACAATATTATTTTCAACAATATCTTCTTGCGTTTGAGTTTTATTGTTTCCTTGATTGATAGATGGAGACATAGGTTGAATCGAAGACTCGTCTCTAACGTGCAATGGTGTTTCATGGTTGATATTGTCTGTCCCTTGCCTATTCATCGAAATTTCGTAACCGACAGGGGCCAGATGTTTTGAGGCTACAGTTGTTTCTCTGCCATCTGGGAATCGAACATGAGCATATTGTGGATTTGCTTCCAGAAGCTCGACTTCATCTACTAAAGGTTCGGTTTTCGACTTCCTGACATATCTTTTCAAAAGCACTGGTCCCGGCGTTGACATCCAGGATGGAATAGAACATCCAGACGTAGATCTTCTGGAGAATTTGAAAACTCGCTCATGAGGAGTCTCATTGGTGGCTGTACACAATAACGACCGTATGGAATGCAAAACATCAGGCAAAACCTCTTGCCACAATTGAACAGGAAGACGTTTCGATTTCAGCGCCAACTTCACCCCATTCCATATCGTGCCATTAAAACGTTCAACCTGTCCATTTCCTGCAGGATTATATGGTGTGGTGCGACTTGTTGCAATACCTTTGTCATTGAGAAAAGAGCGAAGTTCTCGACTCATGAAAGCAGAACCTCTGTCTGAATGTATAAAAGCAGGCATTCCAAATGTAGTGAATAGTTGCGTGAGACATTTAATGACACTTGCTGTGGAAACATCTGGACATGGGAATGCAAACGGAAATCTCGAAAATTCATCGACTACGCACAGAAAGTATCGATTATTATTGTTTGACGGTAGAGGTCCTTTAAAGTCTATATTGAGACGTTCAAATGCCTGTGTAGCTTTGATAAGGTGCCCGGTGTCAGGTTTATGAAATCGCGGCTTGCATTCACAACAAACAGGACATGTTGAAATAACTTTTCGAATGTCATCCATCGAATATGGCAAATTCCTGACTCGAATAAAGTGAGACATTCTCGTAATTCCTGGGTGACACAGAGCGTCATGAAGTTTATACAAAAGATGATTTTCGGGATCTTGTACAGTTGCGCACGATATTCTTGAAAGTGCATCAGAGGGAATATTTTCTTGCCCAGGACGATAACGAATGTCAAAACTATAGCAGCAGAGTTCTAGTCGCCATCGCATGATTTTATCATTTTTAATCTTTGTTCTGTGATTTCGATTGAACATGAATGATACGGATCTCTGATCTGTTATAAGAGTGAAATGTTTACAAGTGAGATAGTGACGCCAATGACGAACAGCCTCAATGATGGCCTTTGCTTCCTTCTCTATTGAAGGGTGTTTGAGTTCTGGACCTTGTAGCATGCGAGAGAAAAAAGCCACTGGTCTCCCACCTTGGTTTAGGGTTGCAGCCAATGCTACATCAGAGGCATCTGTTTCTACTTCAAAAGGTAAAGTTTCATCCACAGCTATAACGACAGCAGAATGGTTCTGGTGGCAAACTTTTGAAAGTTGAAAAGCCACATACAGACATTGGAGGTCGATCGCCGCCGTAATTATAAGTTACACTTTGATGTTGTCCTTGAAAGTCTATTCCAAGTAAAATGTCACAACATAGATCATCCATTACTCTCAATATGAATTTTTGATAGTGTCGGCCCTGATATTCAATATCAGCTGCTGTGCAACCTTTTATAGGCATGGAACACGCCAGAGAAGCCATTGCTACCTTGTCCTTAACTGTGTCCCTTTTGATTGGGAGGTTACACCTTTCTATGAGACGAGGGTGTATGAAACTCTGACTACTGCAACTATCAAAAAGTGCGCGTACTTTGTGTCCTTCAATATGAATCACAGACGACGACCCTCTCAATGATTTCGGGGTATTGTCAAAAGCCATTCCTAATATATACGAGTTAGAACATGCAGTGACTTCGTCAGGATTTTGTGGGTTAAAAACGGTTCCTCTGCAGACTTTTATGAAATGTCCTTTTTTATGACACTTGAAACAAAACACATTTCGGGCTGGACATTTTGAACGAGGATGTTTCTTTCCGCCACAGAAAAAGCACGCGGAATTTGCAGTAGTAGATATTTTCTCGATATCAAACGATGTCTCATCGTTTTGAGTTTCACTGTTTTTAGCAGCCGCAGACACAGTAGAAGGATCGGATACTCGATAAGCTTCAGCATTCTTAATTGCTACTTCTAAGCTTCTGGCTTGATCGTATGTCGTATTAAGATCAAGATGTTTGTTTTCCAACAAACGCTGTCGTATCCATGTGGAGTTTAACCCCCGGATAAAAGCGTCTCGGACATAAGCATCTCGGTTTTGAACAGCAGATACAGCTTTGAAATTACAATGTTTGCTTAACGATTTCAATGCTTGCATGTATTATACCAACTTTTTATACCAACGTACTCAGAAAGTCAGAAGAAATCGATCGCAGTCACTTAAATGCTCGCAGAACCGAACGACTTTCCATCACGTAGGCCTCAGAGTCCCATCCTAAACTCTGATTCACGTTTTATAATTATGTACGATTATTACAATTATATTTCTCTTTCAATCGGAGCTTTTCTCCGTGTCTATAGATAAAGAGCAAAACAATATTTTGATGTAGAGCATAACCAGATAGAAGATTCTCAACGATCGAGTAAAATTCAATCGCAGTCACTTCAAAGATCGCAGTATAGACCCAACCCTGCATGACCCATTGTCGCAGAACAAAGAAGGGCGTCTTAAATATGTTGCGTCACAGTTGTCTCACCTGTGGCATGTATCTCATTTGCCCCCCCCCCCTCTCAATTGTGCCACGTGCCACAATTTTTTGCTCAAATTGTCCCACTTTTCCCATGTGCCCCACTTGTCCAATTTGCCGCCCGGAGTGACCCACTTGTCGGACGTATCCCACATGTCCCGCTTGGAAAATGGGGCACTACATATATCAATTTAATATGTTCTGGAATACCTGTTCGTCAATCTGAAAAAATGATCACCGTAAACATAGTTTGCAGAAAACTATTTAATCCTGTCTGTCTCCTACAATTCAAATAGGAAATAAATATTATCTGAATATCAGTATCGAAATATTTTTATAAATAGTAATTACAATAGTTCAATCAGGTATAATTTACTTATACGCCAATTATCATCACACTGGGACAAGTATGACACGTGGAGCAAGTGGGACACGTGGAACACGACATTTCCGAGACATCGAGAAAAGAACCCTGAAGGTCTGGGTAATACAAATACAAAATAGATTCATTACTCACGAATCCACGATTATGATATCGTTACCACTATAGGCTCCTATCTAATTGTTCCCATCTCTACAACCCAGACGTTCATGGTGCAGCTCTTTTT